TGTGTGCGAGGAGCCGCCGCGGCCGGCTCGCCGGGCCGGCTAACGACTTTTCGGAACGAGATGCCATCACGTGAGGTCGCCGCCGAAGATGCAGAAAAAAAACGGCAGTCAACAAGTCCGACTGCCTCCATTGTTCTCCGCAGCACGACGGCGACAGCTACACGGGCTGCCTACCCTCTCGCGTCGCGCATTACTTATTTTATTTGATTTTATTGCTGTGTGCGCGGCTTAACTGCCGATTTCTCGTTAAAAACAAACCGCTTCTGCTGCTGCCTCTCCTCTTGCCTGGCGAAAGAAAAATTAATTCTCGTCGTGCTGCTGCTGATGGACGCTTCATTATTTTGCTCTTCTCGGAATTCGCAGATTCGTTCAACATTGATTTTTTTATCTGCATCCGAGTGCAGGTGCGTCTTTCGGCATCTGATGGAAACTTTGCCAAATTTTATTCTAATTAAACTAAAATTCACTAAAATAATAGCTCTGTGAATTGGTGTTTGGGTTATAAGATAAAGAAAATATTTTTTTTATGAAAGGGACAAATCATGGTACGGAATTTTGGAACATCAAAAAGCAGGTTCTCTCCATCTAATTTTTTTATTTTTTTTTTGCTCTAAATCAGAACAAGTTTTCCATCTTTTCGCAGGCGCACAAGAAGAAGTTCCCGAAAGAGCAAACGACCGGTGTAATCGATAATCAGAACGCACATCACGCATAAAATTTGCGGCTCAGGCCATGGCCGCTTTTATAAACGGCGTGCGTTCAAGTCTCTGCAGCATCGAAATGTGGAATAATATGTTTTAAATGAGGCCTAACAAGGGCCATTAATGGAGAAGAAACGCGTGTTAACGACGCAACCTGCGTAATAATTGCTCGATTAAATTATTAAAGTGTCGATCAAGCCACGTGTGGCGGCGCTCCAATTTTACTATAATTTCTCATCCATGACATTTCGACGAAACGTTTACCCTTCATATTATGGTGCCTAAATTGAAAAATCTATTAACAAGAAAGTCTCGTGTCTGCAAATAAGTTGCGAAATCACACACATGTCGCGCCTCTTTTGATGCTTGTTAAGAGGCAAAACACGAAAAATCTTACGACGTTAATTAATTCTCCAGACTTCTGACGACAAATTAATTCTTCCAAAATAAACTCATTAGACCGACAACATTTTTCTAAGAGAGCATACTCGAGAAATTCTCGTATAACTTTACCGCTTGATTATTCAGGAATTTCTCCGTCTGCTGCTCAGATGCTGCGAGAATACCAAAATTATCTTTTCTTTTTATTCAGAAGAGCCGCCAGATCTGGAATCGAGCGGAGAAAATACGCAGACACGACTCTCATGCGTGAAGACGGACAGCGCTGCTCGTCTTTCACAAGTGATGATGAGATTGGAAAACATTTTTTAACCACTTAGATTAAAAAATGAAAATATGAATATGTATGAAACGAAATATTTTCTAACAGGGAAAGTATTAAAATAGTTATTACTTTTTATTTGTGTCTGATTGAAAACACGAGATCCGCCACTCCTGTTGCTTTTCAACTCATGAAGAGACACATTTCTTCGATCAATAAAGCGTTTTGCGATTCTCTCGACGCCTAGAGCCGCTCGTAAAAATTGTCATTTGGCGTCTTAATTGGATCCCCCAGTCGGCGTTCCGCTACTTTAGCCTGATGAGAAATCGCCTTAAACGGAATCAGCTTGGTACTTTATGTGCCGATTTGTTTGCAAATTTATTCATTCGGAACAACTTTCCTTGAAGAATTAAATTCCCTGCTCCACTCCCATATCAGAGTGCGTAAATTCAACTATGCCGACAGAACTAACAAGACTGCAGACAACCGGCAATCAAAACTGTTCGGAACTGTAAACTTGCCTCATTGAATAAATAAATAAGTATGTTGCGAAATTTCACTCGTTATCCAAGGACCCTCAAGGTTGCTCTGTATAAAGAGAAGAAAGAAATCGTTAAGGGAAAAAAATTATGCCGCTTTTCATTTTTATTTTCATTCTTATATATACAGATTGAGTTATATAAAAAATAATAATGTACAAGAAAATATGCAGGGATGGTCCAGAGCAAGTTTTTATTTCACGCCATCGAATATTCAAATTTGATCTAATGGAGGATCAACGGCGTTTGACTGGCCCGTGAGGCAAGACGAGTGGGTTTCGCGGCGCACACTCCGCAGCATAAATTATAATTTATGGGTGTTTACAAAATCAGAATTAATGTCGCGCCTAGGCGATCGCGTTTACTTCTCACGTCGCACATTATAAGATTCTGCGCGTACTGCTTTTTTACGAGTTTAGACTTATATGCAAAGTCAATACGGTGCCTAATATTTCAGCCCGATTGTATGGCAGAGTTGTAAATTTTCGGCAAATGGGTGGATCGCATTTGCTCGACTACCATAAATTTTCAGTTGGTCTTTTGAGGGATTGAAGAGGGATATAAAAATAAATACGACAATAAATAACAAAAAATAATATAAAAATAATAAAATAATTTTAAGTTTATTGCTTTTCGAAATTCGAACATAAATTTTCTTTAATTGAACGTTGCAAGTGTGAAAGTGTGAGAAAATCAAAAGTCATGATAATTCCAAATTTCCAAATTGAGTGCTTTCAGCTGGCGTTAAAAGGTTTGATCTTTCTTATGTGGGATTATTCATAATTTTGTATGCTAATAGCCGCGAGTGAGTGAGTTAATGTTTGGTTTGAGCAACAATATAACGCAGATTAGAGTTATGGTGAGGCCTGTGCTGAAAACTTTCCTCTTAATTTGCGTCTGCCTCTCTTGTTGGGCGATAGTGCACGCCCGGCATGGCTCGCGCAAATCCAGATTGATGTCTTGCACTTTCACAGGCCGTAAAGTTTGTTTGGTCATTTGCCCTGCAGTGCCACAACACACGTAAGTGGCTATTCATTAAAATATCACCGCGCGCCTCTGGTGCCAATTACACGCCAATCAATAATCTAATAACGCCGAGCGTGGTGATAATTGCGCCGCCAATCTTTTTTCCTCTCCGACACTATATGTTGTTGCTCAAGAGAAGTGTCGAAGGAAATTCAGAGGTAATGTCGAGCGATAGGTAATTAATTAATAAAAGTGACCGGCTCTTTTACATATGAACTAAAAATGTGGGTCATTATGCTAATGATTTTGATTGAACATCGAGATGCAAATCCAAGTTGCACCGACGAGGCGTCAGCAGAAGTGAGCAAAGTAAACATCAGATTGACGCAATTAGCACAAGAGGTGGAAAAAATTCAGAGAAATCACGGCTTCCTAAACGGGAGACAAATAAAGAAGAACAAAATATGTCAAGGGATTTTGTAGCATTAAATTTGAATTTTTTTTTTTTTTATAGAATAGACTCAAATTAACCTAGATTTAATTTCAAAAGAGTTCTAGATCACAGGAAAAAATCCTAATTGTCGGGTTTTTTCTAATCATTTACTCTTTTGGTTTTAACTTGTAACTTGATTAAAAGATTAATTAATTGATTGTGGATTTCAGAGATATTGGGCATAATTTTAAATTTTACTTAATCCTTTATTATTATTTTTGTAATAATTGAAATTTTTAATTTAATATCCTTCTATTTTTATAACATTCTTAATATTTCAATATTTGAAACTCCCATTATTGAATTGCTTTTAAAAATTTAAATTATATAAAATTTGTCGGGATTTTCATAATTTCAGTGATTTGGATTACCATTTTTCTCAATCTCGGCGGCATTTATGCAAAACAGTCTCTTGTCTGCCTCGTGCCAAAATTTATCTTGAGGAATGAAGATATAATACACATTCTCATAATCGCGATCCGAGATCTTCTCACGGCGAAAAAGCAGAGAGCCGGCGCGCGCGTCTCTTTCCTTTTTGTGTGTAGCATTTTTCGCCGCTCTCGATTTAAATAACTTCGCACTCGACTTTAAAACGCACACGTATAATATTTAAAGGCACAGGCGTGAGAGAGCCGAGGAGCAAAAAAGCCGGAGTCTCCACCCGACGCGCCGACCGCATCAGCGACCGGCCGCGGGAAAGTGGCCGCCCTGAACAACCCTTGGACCAAACGGGCGCCAAAGCGACACCAGGGGGTGCGTCTCGTCGAGAGGAAGCGGACGGTGTGAGGGTCAAAGGGGTGCGAAGGCCCCTTCGGACGCAAATCGCGACCGAAAGCGCCATGTGTGACCCACGATGTGTGGGCTCGAGAACACATTGAGAGTGGCGAGGTCACGATATGTAGGCTTTTCATACCGCGTGAAACAGGTCCATACAATAATAATAAAGCTGCGGAGAGTCGCAGCCTGCTGTTGCCACGTACAAAAGTTTATACCTCTGCAGCGGCCGATTGTGTTCGCAGCCGAATCAAAATTCAGCCAATTAAACACAAATTTTCCCCGGCGCGAGAATAAAAGAAAAGAGCGAGGCTCGCTTTCCACTTTGATGAGTCTTGTCATGCAGGACTCAAGAGATATGTTCTCATGAGAATTACAAAATAAAAATTGTAAATGTTTGTCAGATAATAAATGCAGTCGGATGCATTTTAGTTTTTAATGGATTCGTGTTGGGAAATCGCGGCAGGATTTTTTTAATAAAACGTCTTGTTAGGAGAAGAGGCAGAATTTGATTGCTGAAGTTGTGTAATTTATGGTATTTTAAAGGATTCACACTCTTGTTATTTATAATGAAAAACATCATAAAATAAAAATTCAGGCAAACGGATGATGCCGCTAATAATACATGTCAATTTTCACACCAAACAAACAGTTCCATTTTCTTGAATTAAAAAATCTTACTTTTTAATTAATCTCTATTGAACATAAATATCAAAAGCACCCTTGATTATTCATATTTTCCTGGAAAAAATAATTCAAATTTGCTATTAAAATATAATTTACCATTAATATTCATTAACAATCGTACGTTCTTGGCTAATTTAAAATATTAATTTTCCTAAAAATCGATTTCCTTGTCATTCCAGACCTGTTGGCTTCCGCGGACAGCTTTGACGAGCCAGGCGTGTCTTCGTACTCGGTGCTGCATTTTGATCTGGCCAGGAATCAACTGCTGGTGGGAGCCAGGTAAGATTATTTTCGTTTCGCAACACCTCCTTAATTAGCACCGGGTGATAAGCAGAAATCGGTAGGCGATTTAATCGCCTAATATACAAGGCGTCGTCAATCAAATGACAGTTCGAAACGCCTCTCCAGCGATGCGTGGTTAAATAAAACTCCACTTTGGCTCAAATTCGCAGATTTTTTTCAACCAGTCAACTGAGACCGCTCACGTTTTCCCGTAATTAATATTTTGCGGCTCGCGTGTTGATGAGAAAGAAGGATTTTTTATTAGCAAAATGCGGCTTGCAGAACTGAAAAATAAACAGCGAACAGTTTTTTTTCTGCTGTGGTTTCCTCCAGTGCGAGAAAATATAAATGCAGACTCTTCACGATAAGCTCCTGTTCAAGTTGAAATTGAATACCGAAATGTTTATCGCTTGCCAGTGACAATTAGCGTGATATTTCAGCTGGACTGTGTGTTTTCCTTGAGCCAAAATCTCTGGCGACCGCAAATATCCCGAGAGATTGAGAAAAACTTGAAATGATTTCTTTTTGAATGCAAAAACCGCAACAACCGCTAATGAATTATATAAATATCACGTGCATAATAAAGAGGAGGTCACTCTGGTGGATGATTTTATTATGCATATTGTTTGCGCCGCAGAACAACCTTTGCCACTTGATACCTCCTCGAATTCGAGTCGCGTATATATAAAAAAAAAAAAACGTCGTGCGCGAATTTACGGCGCCCTGCAATGTTATGTAGTGGTTCTTCCCTTTCTCGGCCGATTTGGCGAAAAACTTTTTTTTGTCCGCCTCACTTAAAGGTCGTCTTCAACGTAGGAGGACCGCATGAGAGAAGACGACGGACACATTTTCCGCGAATAAAAAATTGCCGGCCGTGATGCCGAATGGGCAGATCTTCTTTGGCCCCAACAGGTTATTATAACTCGTGTAGTAACCTTGGCTGCATTGGTGGATTGGCGCCCGACGCCCTTTCCACGCCGGCCTACTACACCACACGGCGTGTCTAGGGACGCAGGTAGCCTCGCACCAGGCAAAAACGCGTCCTCCTCTCGCCAAACCGCAAAATTTCCCCTTTTCCACTCGAAATTCCCTTCAAATTTTTAAGCAACTTTAATTTCTTTCTCTACACGAGATCAATCAACAATTCTAAATTAACGTCCTAATAAAAATGATTAAAAACTGAATTTGGCAAGAAAATTTAAAATTGAAATTATATTTGAAAATCATAATTTCTTACTCAAAACAGCACATTAGAAAATTATTAACTCAAAACTAAATGCAGAACCGACTTACAATGATTAATAATATTTTATTATTATTAGAGATTAATTAAAAAGTAATATTTCTTTGAATTAAAGAAAATGGAACTGTTTGTTTGGTGTGAAAATTTACATATTATTAGCAGCATCATCCGTTTGCCTGAATTTTTATTTTATGATGTTTTTCATAAGAAATAACAATTAATATTTTATTATTATTTAATTATTTTTTATGTTTTAAGAAATTCTTTCTCACATTCAGTAATATTCTCAATAATGTTTAATGAAGAAAAATAAATTAATTTAAACAGATTTTTTTTTTAATAGTTTTATTTTTCACAGGTTCTACGTTTTCCCTCTTAAAATGCGATTCAGATTATAATCTATGGCATGGAACCTTCTGTAAAATGATAGGGAATAGCTTTGGTGTAAAAGCAAGATAAAATCGCAGACCCGCATTATTTTATTTTCAAGGGGTTATATCCGTTCCGCAGACTGCCAAAACACGCACGGTCGTAAAACCTGACAATGAGGAGCCGCATCATCTCAAGCCGTTAGCAGCGACAATTATTGCATGTTAATCATTCTGAATATAAAGGGACGCCCTACGGACTGATGGGCAAAATCTCAAATTAGCATTCGGCCGCTGATTTCTATGGTGTGGGATGCTGTACGAAAATTGATTTTTATTTTATATTCTTATAAACCCACATTTTTTTGTCTATTTTATAAACGTATAAATCACTCTCGAGATGCAACAAAACGACATTAAATGAACGATTCCTCTTCTTGAACAGGAAACTACGAGTTTTGAATAATCAACAGGCTGAGGGGCGTTTTTCCTATTACCATAGGTGGAAATTTATGAGCACAACAAAAAATAAACAACTTCACAGCAGAGTCACAATCGGAAAACTAATTGCTAATTAATTAATCAGCTCGCGATTCAGTGTGGATGTTTCGGGAAATCCGAGCAGCAACAATGTGTCTCTGAAACGCTTCGTGCATGTCTCCGTTCAGCGTCATTCGTTTGCCGGAGAGCGAATCGCGCAGAGAGCATGCATCAGATAAGGCACGACTTCATTCAATAGAAACTAATTGAATGGCGAAGAGAGAGAAAATGCATCAGTTGCGCCGGTAGGCCGCCGTGAATTATCATTAAAGTAGATTTGAATTGTGAGCGGAGCAGGAGTTTCTTGTAAATAATGCTCTCGTTGCGCCACGTGATCTCTGATAATTGGTTCAATTGCACAATTAACAATGTGATTATGCGTTTGGAATAAAAACTAAGTAGCTACATAATAAAATGCATTAAGTGAATGGCATGCAAGAACGTGGGAAAAACTTTGCATATAATTTAAATGAATTTCAAAATTAAAATTTTATTCTATAATTTAAATATGCCAATAAATCTGTATTATTTTCAATTTAACTGTTTGATTTGTTTACAAAATCAGTTATTAACTTTCTATTTTACTTCAAAATAAAGAAATAAAAAATTATTTAACTTTATCTAACAATAAGAATCTTTGAATGTTACAAAGTTTCATCAAAATTAAATCAATATAAGAATAGAAACAAATAGATCATTGGTGCGAGAACGGAATGTAATAATTCCGCTGTGTAATTAGAGGTTGGACGCGGCGAAATTATTTATCACGTCGAGATCAGCGGGCGCCAATCGAGCTGCTCCGTAACAACGGAGAGTCGCTCGCGTTACCTGTGTTCTTAACCTTATCCTGCTGCGAAGGAATCGGGTTTTTAAATCAACCAGGCAAATAAAAAGGGCGCGTTCGTATTTTCTCTTTGCTCGGCTGCCGCTTTAATGCGCCGCGCGCGCAGACTCGGCTGTCGCTCGCGTGCCAAATGTTTCTTAGATTATTAATTACACCACCACGTGTGAGCAGAAATGCCGAGATTTTTCTCACGTGCACTTTCCGCTTTGAAAAATTGCATTTCGTCTAATTCCAAATTAATACTTCATATGCTGAAAAAAATTTATGATTCAATCCAATATGTTTGTATTAAATATTTGGCAAATTGAGCAATGAACGTCCGTGTATTAATTACACGCACTTTATTCAAACATTGCTCATCGCTGGCAGACATAAAAATCAGCCAATTATAATATTACCCGCGCATACAATATTAATTATAATTTTATAGCGCGCCGAGACCGGTCGTAGTCTCGAAGGATCGGTCAGCAGCTGACCAAATAGCTTAATTAGCGGCTTTTGATGGGGCAACGTGCAATTAAACGCGTTCCCTGTTGCGCAGTCCGCCAAGGGTGTTTAATCTGCAGCAACGGTTTCGCTCAACGGGGTCAGCAACGAGGTTTTACATTATTGACACTGATTTGCCGCAGCGTCCCACACAATATAGGTGGCCGATAAATTATATGCGCAACCTCCAAGTTCAAACTCAATTGCTGAATAATTTATTTATTAATTAATTTTATAGATTTAAGAAAGTTACTCTTGTAATTCAGGTTAGTCTGATCAAATAATTAATTAAAGTTAGCAATAATAATAACTTTTTATAATAAAATTTTGCGCACATTTGAAGTTGGATTTTTTTAAATCAATTTCTGACTCAAAATTGAATCTCAAATGCTGAATGGTATATTAGTTAATTAATTGAATTGCACACATTAAATTCAGTTCTTTAAATCAAGCTACTCTGATCAGAAAATTAATTACAGCCAGCAGGAATAATTATATATTTTTCTCAAATTGTTAATTATATTTTTGCAGCAATTATTTGTTTATTCGATTTAATTAATTTCTGACCTATGACCGTGCAAGCGCAAAAGCCCAACTCTTTTTGGAAAAGATTAATCTGCGTCATGACGGGTGTGCGTATAAATCTTTGTGAAATATTCGATTATGTCAGAAATTACCGATCGGGCAAACAAACCTCGTATCTTAGAAAGTTAATTAAATATCGCTTTATCAAGAACGGGGGAGATACAAACATGCATGCCAAGTGACCTTTTTCGCCTCCGCCATTGCTCTTTCGTCTTGTGCAACGTCGAACATACAAAATGTATATTTGATCAAATGAGCGTTAAAATGCACGTTGGCCGTTTTGTAAATAAACTGAGCGCGCGCCGAGCGATTGCAAAACGTTAATTATAAGATCGGGCGATAAGCAAAAAATAATAATGAATGATGCGAAAGGTTGAGAGAGCGAATGCCACGGTGTGATGTTAATTTATTTTGTGCGTCATTTTTCACTCGTGATTATCTCAAATTTCATTAGCTCCCCTCGCCGCGGATAGGTTTCTAATTTACGATTTTTTAATGCTGCCGTGCACGAATTTTCTCTCGCGCCGAATTCCAGCTCTGATGCATAACAATGTTAATGCGAGCAGAGCGACCAACAAACCGCAGGGATTAGATCAAGTGTGGCGAGAGCGAGTCGAGGTGTCGATCGTGCTCGTGCAACGGAGTTTATAAAAAAACAAGAAGCATCTGAGACGATAATTCATCTCGACAGCGAAATGGAATTTCGCAATATTTTTTGCCAATTCTGACAAAGGAATCTAACATTTTTTGTGATGAGACAAAGCAAAAGATCTTTTTGATAACTTCATATAAGGTGAAGAAGTCGAGAAATAAAAAATGGAGGAATTTCCGCAAAATTTTCCTCGCTTTTAGGGCTGATTTATCGGTTTAATTACGACGCGCTTGGTCGTAAAAGTTCTGGATTTATGGATTTTTCTATGGCAAACACAAACAGTCCGTCGACTCGTTAAACGTCTCGTTTCCAAGCTGTAAATCTTTAATTATGGAAGACAACAAGGCACATCTTCTTTTATCGCGTCGGAAAATCTGAAATCGCCTCTCATAATATTCTAATATCCGAGAATTAGCCGCAGATCAAAATCTGAGCGTCGGAATGCGGCCGGGGGCGACAAATTCAATTCTGCTCCGGCGGGTCAAGAGGCTGGGTGTTGATTTTGGCCGGTCTCTGGAAGCGATAGCGGTGCTTTTCACCCGCGAGACAATGTTTCATTAGAAAGCAATAACACACTATAAATAACGAGTTACATCTTTTTGTTGGCCGCGCGCGTTCGAAGAATAAAACGGCGCGCGGCTTTCTCTCCCGCGCCGAGGCACCCAACTTAATTTACATGTCCAGCAGACTCGCGCATATGCATTTTATTTATTCTCGTCCGGCAGCAGAGAGCTCTCGACACACCGGTGTGTTATTTGCTTAGGCCTCTCGACACAGACGAAGAATCCTTAAGTCAACTGCTGTGCACTTGAAGGACGATAGGTGCATGCCACAGGTTGCTTGACCGCGACAGAGGTCTTTCCCTTCAAGCTTCAAGAGCCAGAGAAATTAGAGAAAAATTTAAGATTTATAAATGTAAATGTTTCAATATAGGGAGGTATGAATATAATAATTTATTTAAACCAGCAAGTCATTGAGCAGCAATCGCAAAATTAATCCTTTCGTTAATTCGCATCTGGCTTTATTTATAAATAATTTAACTAAAAAATTTAAAAGAAATTTATTATATTTAAGTTTAATTATATTGAAAAATACATTAATAATAATAAATAAAGGTCAAAAATTAAAATTATTAATTTAATAACAAATTATATCTGGTAAAAATATTTTTTTTCCCACATATATAAGGATTTTATTTTTAAAAATTTTGTTTTTGTGCATTAACTTTACTTGCTTTTAAGATTTCCCTACAAACTACGTAGTTCCATTATTTAATTTTTACGCTTTTTTTAACAGAACAGAAATTTTATACTTTCTTAGGCGTTTGTTTGTTTTGGTAATCAAAACGTGAATGTGGAGGAAACGTTTTTGATGCGCGCACACCAGGCTGTTAATTCAATTTGCAAGTTTCCTTTGTGCGGAATCAATTTGGAGGGCAGTGGCCCAAAAACGAGCCGACACTTCACTCAACAATGGGCACGAGGGTGTTGATATGGGCGGAATAATCGCGTTGGTGCGCTGTGAAGTAAAACTCTCTCGGCTCAACACCGAGCGCGTCATTATTTTAATGACAACAAATCGCGACCACTTCTGCGAATTTCATAAATAGTAAAATAAAACGTTTCTTTTGAGCTCTGCAACACCTGACTCGAGTGAACAAATTTGCTATAGTTTTTTATAGTTTTGCACGTGCTCGACGTGCCAGTCGGAGAAACTCGACTGATTGCGCCAAAGAAGTTTATCGATCGGCCAAAAAAAAAAAAAATCGGCACATTAGCGTCGGAACGAGGCCTAATTGAGGCATATTATTTGTTTACGATGTCGCAAAATTAATTTGGTATCAAGGCGAGTTTAGCGGTGGAAAGGTGAAAGCCGTCTTTGGTCCGGAGCCAAACGCATATAATAAATAAATAAAGCAGACCGACCACATTTGCGCGATCTCTCGTTTAGCTCCGCGCGCGTGAATATAAAAAGTCTGATAATTTTATTTGCTCGGCGCGCCGCGCGACACTGTCAGTGTAATATGGGTCGAGAGCAAATCGGCCGCTCATTTGCATGCACGCGAGTCGGCGGTGTGTCAATCCGCGTCTTTATTGGGCACTTTAACGGGCGGATATGTTTATCTGCGCGCGCGGCCAACGGCTTGGCCCATAAATCTCCATTTGGCCAGCGCTGCAAATCTCGTCCGCGCCTTTTCTCATTACGGCGCCCTTGCATCACTTGACCAGTGAGTCGACTGCTCCTGCGTAAAAAGGCTAATTTATCTCTCGGCACGATCAAGTTCAATCGGGATTCAACAATTGCGAAATTGCAGACGATTGTACGGGATGGAAAAATGCTCGATTTATTTCAGAGCTGCGATTCTTCTCATTTTGTTTCAATTTATTATGTTTTCTAACTTGATTTATGAAGAATAGAACTTGTAGAATTTTATGATTTCCTTTCACAAGGCAAAAATATGTCGTACGATTGAAATTAACAGATTAACATTGAAATAATTTAATATTTTTCTTTTTTATAAAATATAAAAATTAGATTTTACAAAAAATATTTATCAATGTCGAAGAAATGAACTTTTTTGTTCTAAAATAAATCTTCGAAATCTATTTACACATCCAATCATTTCATAATTTTAATGCTACAAATTTGTCACTATCTGCTCTCGTTGACCTGCTCCTTTGCATTTTTCAAATTATTGACCAAGACGACTGAAGAGAAGCCATAAAATTATAATGCGCAATTACTTCTCGTTGCCCACGTGCAAAATTTCTTGTTTCTGGTCGTAACTCAACGTGTGCACACAGGTTGTTTCCCTTGCCGGCCGAAGCAGAAAGATTTTTCTCGCAGATCCATCTTTTCGCCGAAAGAGGCGCGGGGTGAAGTGACGCGCCTCATAAAAGTGTCAGTACCTCGAAATCGTATTATTTACCACCGTTTTATATATTCTCGGGTGAAAACGAATATTTATGCAGCAGCAACACCTTTCCTCTCTCTCTCTGCTGGCACCAGTTGGCTTGGCGCTGGAAATTATATGCAGCTTTGCAGCAAGGTTGATAAATAAACGCCTTCGCGAAATCGCAGACTGGAAAATAATGACCGGCACATGCTAATTTAAAGCAACTGCGTTTTATTTCCAGCCTGTTTCTACGATTATTATGTAGAGAAGAGAGGCGTTAGCGGCCGGCGCTTGAAACCAGATTTATATATTCGAAATCTGCATCCACTTGCACCAGCGATGGCAATAATTGTCAAACCCATGCAATGAAGCAGAACTGCAAAAGTGCATTGACCAGCTGTCGTCTCTCTCGGTGGAAGTGAAAGAAAAAAAAAGCAGCAGACAAAAGACTAAAGCGAGATTTCAGCAGCCGATATCGAGCAGACTGGCAGCGAGACACGCGTGAATGGCATTTCAATAAATTTATTAATGCTCGTGTGTGCATCAAGATCGGCGGCCGGTCGGCTTGCGGGAAATAAAAAAAAGTGGAATAAATAAAGAAAGAAAGCTGCTGTCCTTTTTGCGGCCCCTCTCGTGCCCAATTACGAGGGTACAATCGGAGGAGATGCCACTGCCCCCCGAGGGATTTCTTGTGCAATCCGCAATTACCGAACAATAACTCAGAGTGACACGTGGGTGCTGTGTGAGCTGCAGCGGACCCAACTGATTCGCGCGTAGGACGGTGGAAAATTAAAATTGCTCTGCAGCTCAAGTGCACGAGTACATCAGGCCGACACGCCTCGTAATAGCTTTTTAACGTGCTCGGCCAATATTATTGCACGCGTAATGCCACGTTATCAGCTAATGGAGCGAGCAATAAATAATAATGCAACTCGCTCGGTGACATTTCACGCAAACATTTTATATTAATATCAACGTTGAGGATAAATATTTGAATGCGACATGGTAGAGCGTAATATAATTTAAAAATTAGCTAGCAATTTAATGGCCATTTTTATGTAGAATGATAAAAAGTAAGCTACATTGGAGTGCAAAAGTTCATTAATTTGCTAGCTTTAATCAAATGTAAATTAATTTATATATTATTGATTAAGTGTGTATTTATCATTTTGTAATTAACCTTTTTTAAATTTTTACCAATATATTTAATTTCAAATTTATAATAATTATTTTTATCTCTATTAAATAAAACCATTTTATTATTTTAATACGTTATTAATTACATATTATATTTTGTAAATTTACATATTTTAAATTTTTATTTTAAATATTACCATTCCTTTTTTGTTATACAATGAAGCTTACTTATATATAAAAATGACACTCATTTTTTTGTTGCTTGCAATTATCCTATATTTTGCGTTATTTAAAACATCATTCGTGCTAGAAACGAAATGTCAGTCGCAATGTTATGCAGCAACGAGAGTACATATTTATGCGAACCCATTTAACTCATGTAAATTTTTTCTTCTCAAGGCACCATTCGTTGGGTCACCTTGCCCCGAAAAGTGACCATCTGTTTTGAAAATAGTCGAACAAAAACAACGAGCATGTGTGCAATTGTTGCTTTCACTCACTCTCGATTTATGCTTTGAATGAAATGCTAATGATGCGTGATTTTCTTTCCCACAGGGACTCGTTGTTTCGGTTGTCGCTGCGCGGCCTCTCGTCGCTGGAGCGCGCCAGGTGGGAGGCGCCCGTCGAGAAGACGATCCTGTGCCAGGACAAGGGTCAGCGGGAGCAGGACTGCCACAACTTTGTCAAGGTCCTGCAGGTCAGCGGCAAGAAGGTCTTCACCTGCGGCACCAACGCGTACTCGCCGCTCTGCTCCTGGCGGGAGGTTAGATTTTTTCTCAGAATTTTTATTTTAAAAAAAAAATCTTTCAAAAGCGATTTGAATTCAATTTAAAATTTGTTTAACGATCGCCGTTGCGCAATGAGCTTGTTGCGGCATGATTTATGGCGCTTTTAATGGCAAAGTAGGTTACAGAGTAATGCGTCTGCAATTTATTTTTATTCGAATAAATGAATTCTTAATTCGGAGTGAGAAAAATGAATTTGAATATTTCAAGCACGTCTCTCTACAGGCCAATTCTCATTTGTTTTCATTTCGTCTCGTCAGGTGGACAATTTGAACAAAGTTTTGGAAACGGTGTCCGGCACTGCCCGGTGTCCGCACTCGCCGAATGCCAACAGCACCGCTCTGATGACCAGAGACGGTCGCTTTTTCGCCGCCACGACGACCGATTTTTCCGGCGCCGATCCTGTCATCTCCAGGAGCATGGGTGGCATCGAAACTTTGCGCACCAGTCAGTACAACAGCATGTGGCTCAGCGAGCCGGACTTTGTGGGAGCCTTCGAGAACGACGAGTTTGTCTACTTCCTTTTCAGGGAAAGCGCCGTGGAATACATCAACTGCGGAAAGGTCAGTTTTAACTTTTTCAAACAACGGATAAGAACAATTATAATTACAAAAGTAGAATATCAACAGATTCATGAGTAAATTAGTTGCAAAGTGAATTGATTTTCCAGAAGAATAAGACAATCTATACCTAAATCAGCAAATACATGATAAAAAGATTAGATACTTCAAAAATTATGAACTAAAACTTTGGAGAATTAAAAGTTTAAATTTTAACAATAAAATAATCATTATTTAAACTTATTAAAAAATAATTTAAAAAATCTCAATTTTAAAATACTTTGTTTGAAGAAGTTGACACTCGAGGAGATGATCATGGAAATGAAGATTCGGGCTTTTCCTCGTTGCAAAAAAAATTGTTTTTATTCAAAAACAAACGGCTCTACCAGTTTCGGTCACGGTCTGCGACCCTATGTGGTTTTTTCAATTTTGCTGATTTTTTGTATTTTTTCTTGCTCATGAAATAGGGTCGCAGACCGTGACCGAAACTGGTAGAGCCGTTTGTTTTTGAATAAAAAAAATTTTTTTGCAACGAGGAAAAGCCCGAATCTTCATTTCCATTTAAAATACTTCTTTATTATTAAGGTATAATTAAATTGATTGATTATTTTATTTCGTATTTCTTATTTGGTTTTTTAAATTAGTTACGTAAATTCAAAAATTATCTTTTCAAAACTGGTCCGTTTCATTCGTAATGACTAATGTTAGTCTTGCACAAATTGACAGTTATTAATCTTTTATACGCTTTTTTAAACATACAATTCTTCAAATATGTGTGCAGATTATTTACTCTCGTGTGGCCCGCGTTTGCAAAAACGACACCGGTGGCCAACTGATGCTGAAAGACAACTGGACAACCTTCCTGAAGGCGCGCCTCAACTGTTCGGTGCCCGGCCAGTACCCCTTCTACTACAACGAGATCCAGGGCTTCAGCTACGATGAGCCGCAAGGGCTCGTCTACGCCACTTTCACCACGCCACAGTGAGTACTTAGCATTTTGCTAATGCAAACAGGTGGCCGGTCGGCAGCCCGTCTCACATTCCATATTCGGCAGTCCAATTACACACAAATGCGCGCGGCTCTTTGTGCTCGGCCGTTCGCGCAAACCATTTTGCGCTCTTGCCTTATTTGAAAATTTTACACCGTAAGCTTGATGCAACAACGCGTTTTTTTTTTTTAATCAGCCCGCGCTAATTTTCTCCTCCATTGGCCAATTGTCTGAGACAAAATTTGAAAGCTTTCTTTTGATGCGGTGACAGTTTGGAGTGTACTTGGATGACTCGGGGCAAAGTCACCGTGAAAAATTGCTGTCAGTCCGAAAGATAGAGCGAAACTATTTTATCGCAGATCGATCTAACTGGCTCCGGGCGCAGTTCATATGTTAATTAAAATTCGGAATTTTCAGGAATAGCATTGCTGGTTCGGCCATCTGTGCGTTCAACATGACCGCGATCAACACGGCCTTCAACGGGGCCTACAAGCACCAGGCCCACCCAGGAGCGTCTTGGGAAAGGCACAGCCCGGCCCACAGCTCGCATGGCAAGTGTCCAACGCCAGGAGGTGGACTTCCTCGAGGTAATTGTCAAAATTTTACAACCGCGGTCTATAAAATATTAATATACGCGCCATAATTTCAGGCCTGGTCGACTCAAGCAAGTACCAAATGATGGACGAAGCCGTCAAACCCCTCACTTTGCAGCCACTGCACATTTCCCAACCCCTGGAGCGACTCACTCGAATCGCCACTTTCACCGTTGACACAAAACTGCACAGGGCAGTGACTGTCATGTTCGTCGCCACCAGCGACGGGAAGATCAAGAAACTGGGCGTTTTGCCTCGAACAATGAGCACCTGCGTGTTGGAAGTGTGGGAACCGTTTTCGCCCAAAGTCAGAGGCTCTGCCAAAATCATGGATCTGAGATATCTTAAAGATACCGTAAGTTGTTTAAATATAATTATGTTTTTATGAATTTAAAAGTAATATAATTAAAGGAAATAATGGAGATTTTTTTTCGATGAATCCCAATTTTCAAGAAAAGAGTTTTCTAAATATCTAACTTTATTCATAAATATTTTCAGGACTCTCTTTACGTGGCCTCGACGGAAGGAGTCCTCAGGGTGCCTGTGCAGCACTGCGCCAGGTTCCCCTCGCGCCAAGCCTGCCTGAACGCCCAAGACCCTCACTGCGGGTGGAACGAACTGAAGCTCTCCTGCACGCCTCCGCCAAACAAGGACCCTCTTGCTCTACACTGGGAGCAGAGCGTGACCAGGTGTCCGGTGCTGACTGACCCTGTAGATGGCTCGTGGGGCAGCTGGTCTGCCTGGTCGAGCTGCGCCTACAAACAGGGCAGCGGCGACCAGTGCCTGTGCAGAATGAGGCAGTGCAACAATCCTGCGCCGCAACACGGAGGAAAGAATTGCGAGGCGGGGCCAAGCATCGAAGTGACAAACTGCACGCAACACGGCGGCTGGACGGCGTGGTCTCAGTGGTCGGCCTGCTCACAGACCTGTGGGGTGGCCGTCAAGTCGAGACGCAGGACCTGTGGCAACCCGGCACCTGCCTTCGGAGGCAGAGTTTGCGTCGGACAAGACCACAGTGAAATTTATTGCTCTGCCAATCCTCCATGCCCAGCAAAGCAAGGACCTCCTCCAAGGTAAGATTTAATTTTATTTAAACAAATTTAAACAATTTAGTTCCTTTAAATAATTAAAAATTAATTTTGTGATTAATTCTGTTTTAGGGATGGGCACTGGTCGGAATGGGGCGCTTGGTCCACCTGCAGTGCAGCAGGTTGCGGGACAGGACTTCGAACTCGAAGGCGCAAATGCGACTCTCCAAGCCCACAGAATGGAGGTCAAGAGTGCCCTGGTTGCGCCGAACAGAGTGAATTGTGTAGCGGTGGCGAAAACTGCCCCGAAGTTCGGAAACTCTCCCCCTGGACACCTTGGCTGGCAATTTCAGCAAACGCATCAGGTAATTTTTGTAGTCAAGAGTTTAAACATTATTATTTTAAAACCATATCATAAGTTTATAACATGATGTTGGTAATGTTTGCTTTTTAGCTTTATGATAAGATTAAGGAATTAGCTCGGCGGTCATATTTACCAATTCAGATAATAAATGTAAAAAATTGTAAACTTTTAATCTTATTATATATTTGTGTAAACAGGTGGCCCTGTGAAGGAACGTCGATACAGGTTCCAGTGCCGCGCACCTGCAACTGATCCCAATCTGGTCAAACTCACTCAGGCCAAGGAGGAGGAAAGAAGCTGTATTGGATCTTCGTGCTCCAAACCTGGCACACCTTCAGGTGTTTCTCACGGTCAATGGGGATGCTGGAGTGACTGGTCTCCGTGCTCAGTGACCTGCGGCCTGGGCATCAGGGTGAGGAGCAGACCTTGTCTCGGCGCCTCTTGCGATGGTCCTACGACGATGGAGGAAAGCTGTGAGGCTTCAGTCAGTTGCCACTGTAAGTTTTATAATTTAAAAATGATTTGAAAAAGTGAAAAATGTTCAAATTTTAGCCCTGGCTGGCTGGCAGCCTTGGACTGAGTGGTCCCTTTGCAACGAAGATGGCGAGCAGTACAGAAAACGGTCATGTCTGGCCTCGAAACCCGGCCCACAGCTTTGTGTCGGCCCCAACAAGCAGACAAGGATGTGCGTCGCAGTGCATTTGGAGAACGAACTGAACATCATCCCTGACTCCAGTGCTGCCCACGTCGCCTCTCACCCTCGAGAGCATGATTCAGTAGGGGTGGTGCTGGGTGCAAGTACGGCCGCCTTTCTGGCCGGTCTTATATCGGCCACGGCGGCCGTGGCCACAATTGTGATTTTGAAGCGGCGGCAGCGGATGAAGAGGAGCCCTGGCAGGGTCCCCGGCAGCCCGCACTACATCCCAGCCAGACAAAACCCGTACGTGTCTGTACCGATGCAAAGAGGGGTGGCCGACGGGAAAAATGCTCTTCTGGACAACGAGGACAACACAACGCCCAAAATCTTCAGTCCAGTCAAACCAGCCGAGTACGAGACTGCCACAATCAAGAGGAACTCGCATAGTTTGGCAAATGGTCACAACCTGAGGGCGGATCTCGACGATCACTTCTTCTAAACGCCCAAGTGTTCAGCATCTTTTGGACTCCTAAATTTGAGCCCAGCAAGTGCCTTTTTTATATAAATGAACAATTTAAGTGCCTTTGATAGTGCCCTTATTGTTGTGCGAAAAACCAAATTATGGGTGCACATCTGTATTAAGTGACGAAACAAAAAGTTGAGGAAATTTCAAGAGAAGCCCGAATTCTCTCTCTGATTGTGATTGACTTATCGAAGATACATGGCATCGACTTCACACTTGTGCCATAGTGCTAAAAAGACTGCAATTTATTATCTCTACGTTGATATATATTTTTGGTTGCAATATTTTTTTCTGATGTATCAAACCCACCTCTCTTTGTTCTGAAAGTTCGAAATGTACTTTTTTTTTAAACTGAACGATATAACTCGCACTCTTTGCGTGCCTTGTGATATAATTAATTTTTTAACACTGCTAAACTGACCATTTTTGACATGCCATTTTTATTTCAAAACAAACATATTTTCTCACTACAGTCCATATCACCTAAGTTTTCAATAAATCCGTTCAAAATTATCATTTCCATCCTGCTATTAACCAAAAATAATAAAATACAACATTAATTATTTTTGCTTGACGCAATTTTGCAGATTTATTTTCTTATGGAATTTTGTATAAAATACATTTTAATACTGACGAGTGGGATGAATGAATGTTGGCTAGTATTTGCGCATTGCATTTGTAATGATTGAGCAAGAGATTTGTTTAAATGCTGAAATTAAATGGATTTGAAGATGGAGAAACTGATGAAATAAAATTATGTTTAATACAAATACTCAAGACGTATAATTAATTTTCTCAAACTTTCTCTTCGACTTTTTATTAAAATTTAGCATTATTTAAATTAATGTATGATAAGAATTTAATATTATAACAAAAATAAAAAAAAATTGATAGATTTTACTCAAATTGGCCAAAATATAACCTATCTTGATTTTCACATATGTTGTTAGGCTAGGTGAGAAAATACTCTCCGTAAAATTTCACTAGAAAATTTTCAGTACTTCTCTGGGAAATCAGATTTCCGAAGGAAAAAAAAAAAAAAAAAAAAAAAAAAAAAAAAAAAAAAGCGATAAGAAACAGAAAATATTGAATATCTTTGCTTCTATTTTGAAATTAAGTAAGTTCTCTTAGGTGCCGGACGTAAAATTTAACGCCCAACAACTTTTCTGTTGACAACTTTTGTGTAGGTCAAAGGTCAAGGTCACTAAATTTGCAAGAAGCTAATAAAGGGACCTTTGCAGTCAAAATTCACACAGACCAAATACGCATTAAGAGTAATGGGAGTCAGGAAGCTTCTCAAGAACTCCTCAGAAAGGCACTGGTTCAATATATCTGCAAAATATTTATTGACTTGGTACAAAAACTCGAAATTGATCTTTTCCTAGGACCACACGCAAGAAGCTAATAAAGGGACCTTTGCAGTCAAAATTCCATATTTTTAATTAAAAGTCACATTGTTTTCGCGCCAAATTTTAAAATTATAAGATTTCTTCAAGCATTCCAATTGGTTGGATGAACGATGAACTTCACCGCCACTAGCGCCACGAAATCTCCTGGCACGAAATTATTTTTGTTTTGATTTGCGATTTTGGGAAATTTTGGTGAAAACCAGTCGAGCTTTACAGTCGAAGACTTGCGACATTAGTTTTTTTAATATAATGTCGAATACTCATTTATTTTTGATCCCAGCAATCGTAAGCGCGCCTTTGAAAAACGGAGTTGGTCGATATGTTGGCCAGCTGCAGAGGGTCACACTAAAGTTCTGCAAAAACAGAGGAGACAGCAGAGGCGTTAGGTAAAGTTTCAGCATGAAAATAGTTGATTTGGCTAATATGTTGGTCATTCTAGGGATTTTATTGAAAGATATTTGGTTGACTACGCGAAGAACAACCCTGGAGTGGTGGTTTATGTCAAGCCAAGAAGACACCGGCCCCCGGTTTTGGTCTCCGAGTTTCGTAAGAAAATTTATTTTTTGAAAGATTTGCAAAAGATTTCCGTTTCTCCTTTTAGTGAATGGGGAGAGGCACGAGCTGAACTGCCGGGACTTTGATGGTTTCCAAGTGGGCCAGTTTCTCAACTTGTATACAAAAATTTGTGGCCGGCAGGAATCTCGTCTGACGAACAGCCTGTACACAAGCCATCCTTCCATTCAGGGTCCGTGGACACCTTGGACCAACAGAGACCCTGAGATGGCCGTTGCAGACCTTATGAATGATAAAAAGTGGAGGGAAAAGGCCAACTTGACTCCGACGGCCACCGATCTTGTCCTGGAAATGTTCAAGCAGCAGCAAATGGATAGCCAGCACCAACTTGAAGAAAAGGAGGCCCAGTAATAGTTCAGCCTGTTTCATATTTAGTTAGTCAGATAGACAAAGGTTTATCACAAGTGATTTCTCAAATGTATTGTTACATAAAGACTTTTTAATTGTGGATAATAAAATGAAATATCCTGAAAGAAAATACATTTTGTCGCTTTGAATTTACACTTGATCATAACTATGTATAGTTTGTACTTTTCATCATATTGGTTCCCTTTTAATTTTATTACTTAGTATGGGTAAAACTTAATTGAAGGTCATTAAAATACTTGCTTAATAAGGACAAATTTTATTGCAAATATACAATATTCTACGCTGTATATTTCAAAATACTTGATATATAAAGCCTTTCTTGCGGCTCTTGCAAAATCCAAAAATTCTACCTGTATTTATAATACAAATTACTTTCATTTCTATCAAAATGGTAGCTCTTTTTAATAATTGCAAAAGGGCAAGCACATTATGTCAGTAAAAACTGCTTTCGACACTTTTTGTTGTATAAATTTATTTTAATCAGTCTAGATTGCTTCTCAATGTGAATTTGATTTGTTCAAATACGGCTAAATTCCAAAATATTAGGATGTGGTTAAAGCAGATGCCACTCTTGTACAGGCATATTACAAATTTACGCACATTGTTCATTTTTCCTTTATTTTTTAAATTAGTTTCAACTGTTCGTAAAATAAAAGAAAGTCTCCTGACTAAATAATTGCGTGCATGTTAAGATAGTGGTGGTTCAAAGAAATGCAACCTACAAGAATAAAAAATATTGCGTCTATTGCTAAACAAAATTATGCATTACTGACGTTGGTGAATTCGATGAAATGAGTATTCGAGAGAGCAAGAAGAACGATTTTGGCATTTCACATAAGCAGTCCAAAATTATTTTCATAAACATTATCACCGATCGATTCACTGCATTCTCTGTCAAACCCTGCTTGAATTATTGCATGAATGTTTCTTAATTAAAAAATAGGGTGCTTCGGTTCGAGCACACGGCTAATTTGAAAGATAAAATTTTGGTGTGTGTGAAAGAGGTACCCGTACCTAACGAGAGAAGTAAATAAATTAATTAATGCTTTGGTACTTGATACCGGCTGCAAAGACACTGCTTGAGCTCAGGCACTTGTGTTTGTCTCTAAGTCACTTCTTCTTTAGTCATGCTCCATGATGATGTTGAACTGACGGAAGTCCTTGATGTTCTTGTCCGAGATGGACTGCGGAGGCAGGTCATTCTTCTCAGGCAGGTGCTCGGGCACCGCCGTCTCCTGGTAGATGTCGTCCTCGTAGTACTCGTTGGAGCCGGACGACAACTCGGCCTGCTCGCCGTTCAGCTCGGGCACCAAGTTGCACTTGTGCAGATATGTGGGTGGGGGCAGGTCCAGGTGTTGGCGCACCAGCAGGTACGCCCTCGGAGAACTCTTGTACAGGTTGGCGGCGAACTTCATGATGACCTCCGAGTAGCAGTCAAGAGCGTACGAGTTGGCCTTTTTGTTGCGAATGTGATTGTCGATGATCTGCAGCAAATATTTGACTCATAAGTATTTGAAAAATAAAAATAAAAATGGAGGTTCATTGTTGTAAATAAGTGTTTTTCTATTATAAAAATAAGTTAAATTTGATTTTAAAATTAATGTGCGTATATTTATTATTATTTTTTTTTTTGTAGTTTTTCATTTTCATTTATAATTTTTTTATTTTAATATTTGTGTGACAAATCTTAATACCAATAAACGTTAATTGAAAGTAAAATTTCAATTAAATAATAAAATAAAATTGACAATAAAACCAATATTATGATTTTAAATATTATTATATAATCATGCTTTTGTTAGTCAAATTTTTGAATAGTTGCTGACCTGAAAGGCAGTGTTGTCGAAGTAACGTTTAAGGAACTCGATGACCGTTGAATCGACGTTGTTGTTGAGCGCGGAGAGCCGCAGTCGCAGGTCCTTGATGATGCCGTCCCTCTTTTTCAGCTCGGCGTGCAGGGCCGCGTTTCTGCGCTGCAGACTTTCGACGGAGGGGCTGATCCTTTGCTGGAGATCTTGCGGCACTGCCGTTACAACCATACTCTCGCTTTTGACCTTGACCCTTTCGTCCTCGGGCTGCATGCTGATGGAGAGAAACTGGCTGACGTCCAAGGGCTCGTCGTACTCATCATTGGACGAGTGGCCGTTACTCGGTGGAAGGATCGGCCGCAGCTTAGGAACAGGTTTGCCATTGCTCGTCGTGATCACCACGGAGCCGTTCAGGGCGTTCGGCAGCGACAACTTGGCCATCTTGCGCGGCTCCTCGTACAGAATCGGACTGCGCGAGTCGCGCTTTAAGGACTTCTTTTTCACAGGGACAATGGAGACGCCGCCCGGCAGCAGGGCTTCCAGTTTAGAGGGAGATCGCGTCACTGTGATGTTTGGAGAGATGATCTCACTTAGGTCAGGCCCTTCATTTGCATAGCTCATCTGCTGTGAAAGAGTAAATCGAATAAGGCATAGTTCAATAAATTTTGATTTATTTATTGTTAATTGAGACAAAATTTAATGAAATATTTTAAGCATGTTAGTGTTTAGGTAAAAATTTATTTTTGCAGATCAATTTTTATTTTGAAAATAAAATAAAATTAAAATATTGTTTTGGGAGGTTTGGAAGTGTTTTTACTAGGCTTGAAAAATTGGATGCATTCCAAAATTTTCACTTTAAATTAAGATATAAATTTTTTGATGTCTTAAAATTACGTTTCAGTGTCTCAAAAATTTGAAAACATAATTAAAATCCAGAATTATGGCAATAGATTTGTCTTTTTAAAGGGTTAGTTAAATTATTTTCTAATAATTCATTATTTCCAACAGCCATTTAATTTGGTGGGCTTAAAAGAGGGCATTGCCCATTCCTGCCACGCTCGGCAGACGCCGACCTGAATTTGCTGGGGCGAGACGAACGGCACTTTCATCGGGCTGGCGTCAGACATGGGCATCATGGGGCGGCCGCGTCTGGCCGTCGGGTTGAAAATGCTGGGCACCACCCCCTCCTTGAGGAAGTGCTTGAGTTTGCCCGGCTTGGTTTGGTAGTCCTCGGGCAAGAAGTGCTCGCTGCACACGAAACTGTTCTTCGTGGGGAACCAGTCGAGGCGGCCGATCGCGTCGGCCCATTTGCGGCACATGTCCTCCCGCTTCATCGGGAAACTGGAAACAGAAGAGAAGATTCACCATTTTAATTATATTCTGTACGAAAATAAACTGTATTTCAGTGAGAGCAGTTTAGAAAGGTCTAACTAGAAACCGTTAATTTTTCTATACTGTTCAGCCTTATTAAAAAAAGTATCATTTTACACGCGCCAAAAATACATTTTTTCCTTTACCGACCGAATAGCCAGATTTTTTGTTTATATTTTTAGATTCAATAAAATAAGAAGGGAAACAACGCTGCGATTTTCTAAGGAAATAAATATTTCAAGTTACAAAAATCAATATTTATTTTTTCTACTTAGTTTTTTTTAAATTAAAAAGAATAAAATTGATTATTTGAAAAATTTGAAAACAATTTTTTGTGCGATTTAGTTGCGAAATTGGGCTTCCTTGAGAAAGCTTTCTAATCTCGGTAAGATGTGAATTATTCAATTTCCGGCTGCAAACTTGCAAGCGACAACGGCAGGTGCATCGGTTATAATTCTCAGGCGCTGCGGGAAAAGTCCAGTTTCGCCAAATCAGATCGGCGCATCCGCGCGGCAAACAAAGGTCCTTGACCGGCAGCATTGGACTTTTCTTATTCTTTCTTTCTCTTATTTATTGTGCGCGGTGTGAAATCGCGTCGCGGATTCGTGGAAAAGTGACGCGGCCGCGCACCGAAATGGGAAAATCTGAGGCCGCCGTCGGTGAAGTCGGCGGCTGCGAGCTCTCCATGCTGGCAGGAAACAGGATGTCGAAAATAAATTGTGAAAAGCAGCGAGCGCGGTGATGGCCGAGGAGAAGGAGCGAGGAGGAAAAAGCTCTTTATTTCGAGCCGGCGGCTGCTGAGAGAATTTCTCAAGCGGCGGCCGCGATAATGGCAAGCGAGAAAGAAAATGCTGGCAGATATTTAGGGCAAGAAGGAGCAGCGCCGCCGCCTAACTGCGAACACAGCCAGCCGCGCCGGCAGGATGGAAATTATCCGCTAGAGTTCACGCCAAAATCGGCCCGTTTCCTCACAGAATTCTCATCTTCCCAATTCTGCGCAATTCGTTTTTTTTTTCTCAAACTGACGGGCGAGAATTTCCATCTATAGGAAGGGGGGCTGATTTGAAAAGCGGTGACCCACTTGATGCGCTGCTTCGATTTCGCACAATCGCAAACATTTTCTAGAGGTCGTTGGTCCCTCTTGTCATTCATTCGCCACATTCAAAGTTCTCCCATTATTCACAATAGTCACATCAAATTTAGTTTCTTTTCAATTGGCCTGTTTGGCACATATTTTTGCACTTACAATAGGGGAGGAAATTGAATTTACTGCATTAAAATTGAAAATTAGAGGGGGGAAAATTGAGATTGTTTTCCTCTCTTGTACAATTTAAATCGATAAAAAAAATTATTATTTATTATCGTTAAAAATTTATTTCATTTATTATTTATTAGATTTAACATTTATTTATTTACTCTCCATTCGATATACAGTCATGGATACGCAGCAAAAAAACTAATATAAAAAAGTACAGAAAAAGGTGAAAAAACATTAATCTTCACAAATAAATTTAATATTGATGTAATGAGAATCCGCATTAATTTTGGCCGAAATACTTTAAATAGGAATTAAACAAATGCTCAGAGCTTTTCAACTGATGAAAAAATAAAAGTATTTTATTTAAATTTTTAAAGTATAATTCATTCTAATCATCTAAAAAAATTTATTATTTTGTAGTTGACTAATTTGAACGCTGCGCATTCAAAGTACCCAAATCAATTGAATAACAAAATTTATAAATAATCTTTCCAAGATAATTACGAATGAAATTTTTCCCATCATGCAAGTAAAAAAACAGATAATAAATTTAAGCAAACCGATGAAAAGCAATTTAAAAAGATCAAATTAATCGGCGATGTGTAAAAGGAAGTGGGCGCAGCGCCTAATTATTGTGCAAGCGGACGGACGAGGAGGGTCAATTTCCCATTTTCTGGCTTCCGTTCGGCCGAAAGGAGGTCGGAGCGTCGGTTCTCAGCAGATTCTTGGCAGCAACGCTCTCCGGGCTTTACTTGCGCATAATAATTTTACGTCTTTGCTCCAGAAAAGAAAACGTTCGCAATAAAATTCTCGAGTCGCGACGTGTGGGAAGTTTCTTTTGGGCGCAGAACAATCCAGAAAGGTGAAAAGCGAGTTTCTTTCTTCGACTTTGCTTTTCCATAATTCAAGAGATACACAGAGAGCGCGGCTGATAAACAGCGACGGAACAAAGGTCAACGCCCTGCTGCCGCCGTTCGACTCGTCGTGATCCGAATTCGTGCCCAGCCATTGAAATGGGCAACCAATGAGGTCACCAGGAAGTGGCGCGCTTGAAAATTGTCCGCGAGAGCGAGAGAGACGCTCGCTATTTTTATCTCGGCTGCAGCTGGACAAAGGGACTTTCTAGGCGGGAGGGCGCTCGACGCAGAACCGAAATCGTGTAAAATGTTCGGAGAGATAAAAAGTCGCTGTTGACCGAGTCAGTCAAAGTCGCCTGTTTTCTTTTTAAGAAAAACATCTTACCATTAGGTGGGGGATTTATTTTTTAAGAGATTGGCTTGTTTTCTTAGGCCACGCCGACGATGCCAAGTGAGGCTCGAACCGGCGGAGTTGCGATTTTCATTGCAACTACCTAAGACTTTCCTGGGCAGTAAAATTAAGAGATTAATTTAAGTGTAATGAAAAGGCTATAAAAATTCAATTTTGTTAATATTTTTGAAATATCAATAAAAAAAATTATTTTCATGAATTAATATTTGTAATGCAATGCCCGTTACTAGGTTTTGCCGCAATTTAAAGTAATTTTTGGAAAATTTATTAAAAATTGCAATGCAAACATTATTATCTGCAAAAACCGAGTGCTTAGCATTAATGAGTAATCCAAAATTAAGTGGAAAAATACTTTGGTTAAACCCTGACATATTAAAATGATAAAATAAATTGTAAATCTTAATTTTAACCTTTTAAGATGTAAGTTGAAAGTTTTACTCAGTTGAGTTTTCAATAAAGACCATAATTATATATTTACAATTATTTTTTTTAAGAACAAAAGTTTTATAAGTAGAACAATAAAATTAATAAGAAAATAGTTCCAGAAAATGTATTTCAATTGGAATACGAGAAAAATTTAAATTTCTCTCCTAAACTTGGGATTAATTTAAAATGTATGTTGCGTAATGGATCACATTTATTTATAAGGAATTCTCTTTTTTGACTTATAAAGAATTTAAAATAAATTTAAATATCTGTATTTACTCATAATTATTTTAAACTTCAGCAAAACCTAGTAAGAGGAAAATTGCACTAGAAATATTATGAAGTTAAAATTTAGGGATTTCCATTTATGTGTATTTTTATAGATTATGGAAGTGAAGAAAATCGGGCTTTTCCTGGTTGCAAAAATTGTTTTTATTCTCGTTGCAAAAATTGATTTTGAGTAAAAACAATTTTGCAATGAGGACAAGCCCGATTTTCTTCATTTATATGATCATCTCCTCGAGTGTCAACTTCTTCAAACAAATTTATAAATTATGTAATAAGAAAAAAATATTAATTTAAAATCATATTCACAGTTTACATCAATGGAAAATTAATTAAACTATTATGGATTGTTCTCATTCCTAGGAGAGAAAAATATGATCGAATTTCTTTAAATCAATGAATCATTTCAGTTAATATGAAAAATTACCACGAATAACGCAGAAAAGCTTAAAAATCGGCAAAATTTTTTAAAAATCTGAATTTGTAAAATTTTATTATTTAATGTAGTTTTAATGAGATAAAATTATTAAATTATACTTTCATCTATATTTATTGGCAGACCCATCAGTGAGAAAAACAAAAGCTAAAGAAGTTATCCTTGAACTCGCACGACGAGACGCATTGCTTTGACTAAAAACAGCTGATCTTGACGCGCAACAAAACGCAAAATCCCCTCGACGCGATTTGCGTCTCGCAATTTCTCTAGTCGGATGAGTTTGGTTTCCTTATCGGAAAATTTTGTGCACACGACACGAAAATTCCCCAAGTCGGGGCGCTGCCGGAAAGTCCGCGCCGATTACTCCTCTGACTCATCCCCTGAAAGGTCTTTTTTACCAAGAGGAAAAAAATTAATTATAAGTAAAATACAAAAGGCGAGTAAAAAAAAAAAAAAAAAACACAAAACCTGGATCATGGCGAAGGTACAGAAGCAGGGGAGGAAATTGTGGGAGAAAATGCGAGGGGATATTAAATTTGGTCATGTGCGGGGCCGAGGCTAAAAATAAAGCCTGGCGAAAGGGCGCAGGCCGGGAAGGAAAAACGGTGCATCGGCCCGAAAATAGCGACGCTACCGAGTGAGAGGAAAACACCGTAAGCCGCCGTGGAAGCGGAAGTCCGTGCGCGAAACGGTACTACTGAAAAAAGATCATGTTGCAGCCGAAATTATTGAGATTTCGGCACCGACCTGTGGAACTGGATGAAGCCGCCCTTGACGAAGCGGTTTCGGCACGTCGGCACCGAGCACGAGATGACCATCTTGGCAGGGTGGGTCGGTCGTCGGTCGGCGCGGAAAATCAGGGGACGACACCCGCCGTCGACATGACACACTCTCCTCGCTCGCTCACTCGCTGACACGCTCGGCAGCAGCTCTTCTGCCTGCCCGCTTCAATGCTGCTCTCGTTCTTTTTCTTTCCTCCTTTGCCATATGACGGCAGTTTTCCATTGGCTCGGTGCTTTTCCCACCGGTGCTGCCACCTGTGCCCGAAACGACGCAGGCCGCCCAGACGACCCACTGGCGGGTAGGCAACGTGCGCTCCACCAGAGGTACGCGGACTGCATAATCAGTCATAGTCAAATGTTTTGGAAAAATGAGAGCTATCAATTTTTATTTCATTTGCTTGAAACCGTTTCTTCGTTCCACAATTTTGTAGGAAGTTTTACAGATAACAACTGAATTAAAATTAATTACATTTAAAAATAAATTACATTTGTTGGTTCATGATTTGATAATTTTGAAATTAAATCTAATAATGAAATTAGATCAATTATACTTTTAATTAAAATAATTTTAATTAAGTTCGACCTCTTTGATATATCGATAAATATTTGGGAATTAAATCGATTACTGAAAACTACGACATGAATTTTTTATTCATCAAAACTTTTCACAATAATTATAAACTTCTTAATTTTGGCACTTTCAATAGTCTGGTGAATATTTTAAAACAACCAAAAATCTTACTATATAAATGAAAAAAGTCGTAAAGTTTGCCCCGAGTATATTTATAATAAGATTATTTGCTGTTTTAGAAAATTTTGTTAATTTTTAAATATTGTTTGAAATGACGGCCAAAAGTTATAAGTTTATATTTATTGTGAAAAGTTTTGATGAAAAAAAAATGTACTTTTCTGTAGCCTATTTAATTCCAACATATTTAAATCCGTACATCTAAACTTGAATAAATTTATTTTGATTAAAATATAATTTATTATCTAATTTAATTATTAGATTTCATTTCAAAATTATCAAATCAAAGAATCAACATATATATGACAAATGATTTATACGTAATTTATTACATTTTTAACAAAATACGTCCATTTTTATTAAATTTTAATTCAGTTGTAATCTGTGTACTAATGGCAATTAGCAAAAATTTTATAAATAAATTACACTAACGGCAAAATAAATAAATATAAATAATACTAAAATAGGAAAAAGATAAATAATAATTATTAATGTAGCCAAACTGATTCACTTTTTCGTACTTTTTCAGAATTAAAAGCAAGAGCAAAACTTCTCTATGAGCATTTTTATCTTTCCAATCTTTCTGATTCTTTTATTGTCAATGCTGGTGGTGATTGATTTACAATTTTTTTTTTCTAGTATTATTGTTTCATAATTAAACTGGGTATTTTGTTTTCATTTTTCATTAGATTATCGAAACTACTCTTTCTCAGCCGAAATTCTTCAATTTGATTTTAATCACATTTATGTAATTGTTTTGAATTGCAGTGCCTTTTTTAAAATTTACTGGAATATTTGTCACCAATAACATATTTTTTGGTTAATTAACAAGTGCGTTAGTTAAAACACTTTTTGCTTTTTAAATTTTAAAGGTTTATCTCGGTTTATCTGCAACAACTCCACGCGAATCGCAAATCAACGTCTGGCCACTCGGCCGACTTGCTGTTCAAACGACTGGCACGGCCCGCAAGTAATTTACTTATTTTATTATGCGTGTTTCTGAGTAACAACAAGTTTTTTAGTACCGTCAAGTACGATGCCACCCCGCGCCGTCCTACTCTCTGCATGAGAAACGCAAGCGCGCGCTCGGGGGTGAAGGACAGTCGGGGGTGGCTCGGCGCGCCACCACCTTTCACTCCAAGTGCGGCCGGCCACGAGGGCGTTTCCACCTTTCCACCCGCTCTTCGCCGAACTAAGGAGGAAATCATTCAAAAAGGTATAATTTACAATAAATTCAAATATTTTGAAATAGAATAATTATGTTGAAGAAGTAATACCTCTTTGAAATTAAAAAAAAAAATGTTCTGAATTTAAAATTGAAATTTTTACAATCTTATTTCAAATTAATTTTTGATTTTATTTTTTACACTCCTCATTGGGATCATCATTAAAAAAGGGAAAATTCTGTGAGGCCGCGGCTATCAGCTTATTAGGAATAACTTTTTCCGAGAAGTTTCTGTCGTGATACGACTGTGGTTTAGTGGTTTCGTCGAATGCATTATTAGAGAGCAAAAAGTAGGCGGCTGCGGACTAGCGTTAATTCCTATTTGCGTAGACTTTGGAATTTATTATTTTTTTTTCTTTTTGCTTCTAAATCTACCAATGTGGGACGAGATTAGGCCGTATCCCTATAACCAGACTATTAATGCCTTTTTTTCTTTCATTAACTTCATGCAATATTGGGCGATAAAAAGTGAGGCCTCGTTACTCAAGCGGGCTGCAATATAGCGCCTGTGATGGAATGAGAGCAAAAACCAGCGATCCGAGGACTAAAATAAACACAAATATAAAAATTGATATGCCGTTTGCTCTGCGCAGAAAATTCGAAACAGCAGCGACCGTGCATGAATAGGCGTCCACCGAGGCGAGGGTCGAGAGCAAATAGCAGTCAGGCTACCTGTGTGCAAAACAGCACATTTCCATTTGCTGCTTTACGTGAGCTCTGGCATATAATGAATGTTTCACCTTTGCTTGTTTTTAGTCTCACTTTGTACATAATGAACATATTATGAACCCCTTTTCATTTTGTATAATTGCCGGAAATTGATTCAAGCCTGCTTTTACGCCAAAAACTTTATGCGTACTTTCGCGAATTCAATTTTACTCTCGGACGATGATGACAATTTTATTAATTAACCACCCCTGCCGGCGGCCGCGTGTGTGCCGCACAAGAAATGTTTTACATTCATTTTTATATTTATAAAAGTTTCCGCCCACATGCACGGCGCGCGCTGTTTTTCGTGTTTGATCGATTGTTTAAAAGAGCTGGGTCACTTTTTGACCCGAAACACGCGAGGTCTTTTGCTTATATTCCAAATGATCTTTAATTTTATGCTCTGCCTATTATTGCACCCGCTTTCCGGATCAAAACCTGCGCGAACTTCGACCCTCAAAAGCACGCGAGCACAGATTCTCGTCGCGACAAGCGAAATACAAAAAACTTTAAAAGTCTTTTCAGCGCCTTTTTGCCAATGAAAAGTCGTGTTTGTATAAATAAATAAAAAATTCAAGGAAAATCTGTAAGTGAAAACAAAAGATTTCCCCTTCAGAAAACTCTCTGCTGAGATGCATAACGCACGACTGATACGGAATACTCGGAAAGGCAAAGAAAACGCTCGGGTTTTTGTGTAGCAAGTTCTTTGATCTTCAAAAAATCTTTTGCTTTGTTCAAAATGCACCTACGGCGCAATGCGTGCTCTTTTCCAATATCCGTTATATGAAAGAAAATGAGGGTGAGGAGCAAGGAAGAGGAAAGTGAATTTTATAAAACTTCAGTAATTGGGGTTGGAAAGTTTTTTTGACCTCACAATTTTATAAAAATATGATCGTTTCCCAGCATGAAATACACGCTTTCTGTTTTGCATTATGGCTATTAAAAACAGATAATCAAAATGTGGTTTTTGTTAAAGAATAAGCAAACACTTTTGCTCTAGGCATCGACTTTTCTTTTGCAAGCCGTACAACAAAAAACTTTATTGATTTCGCCTCACTTTGATATGAAAAGGAGAAACTTATATCTCGAGCCTATACTCTTTGTGAGTTTTTGTGTCCCTTATGCGAGGGAGCTGTAAAATTATTTACCGCTTCGCACAACATTTCCTAATAAAACTTTCAATCTCAACGTAAGAGCAAACAAAGTTTTGAGTCAAAAGTGTGCGTTTCCTACGAGACGGTAAATGTCAAGTTCATTCTCACGAATCCCCACAGCACTAAAAAATTGCGTAGGTGCGACAGTTTTAAATTGCTTTGCGCATATAACAGCATTTTCCGCAGGCAAGATATATAATTTTGTTTGTTTTCCTTTCAGCGCTTTTCATTATTTCCCCTCTAAATCCGCATGATTCTGTAAAAAGCGCAATTTTCCACATAATCAAGTTGTGAAAAAATAAAAATAAATGAATGCAGCTGCTGCGGCTGAAAAATAAAATCCACCTGCGCTGCATCACGTGATGCTTTTAAACGGGCACAGATGTTGTATAATTTCCGCAGACGGAGCGCGAAATTATTCCCTTTGAGAGCAAATAAATGACCGCGGGGCAAATTAAAAGAGAAAATTAGCCAGGGCTCGATTGTTTCAAGAGCGCTGCGTGTTTTAACAGCTTTTCGGCCACAACGCGAGCATCGATCCCCGCACATGGTCGCACTTTTGATGATTATAGGCGCGCATTTAATTAGATTTTTGCGTTCGATTCGCACACCGCGTACATGTTGAATCAAACGTCGTTCAATTGAAGCTTCGATTGTACATAAATGAGTAGCGATCATGTAATATAATTGGATTCGTTGCATCGCGACTCTTATGTTTCCATGGTGATCTGACGTCACATAACAAATTTATTACCCGAGGGAATAAATGCACAAGAGGTTGTTTTCTGCTCAGAACTAAATCAATTAGTTATGCGAAATCTGATTGTTTTTCTGGTAAAACAGAAATAGCGCCACAAGTGCCACAAAGAGAGGCAACAACCTATTCGGGAGCAATTAGGCGACAAATTGATTGTGCCGGCGCGTATATCACTCTTTACCTGTGTGTGTAGGAGCGACGGGTAACAAGATAAACGCTGCACAGCGTTTCTCTGAAGAACGGCAAGCGCGTCGCCCTAATCAATCCATCATCGCCAATCAATTTTCCTCTCTTCACACAAAAGCCACAAAAAAGTTTGGCACGCGCAGAGAAAACGCGTCAAGTCAAATCCAATTCTTCCGAGATGTTCCAAGTTTGCATTTTTTCACTTTCTTCCACCCAAAGTTTTGTTCTCTTCATTTAAAAAAAATATATGATAGAATTGCATTTATTTAGTAGGAGTAAAATAATAAGAGAAATTCGTTTGGATCAAAATGGTGAATGTTACGTAAAAGATCAATCTGTCACTAAAGAGCGGCTTTATTTGATTTTGAGTGGGTCTCTTTCACACCACAGTTATATCTTATATGCGTGCAGTCATCAATATCGGCGCAATAAGGGCCACTTGGAACGTCGAAAAGGGAAGTTAGAACAGTAGACGAGGGCTTTCATCGTGGCCTGCTTTCACGCAATAAGCGGCTCATTCTCGCAAACCGCCCGCGGAACTGTCTCTTAAATTTAATTTTTTTGTGGAAACCAAAGATTTGTGCTTTAAATATCAAAAGCAAAAAGATTTAAAAAATATGATGAGGCAAATTACAAAATATTTAGCAAATTTAAAATATCATTTAATGATTCCCAAATTCTTGGGGTTTTCCAATTTGAGATAAAAGCGAGCGAATTGAATTTGCTCTGATTGCGCCGCGTGGACGGAAATTGGATGAGGCACCCCTTCAATTGCACGGAATAATCTCCGAGTTTTCAATCGGCTCACGTCCCTTTGATATGGCCTCTGATATCCCTTACCTTTTCTCATTCACTTTGCCCACGCATTTCTCAAAGGCAAAAAATCACTCTCACCAGATCACGTTTGCCCTTACGGATGCTTGGCCGGATTAAATAAATAATCACGGCTAAAGGTCATATCGCTCAGCATCACATAATCATGAAGCCCAGCACAATGTCCCTCTGATGAAATGACGGCCTGCTTTATTATTACCCTTATAACTCAGTATAATACCCTGCTAGGATATTATATGAATCCACGCGGTGTCCACCAGAGACTTGGGGTTTAGGGATGTGTTCTAATTAACAGCATTAGCAATTCTGCTTTCATAACTTCATGGCTTCTGGCCGCCAACAATATAACCCTTTATCTAACAACGCTTGACTTTCCCATGGTGTTTAACTCCAAAGAGATTTTTCGGAGCTGATTTTCATCCTTTGAGCTCAAAAAAGCAGCTAATTCTCTTGTGCCGCGGAGTCTAGCCGTGAAAAGGCAAATGCGCGCATTTGTTGTGTGTTTTCGTGGAAAAAGGATGATAAACCACAGCTGATTACGACTTTCAAAGCTGCCTGTTTAATGCTAGAGCTATTTGCGCACCGTAGCGAGTTGAAATTGCAAAATGTACGACTTGGCCGAGCTCCCTTTAGGCCCTTTCATCCCTGGCGAGGGTTGCGAGAGAGAGTGACACGAGAGGGTCTCTGTGCAGGCAGAATGTGCGCCAGCAACAAGCCCACTTTGCTTTTTTCGCCACACTTGCCACAGTGTGCCGCTAAGGCCGTTTTGTTGGCACAAGACTCATCATCAAGTTTTGAAGGTTTTCATCAAGCTCGCCGGGTGTTGTGCATTATTTAGGGCGCACGACAAAGGGGCTCATTATGCAGAATACTTTTCACTGGCTCTTTGCATGGCCGCAAGAAAGAAATGTAAGCCGGAATAAGGCAATTCAGCTCGCGATTAACATTTTTCAAACATTCAGCCAATATTTTAATGCGTTCATAAATCTAAATTTTACGAACCAGGACTGAGCAGTTTTTTCATGTTAAGAATGCAAACTTTTATAATTGACGTTTTACTAGCATTATCCTTACAATTTTACGAGCTTTAATAATCCCCAGAAAACATGGATAAATGAATTAAATTGAAATTAACAATCTAAATTAGCTTATAAAAAAATATGTATTTTTTTTTTACATTTTTCCAAAACCAACTTTTCTGCAACATGACGTGCTCTTTGCCTGCTTGATTCTTTTGCAAAAAGGCCTTGGATTAAAATTTAATCTTTACATACCCCTAGCCCTTTTGCCTTTGCAAAGTTCTTTTTAAGTGACCTAGTTGTGCATATTGCAAGCGCATTCATAAATGAAGCAAACATTCCCCGGTGTTTGAACGACCGGTTGCTTTATTCAAATTGTATCAGCAACAAGCACTCACGCAGTTTTGCACCTGCCGCGGCTGATGGAAGGGAGGAGCTTCTGCCTAAAATGATAATAATAATTGCGGTGGCGGAGCACATATGTACATGATATGGTACATACACTGCCGGCTCAAAAGAGATGATGAGGGGACGAGAGCCAGGCTGTCTGTGCCTCTTGCGAGAGGTCAAGTGATGCGCTCTCGCTTACTCGCCCGCCAGCGGCTATGCTTTTCATTTCGTCAGCACGCCATTCAAAATTTGTCAATCAGAAAAGGAAAAAAGAACCCGCGGAGAGTAATGAAAAGCCTCTTTGCGATCACACAGCCATAAATTTAGCCTCACATTCGTTTTGCCTGATGTGATGTGAGAGGGGTTCGTTATAAGGGCTGCCAGCAAAAGTTTCCTTTGGCTTTACAAGTTTAAGAACGAGCTATATAGATATAGAAAAGACTGAAGTTTTGCTTTGAGCAGCAGCAGCAATAACTTTTTTAGTGAAAATTAAGTATCAAACATCAAACGTATCAAATATATTAAAAATTTTAATGCAAGTTTATTTTGGTTATATATAACAACTATTTATTATAAAGGCTACAAATTTATAGATTTTTCAAACCTATGATTAATAAAAAATTAAAATAATAATAATAATTAATTTAGGATAATTTAAGTGGGTATTATTAATGAATATAGTTTATTTACCTACTATTAAAAATAATGATTTAAAAACACAATAATTAATAAATATTAAATCTAATGTGATAATGAAAAAAGTTGAATTGAGGTTTCTTTGAAAGTTAAAATTAAATAAAATTTATAATAATTACTATTTTAAAATTGTATAATTAAAATTAAATTGAAAAATAGCACATAACATTGTTTTACAATGTACCAAAATTAATTTAATTATATTTTGCTCACTGCAATAAAACAATAAGTAAATTGGAAAGTATAATCTCTGCAAAGCCGGAATCAGAGCGACGAGTTTGCTAAAAATGGACATTCGAACTAGGCTCCTTGTTTTTCAATGGCAAAACAAGCGAATCCCTTCAGGCCAAACTTTGCCCAGCTCGTAGTTCCGTTATGCCGGCGAGACCCGCGCCGATCCGCGGCACAAAAGTATAGGCCGAGAGCTAACGAGGCTGATTAAACTTTAACGCGATGTCCATCCCCGTCGAAAATCATCAATAATTTTGCACTGGAACTTGCAGGGTTGAAGAGCGGAGGGACTGTGTGTTTGAATAACAATGCTGCCGTGAGAGAAGTACCCACGATTAAGAGGCGGATAGAGTATCACAGCGGCGCGCACGTGAAATAATAATAAACGCGCGCGCGACAAACATGACGTCCGAGGTGTTTCGTGAGCAGAATGCGGCGTTGAATAGGAAGAGCTGCACCTTGCTCACGGGAGGAGGACTCGGGGACAGGAAGATCAGTAGCGTGTCCGCAGCCAGCGCGAGCACTAGCGGTTACTTGTCCTCGCCAGCGTCGTTCTCCAGCGACAGAAAGGTGAAAAATAACGCGGGAATCAATTTTGATTAATCAATGTAGATTTAAATAATCATGTTCATCCTCATTGTATTTTTATTATTTTTAATTCGAATTTACTTTGAAGAATTGAAAAAAAAATTATAGTTGATTTAGTTGCTGGACTTTATCGATAATTTTCTGTCTGCCCTTGACTTGCAGTAATCTTGTTATCAGCTCAGTCAGTTGCTCATTAACGTTTATGACCTTCTTTGTCCAGGTCTCCGTCGGAGTTCCAAATCAACTGCAAGACAGGCGAGTGACGAGCATTTCGTCACCGGAGAGGAAGACGAGCGGATCAGAGAGAGGCGAATCCAGAACTTCCAGCGTCTCCTCGCAGAGCAACGTGAGGGTGCCGACGCTGTCGAGGGCGGCGGCGTTTGACAACCACCGGAGAGAGTCTCATAGGTGATTAACATGCACCCCCCAAAAGCGCCGCTGTCACGCGAAAGACATATTAAAGCACAAAGCAGCAGAAATAGACTCGGCTCATTTACATGGCGGTGGATAAATTCGTCAGAAAAATTGTATTAATATTTTTATGCACAGCACGGCGGAGAGCGGCAGCAGTTTTGGCCACCCCCACAACCCCCACGTCCAGCGCAAATTCATCAACACGTGGAAACAGGCGTGCGACAAGACGCGAGAGCGCACCAAAGACCTGATCAAAAGGTGGCGCACCCTTCCCGAAGACAGCCCCACCTACGACACCCCTGAGGATGAGTGCAGAAGTAGTTCAGCGTGGAGCCATTCTCTAGGTAAATTGCTAGCATTCATTTTTATTGATGGATTTTAAAAATCGTCTTTTCCTCGATGGTTTTTTTATGTAGCTCAATTTTAAAAAAAATATAATATATATTTATTCCGCTGCAGGATCCATGTACCCACTATTCATTATTATTGCAATAAAAATCCGCAAAAATCAATGTACAATTCAAGATTATTTTTATTTTTTTAAAAATCATCAAATTGACACATTTTAAAGAAAGAAAAAAACCGAAAAAAACACTTTCAGCTGTTACAATATTAAATATAAAATACAATTTAAAATATTGTGGAGCAGGATAATTTTTTATTTCGTTTTTAATTTATTTTTTCTACAAAACAAAATGAATAAACAATTCTCAAAACACCCATCGAGGTAAAGTCAATTTTTAAATCTACACAACACTAATTAACGCACGATCGATCAACCGTTTACACAATTCGTTTAAATTTATAATTTAAATTCAGCCGAGTGGAAAAATGTGGAGCTGGTGGCCAATCTTGGCGACCCAATGACTTCCAGCTACCAAGAATCAGAATGGTGGCGTTGCAGAACATACCCTGGCAGCCCACCACCTCCCCTGGTCCCACTTTCTCCAGAGCAAAGGGTCAAATTGGCGCAACTCTTCAACACCCTCTTGGACACGGACAGCGACAGTTTGGTTTCCGCAGACGATTTTCATTCATTAGCCGAGGTTTTTTATTTAAACAGTTGAAAGAATAGTAAAAATTGATGATTTGTACTCACCTAGCGGCTGATCCAGTTTGCCGGCTGGAAGGAGCATGGGCCGCAGGCGTGCACGCTAAGAGAGGTGGTCATCGGCTTGCTGGAGGCGTTTATGCTCTCGCTGCATACTCCGGACCTCGACAACGAAAGCCCTATGACAGAATTAAGAAGTAAAAAATTTTGAAACCATTTTTATATAATTATTTTTTGAAATATTTTAAGCAGGTTCTATGAGTTATGGACTGTTTTTGGGATTGGACGACTGGCTGAGTGAATGGAGCAACATTTTGAGAGGTGCTAAAGGAATTCAAGACATGCCCCTGTGGCTCCAGTACTTCCCAAAAGTTCTTTTCGCGGCCATAAATAGGAGTGGTATTTTTTTTTCGTTTTACCTTTCCATTTCATGATTTCCTCATTGTCCCAATAGCAAGTGGAGTGGTGTCAAAGGAGGAGCTGCGCTTCTTTTACACTTCATTTTTGGGTTTCGACTCGAGGAAAGTTGACGAGGCTCTTGGACCTGCGTACAGAGCAATGACTGCTGTAAGAATATTTTATCAATTTTAAAGATATTAAAATATATTTCATGATAATTTTAGAATGGGGACCACAAGTTGAATGTTGGCACTTACAAATTGGTGTTTGCGAACTTCCTCCTCGGACGCAACCCCAACGGACCTGGCCAGTTTGTGTTCGGGCCTTTCGGTGAAGCAGCGCGACCGTGTGAGGAAGTTGTGTTTCCAGTGGATTACAGTGCAATGAACAGTTTGCCAGAGGACTTGGAAGAGTACAGTCCCGGAAGGAAAAGCAACAGAAGATCTGTTGTTGTATAACATGACACGTCTTTCACAAAATTTCAATCGTCGGAAATATTTTCATAACTTTCAAAAGCATTTTGCCTAAAAACTCAGCAGCCTTCAAATAAGAAATGTTATGCTGTATCACAAAACTAGTCAAATGTGTATCTTATTACTACAGCAATGCGCAAAGTATAAAATAATTAAAGAACAATATTTGCCATATTTGCACACCTATTGCACAATTAAAAAAATTAATTCTCTGCAATTTTATTGCTTTTTCTTGTGTGAGGAACTCAAAACTGAATCTCAGTTGTTCAATAATTAATAACACTAATCAGATTTAAGATACTCTCTCTATAGGGAATTTTCCCTTATTAATAGTTTTTCTTTTTCGTACGACTAGAACGATCACCCTGATAAGTAGCCGGAATCACTAGGAGAAATATTTCTAAGGCCTCTGACCCTTCTGGAGCTGCGAAATATATTAAAATTCATTAATAATGAAAACACAAAATAAATTTGAATATTTACCTATAATATTTGTGTAACAAATTCAGCGCAGGACGTAAGGTTTCCAGATTGAGTTGAGTCAGTTCTTGAAATTTGTAGGGCCAATCGGGCAAAATATTCAAGTGACGGCGGGCATAAATTAAGCTGGCCGAGACCATCCACGATGGTGGCAGTTTTAATGACCACAAATCTGCAGTTGGCAAAATATTTTTAGCCAAATTCTGGCACTTTTTGCATGATATACCTTGAAGCATGTCATCCAAGGATTGCTGAAGCTCGTCTCGCAAGGCCATTCGAAGTTCTCTCTCAGTCAAATCAGCCCTCTGTGCAAAATCAGTCTCAAGTAGTCCGACAACTACAAAGTAGTACGCAAAATGAACTACTGTCGGAATGTGCAAATTGCAGTCCATGAATTTGAAAACCTTAAGAATTAACATGAAAATTATTTATTTGTTTTCAAATCTTAAAATGAATTTTACCTTCCATTCAACATCAAAAATAACACAATTGGGAGGAAGTGGAGGGTTGGAAGGGTTGTTCACTGAGTAAATCTTGGCGTAGCTTGGAATCTTTGCACCATCTTCTTCAAACTTTGCTAAAAATTGTCAAAATAATTAAACGAAAAATTCTTTCCTGTTAAAAAAAATTCCAACCCGCCAAAGCAAGTGAAACAGACGCCATGAAACGCAATCTAAAGGGTGGTATGTCATGATAGTCCATGAAGGAGTCCAGGATGTAGGCAGCCAGATGCAAAGTCAGTAAACTTAAATCGTAAATTCTGCACACCTCCTTCATCCAGAGTACCAGTTCTTCCCGGTAAGACCTCTTCACAATGAAATTATTTTCGAATTATGAATAAAAATCAACGTATTCGCAAACCTGTGGTGACATCATGTAATTTTCTTTACGAGTTTTCTCGTGCTTGCACAGGAAGGCAAAATAATCGCGTTCGTACACTTGAGACCACGCATGGCCGCAAAATTGCATGATCAGTTTTTTACCATGGCCATCACTTGTCTAAATGTGAAAAAGAAAAAATTATTAGAAAATCCAATAAAGAAATATTAATTCTTTGTCTTACCCACAACAAGTGCGATGGAATAACTCCAGAATCCATCATTTTTCAGTCATAATCAGGAGTTTTTTATGATAAATAAAATATTACATTATCCCGCCTTTTCTCATGACGACAGCTGAGGGAAAAAGGAAAGAAAAGAGCGCGAATTGAGAAAAGTGTGCCAAAAAATTTAAAATCATCACTCACGGGTCATGTTTATGTTTACATGGGAAATTGGCCATCGGTGCTGACGACCTGGTGCTGATCGACGAGAACCCAGCTTGGAATTTTACAAACCTGGAAAATGCGAGTAAAATCTCGACAAGAGCGCCGAATCGAGATCTGCACGAATTGCGAAAAGAATGCACATGTCGCGCCAGGTATCATTAAAATGACAGCATGCAATGTATTATAATGAAGAATAATTCGAGTCAATGCAAGATCAGACGTGCAGGCTGGCGCCGCTGCCAAATGAAGGAGGGAGAGAACCGGCAAGTGAAGGGGAATCAGGGGAAGGGGAAGTTGTAAACAAATCGGTTGGATCGAGCTCCATGCGTTCGAAATTTTTAATTGACATTTTTTGCAAATTATCTGGATTAATGAGTTAAGCTGACTTTTTTGACAATCACTTTTTGTTGCTCATCATCTGCCAATGATGGACCAGATGGACAACGATGAGGATCCGCATTGCACGACTCCGAAAGGAATTAAAGTCCACAAAGAACTGCTCCATGAGCAAGACTGTACAAAGGTGCTTTTTGCTAAATCGCTAAATTGACTACATTATTTTATTTCTATTGAATATATTTGCAGCTTCCAGACATCGATGACTTTATCGTCTTGAAGCCAATCAGTAGAGGAGCCTTTGGGTAAGCTGCTTTTTTTTTAATTTTTGCCTTATTAATTACAATAAATTTAACATTACATAGTTTTTTTGTTTATCGTATTTATTTAGATTATGAAATAATACAATCATAGTACATATGGCAACAACAAGTATAGATGAATATTAAAATTGCTGGTCTTTTGACCAAAATAATTATTCTCTCTATCCACTTTTTTTAATTATCTCTTAAATATCCTCCTATAATAAATAATTTTCATGCTTCCTCTTGCAGAAAAGTTTTTCTTGGCTTCAAGAAAACAAACCCAGATAAATACTTTGCCATCAAAGTTATGAAAAAATCAGAGATGATTCACAAAAACATGGTCAGCCAAGGTATGCGCTTTTTGATCAATTTATTTGTGAATGAACTAATTATGTATTCTAAATTAATATCCCAGTAATTACGGAGAGAAACGCGCTGGCTCTGTCTCAAAGCCCAATGTGTGTCCGTCTTTTCTACTCTCTGCAGACGAAGAGCTCAATTTACCTTGTGATGGAATACATGGTCGGCGGTGACCTGAAGTCGCTGCTAAGCGTCTACGGCTACTTTGACGAGGCCATGGCCACCTTTTATTGTGCTGAGATTGCTCTGGCTCTGCAATACCTCCACAGTCATGGAATAATTCACCGGGACTTGAAACCAGACAATATTCTGTTGACTGATCAAGGTCATATCAAGTTGACAGACTTTGGTCTCAGTCAAATTAGTCTGGACCACAAAGGTATTCTGTAATTTTCCTAATATAATTAATAATTATTATAACAAAGTTTTATTTGACCTTCCAGAACTTCAAATATCCGATTTGTTGAAAACCCCAGCGACTGAATTCGGCAGAACTCCAGGGCAGTTGCAGTCACTTACAACTCACCTTTCATTTGTAAGTTGACACAAAAGCCGCCACAATTCTTTTTAATAATTCTGCATTATTTATTCCAGGGTTCGGGGCCCAATTCTGAGGTTGGCTCTCCCTCTAGTGACAAAGAAAATGCAGACGAAGCAAATAGACCTTGCACTTTGGAGGAGGCTTTAAAACAATGTGGTAAGAAATAATGAATTTTGTTTTACTTTTGCTAATGGAAATTTGTATACAGTTAATAGTGGCTCTTCACAGAGCTTGGACAAAGTTACCACTCCTACTTCAAAGAATGGCAAAGAAGTTGCATCTCCCGAAGCAGACAAGTCGCCTTTGTCAGGAGTTACTCATTTCCTGTCTCCGGAGAGAGATTTAATTTGCTCAAATTCGCCACCAAAACAAGTAAATCTTTGCAAATATGAAATAAATAGCAGGTTTAATTCAATTTTAATTCAGGATTCGAGCGAAAACAGCGCATCCTCAAGCTCGTATCACTCTTGTGAAAGCAGCAATGGTGGTCACAGTGACACAACTCTGAGTGACAATTCTCATGCCTCTCATGTCACTTTGCAAGCATTAACGCCCAGCTCCCTGGAACTTTCAGATGATTCTGCTAAAGGTAAAAAGCTAAAATCTTAAAATTTATGCGGGTTCATGATGAAAATTCCAGCAGGCAACTTGAAGAGGAAACTCAACCAACACACTGGAGTGACCCAAGAAATCAGCACTCTCGAAATTGCTCATATCCAAAACAAAATACTGAGATCAGCAATGAGCCCAGAGAACAGTAATGATTGATTTGTTCCCTAAGCGTTTTTCTATAATTTTCATATTTTTATAGCAAGCACCCCAACTCAAGAGCATTGCTGCACTCCCAAAACAACTCAGAGGCGCCGTCTTGATTCTAGTTGGAGGAGGAACGCTACTGACAAGTACCCGAAGAGTCCAGTCAATTTTAATTTCAAAAAGTTGACCAGATTTGAATTACCTGAGCCATCTCCGATCCTTGCCAGTCCTCCTGAGAGGAAGTCTGCAGGCGTAAATATAAATGTTGATTTTTTAATCTGATGTGCTAATTTGATTATTCTATAGAATTCCGGTTCTGCTACTCCATTGAAACCAGTCACCACACCATACAGAACTCCAAAATCTGTTCGACGGGCACGAGCGAGTCAAAGCTGGATAAGTGACAACCGCATCTTGGGCACTCCGGACTACTTGGCCCCGGAGCTCCTTTGTCGCCAGAAGCACGGCCCAGCTGTTGATTGGTGGGCGCTAGGAGTTTGCCTCTATGAGTTTGTAACCGGAATACCACCATTCAATGACGAAACTCCTGAAGCCGTCTTCAATAACATTCTTCAGAAAAGTAAAAGAATTTTTAAAAAGTTGCTAGTAGTTTAATTGTTTTCTGAATTCAGATCTTGAGTGGCCTGAAGGAGATGAAGCCATTTCTGAAGACATGCAATTCACCATCGACCAACTTTTAACTCTAGACCCTGAACAAAGACCAGATATTGATGGCGTCAAGGCTATGCATTTGTTTGCCAGCGTTAAGTGGGATTCACTACTGAGCCTGCGAGCACCTTTCGTCCCTGAGCCTACCAGTGGTACTGATACTGCGTATTTTGAAGGTTTCCTTTCATTAAAATAAATCATGTTTGTAACTTTAATAAATTTTATTTTCACAGCTCGGAATACACTTCAACAATGGACTGTCTCCAACTGTGAGCTGAGCAAGTTTTTGCCCTGATTTACGCTCTTACCATGCGATAATGTAAGTCCGTCAAAATCTAAACTCGAAACTGAAGCATGTTTGATTCTGTGATGAATGCATATTATTGCTATTATAGTTACTGCCATTGGTGGTGCACCAGCATTTTATAACGTGCCTATCATAGCTTATGCTAACTTATACATTTTAAATTAAAACTGTCGTATTCACAAGTCATGGTTTATAAATATTCATGCCAGTACCTACCATCATTTCTAATTTCGGTCAGAACTTGCGAAAACATAAGCTTCACAGAATCAAATTCCATCACTTGATCGGCAACCAGAGCGAAAAAGAAGTCCTCATAAGTGTGGAAGTTGAGGTACCTTCCAAGTCTCATGTTGACGTGTTTTTCAAGCAACTTGAGGGCCAAAGACTGGTTTTGGTTGACGGCGCGAAGAACAATTTGATATCTGCGCATTACGTAGGGGCCGATAGCCTCGTTGGCCTGGCTGAAGCACAAGTTGCCAGCGTAGGAAAGCCATCTTCTCAGCTCCTTCCTGCCAAAAGCCCGTTGGAAGCGTGTCACGAATTCATCCCAAGTGATGTCTTCGCAGTACCCTTGCAACTCCCACCACTGCAAGGCAGTGTCCTTCAAATTCTTGGTCACAAAAATAACCCAGTCACATTTTGGAATGCCGCATTTTCTCAGTTCGTATTCCCATTTCTTGATTATTATGTTTGGATCTTCGTGAGGCGCCGCTGCATACACGGTCAGTTTGATGTGTTCACCAATGGTGTAGACGTACTTTGTGTCCTTTTGTTGCCCAAAGGTTGCACCCTGCTGACCGTAGGTCATGGTCGAGCCGGGCTGCTTTTTGCCCCTTTCCGAGCTGCTCCTCTCCAACTGACTTTTCAGCTCGATCACCTCCTCCTGCAATTTTTTCACCTCAAGTTTGCTCTCCACGTTCTCCCTTTCTAAATCATTGATGCTTCCTTGTTCGCTGCCCACGAGACTGACGCTTCTTTTTGTAAAAAGAGGCTCGACGCCTATTGAGTCCGCTTCGTCTCTCTTAGATTGTGCTTTTGGCTCCATTCCTTCTATGACCTCGACAGCGTAGGCCACGCATCTTTTGAAAGCCTCGCCTTCGTCCCAGTCCTTCAACTCGGCCGCGATGCATAACTCGAAGAGTCGGTTGAAAGGCTCGGCCCGTAAAATTTGCTCGCAATACTGGCACTTTTCCTCTTTGTTCTCCTTCAGCACCGGCGTCAGCTCGCCCTTCATCACCACATTTTCAAGGTAGTGGAATATTTTTGAAAGATAAACCATTTCCTTGGGCTTGTTGTAGAGGACCTTGCTGAAAATCTTATTGAGCGCCCACATTTGCCGTTTTACCGGGTCTTTGATCTCCCTGCAATTTTTGCACAAGTACTCATCGTCAGACATGTAATCGAGAGCTCTCAGTCTTTGCATTCCCGAAAGCTCCGTTTCTAGTGTGTAAATCATTTCCTGTTTGAATTTCAACTGATCCTCCATTTCATTGTGCTCGAGCACCAAAGTTGCGATCTTCTTAAAAATTTCCTGCTCTCCCTCAGGCAACATAACCCCGTTTTTCTCCATGATCAAGCCTATCAATTAGGAAATTAAATTTATTATAATAAAATTAAAATTTTCTCTGTTTCAAAACTTACAAAATATTTAACTGATTTCTGGGCACAGCTGCACACTTGCTCTCTTTTCAGCACTTTGAAAGATTTGCCACGGATTGTAATAGGAATGCATTCGACCTTATCTCATTTTTATTTGTTTGAGGCGCTCACTGATAACATTATCTCATATGTGAGCAGGTAGAAATGCTGCATTTCGCACGCCCTCTCGAGTAATTATTGTGTTATAAAATTTAACAAGGACTACTTCTATCTCTGTGTATTTTATCAAGAGCGCAATGTCGATATTTTTAGTAATATAATAACAAAACAAAAACATCAGGTTATTCTAAAAAATATTTTATTCGGGAACTACATGCCAACACTACTTGGTACTTTGCAGTAATACAGGTAAATTTGCAGCAAAAAGTTCATAAATTTTATTTTAATTAAAAGAGGAGTCCTTTTGTCGAGCGCACAATCAATTAAACGATCACCGCAAAATAACGCAGGGCTCGCAAGTGCCTGGTTTGAAAAATGCAGGGAAGCACTGAGGAGGACACTCTTCATCTCCGACAGCGTGATGTGGGTGCTCCTTGAATCTCATTGGTTTCGCATCAACTGAAAGTGGCTCTGGGAAATTGAAATTTATGCTTTGTTGCTCTTGTTCCGAAGGTATGCTTTCCAAATTTTCGTCGTTTTCCGGGATGTAAAACATTCTCCTCGTGTCCAGCATTACCCTGAGTTGCTTTGGCTCCTTGTTCTTCTTTGTTGGTCCTCTGAGCAGCGAGTTGATGGTGGAGGGACTGAGAATGTTGTCCAATAGTGTGGTCAGGGGCTTTGGGGTGGTGCTGGGGATGAAACTCTGCGTAGATCTGCTCACTGCCTGCGGGAAATTTCCAAAGAAGGATGATTTTATGACTGATAGGGTGGTTGAAGAAAGTCCCATCGGCCGGACTGCAGTTTGATTTTGCGGCTGAAGGGTCGAAAAAAAGGGAGGACTCCTGCTGAATTGGAAGCTTGACGCAGACTTCACGGTGGTCGGTCTGGACGAAGGCTGGTTAAAGGGTGAATTTGTGACTCCAGTTGTGCGGGGGCTGAAAAAGGGTTTGTTGGAGGGCGCAAAATTTGGCACAGGGGTTAGTTCTTTGTTGATGATGCTTGGCAAGGTTGAATCTTCTAAGTCGGATCCAAAATCAGCCCTCTCTGTGAGGTCGACATTGTTTTCCAATGGCGGCAGAAGATCTTTGTCCGGCTCTTCTATACTGGCCGGAAATCTGTTGAAACTCGAAGGCGCCTCAATTGCTTTGGCCTGGGCGCGAGTTTCAAGCTTCAGAGGGTAAAATGAATCTGCAACTGAACCAAGGAAAAAATTAAAATAAAATATATAATTAATTTTGTTTCTAAAAATAGCGCGAATTTATTACCAAAGTCCCTGGTGATTTTTTCATCTTTTTGAATAAATGGTTGGTTTTTGACGCCAATTCTCTCGTTGGCGGCGAAGTAAAGGTGAGAGTTTTTGCAATCCACCATGAACCAGTGATCGCACACCATCATACGCTGCTGAAAGAGCGTCTGATATGGGCATCGGTAGCTGAATTTTTGACCTCCAGCTGCGCACATGTGATAAACCTGTAGGTGGATCCAATAAAATTCATTAAAATATGATTCACCAACCTAAAAGGTTTATATCTTATTCATGAGAGCGCCATTGATCAAGAATAAAATATAGTTCACTTGACATTGAGTCGTGCATTGGAACTTATTATTTAAATTGATTATATTATATATAAATATATGTCAATGCTAAATGAAGATTTGAATAGCTTAATTAAAAAATGTGCCACACATAGCAAAACGTATGGGCGTGCGGTAAAACAGAGTGATCGATGCGGCGCTGTCACTCTGGCAGATTCAGCGCATTTTTACCTGACATCCAGTCTCAAGATCTGCATAGTAACCTGGCACCCGACCTTTGCACGAAAATGATGTAACCGGGATCGCTTCGTCCTCTCGCTTCTGCTGCAACCGAAAAAAAACAGATTAAGTGTGGGCGTTATGTGATCTGGCGTCAAAAATTTGCAAGCCTTTGTTAAAAGCTAAAATTTAATTGTGATTTATCGTTATTTTCCCACCTTTACTAATATAAATGTATTTTATTTAATTTAAAAAATTTTTAAGAAACAAAATATCGAGAGAATTAGCCAAGATTTAATGATTTCTATTTAAAGTGCCATAAAACGTTTATGTCTAATTTTATCTAATAATTAGTACCATATATCTTTCCTAACCGTAAATGATTTACGAGTCCTTTATAATATGAAACGATACTTTTTAACTGTGTTGCAAAATTGCACTTTCCGTACTTGATTGGAATCAAATTAAAGCTAGCCACACAGAGATGCTTATTTATCTTCTGAAGAGAAGGTTTAACGAGGAAAGAGCGCTTCGCATTCCATTCGTTTCTATAGCGCGTCATTAAAGAGCAAAGCAAACACAGGTGAGATTTGCAGCGAAATAATAATCATCTCGTTACTATTTCTCATATGTACGGATCCAACTGCTGATGACACGCGTGGTAGAAAGGTTGATGCGAAAAGCCAGGGCCGACGCTGGGATAAATTGGCCTGGATTGATAAAAATAAGTAGCGTGCAGTCGCCGCCTCACAGATTTTTACAGGTGAAAGGGCAAGATCGTGAATGAGTTTGGAACCGATCGGGTCGCCTTGGCCACAAACGCACATCTGCATGGCGCCGCACATTCCTTTGCACCGTTAAATTGATTTGGCAGTGATTAAGAATTTTGCATTTGTTCACATCAAGATCGTCTGTGAAGGCTATAAACTGAGTTTTGTAAACAATTTGATGCACAACTGGTCACATGGCAGGTATTTTAAGGTAAAAAGTCGAAGATAATTTTTAATTTACGACGGATTGAAAATGAAGGAAAAATTTGAGAACAATAAGCCTGGTGTTATATTCTTTGGGCCATTTCACTTTTTACAACTCGTACGTACGTCGATCTTACACAATGCGGTAATAACGTAAGCGAGCAATAAAAAGGTACAAAGTAATATGTTTTCTAAGAACATAAAAGTCGCAAACTCGTTTTCTAGCAAGGGCTGCAATTCATCATGCCGCCTGCGCACGTGTGTGTTCTTCCATTTATGGAGGTCCGGAAAAATTTGTTGCATCAATACACATTAGGAGAAAAACTAATTACTCATTTGAAGGTGTTCTTACTTAAACGTTTATATGGCGCCAATCCATGTTGGACATTAAAAAATAATGATCCACTCATTAGTTAGAAATCCTAGACGAAACTGATGTTGGAAATATTTTCACTGGCATATTCACGGTGATATTATGCTTATTGTGAATTAATTTAAATAAAAATTAAATTAAATACAGGTTTAATTGATTTTTTGCAGTTTTGCTATAGCTTGTCGAATGCTAATTATGCATTTTTTTCATGATTTTGCTGGCCAGAGGAAAGGAGCATAAATTAAAATTTAGATTCAATTTTTTTTTAAAGTAATCGCCTGAACTCTGATTAAAATAAGATTCACATTATTGGCTTTATAATGTAACTCTTTAAATATACTTGCTCATCAGAGTTGTATATACAATTTCATTTACCTTACAACTTAAAGACAACATTTTTATTGTAAACATAAAATGTTGAACAAAAATTGTATTCGTAAACAGTTTTATGGCCGCAGAAGAAATTTTTGCAAATGGTTTCGTTTGCTTCAGGTGCATGTGTGCGTGATGATGGACTGAATTTCGAGTGTTATCTTGAACACATTTTGACGAATGGCTCATGCGAGCAATAACGTGTGCTGAATAATGAATAATGCGCAGTTATTCGACTGAGAGCCGCCGATTCGCCAAGATAAATATTATATTTCAGCACATGACAGAAAATCAATAAAGAAGCGGCGATCTTGAGCAATCGAGGTACAAAAGCAGTGCAACTAAAACCATTTCTCAAAAGTCGTGACGGTGGGCATGACTGACGTGAGCGGGAAAGGCGATTGTGGGAATTATTTTATTGGTGCACCACATTGCATGGCCCGAGATACATTAGCGCGATCACACGCCTGTGCATAATTATGTTGTCTGCTGGGACTAAAAGACCAATTAACAAAAATATCTGACACCGACTGTTTCAAAATACAACCAATATTATAAAATATTGTATAAGTGGGGAAAGGAAAAGTGTGGGAAATTCTGTTGCTTATTTGATAAATTAATATGCAACCAACCAAACGTTACATTAATATTTAAAATTTTCTTTAGCTAATGTGAACGCTTTAAATTATTTTGTATTTTTTTTTTATTGAGCTATTTTAAAATAATTTAAATTACTTCCTCAAATCTTAAGCAGCAGATGATTGATTTTGCTCAAAATTTGTCTATACATGAGATGGTGATATTGATTAAAATTTAAGAAATTAAATTTATCTGAAGCATACAATGACGATTGAACTGCAAAAAAATAATATAATAAAAAATAATTTTAGGTTGTTCAAATGTATTAAAAAAAATTTTACTAGCGTCGTTGGATATTCAGCAAATGTTATAAATTGAGTCTAGTTTTAATAATGTATTATTTTTTTCTCCGCGCATTCTTTACAATCAATTATTAAAAACAAGCAATTTGAAAGAAAGGGAATGAAAATTGAAACAGATTTGCCAAATAAACAAATTTAAATTTATAAGCAGAGATTCATGCTCGTTATGTTTTATATAATTATGCAAATTGCAGACGTTCAGCTCTCCCACAACAGAGACGCATAATTAGGATGCATGTTGTTTTTTCAGGCGCCGCCATCTGCGACTGACAAATTTGAAAATTATCCAGCAACATGGTAATCTGCTAATCGGCGAGGAATGCGCGTGTATTCAATTTCAGCAGCGATTGTTATGCTAATGGGCGATAACTCTCACCTGCGACTGGCGTGCGGCCTTGCGAGCGATTCGGCGTCACTCTCAGTCGTTAGGGTCGACACCGGGTCAACGCGACATCGACTTGATCAACCAACTCTCGTGTGGGAGGCGAGGAGCCACTTTTTGTTTATTTTGCCAAATACTTGTTGTAAGGATTTTGTAAATTATGCAGGTGTGACCAATTTTGGGCCAGAGGGTCTTCTCGTCTAATTACGGTGGGTGTTGAATTTGAAGCGAGACCAAAAGTGCACCTAACGCCGTGACATACTAGCTCAAAATCCGTGAGCTAACAATTTCATGAACTATTAAGTGTTTGATCACGACACGCACGCGGACGATCAGTGTGTTTTAACGATTTTCTCCAAATTTACAAGATAATCATCAAATAAAAGTGAAGAAACGACTTGAAATCTATTGTATACGCATGTTAAAATGTTAGTTAAAGAAGGGTGAAATTACCATTTTCTATTATTTCATAACAAGATTTATCGCAATCATATGCCGTAAACTTTTTTAAACTAGAATGTTGGAAATATATTTGAGATTTTTAGTTATTTCAATTTTATTTTACTAATCTTGTAAGTTGTACTCTATAAAAAATAAGTGAAATAACTTTTTTGTACTTTTTAATAGAAGCCACATTCTAAAAATTGAAAAAATGTAATATTTTAACACTTCGACCAGATAAACTCATTAGAAATGATTCAGAAATGCATTTTTTTTTTTCATAAAAAATGTTTCCACATCATTCTTTTATATATTTTTCCCAGTCAAATCACTGCAACAGCCTCATCTAGAAAGGAAATGCGTGTTGAAAAATGCGATCGATTTAAAAAAAGACCCCAATTTTAGTAATGATTGCTCATTAAGTGGATGAAATTAAATAAGGTTTTTTCCAATTGATTTGTCCCAATTTTATAATCATATCGCTATTTTATAGGGATTTCATGATTTTTAATTCTGCAATTAAAAAGGTTTTGATGCTGACAGTCGCGAATGCCAGGGCCGCAAAAATGCAACTTTATTAATGTTCAACTGTTCGACCGTTTAGACGTGTCCGATGATTTCTATCGCCGCACGCGGCGGACAAGCAACTAACACACACGTGCAGCACGCGCGCCTCATCATACACGCCAGCAGGGCATTCATATATTGTTTGCAAAAAAATGATAAATGGCCCCGCGAAACAACATTGCCACAAATCACGAGGGAACTGGTGGCCCCGTCACCCCTCCTGGGCTGGTGACGATTATACTCGCATTATTTATTTGCTTTGGAACCACGAGACGTGGTGGCCTTTTAAAATTTCATACCAGTCAGCCTGAAATGAATTATTTTCCTTTATCTCGAAATAACGCCTTCTGACGACAAAGCGACAATTCTCATATTTTAGTAGACACGTGGAAAGTAAAAATTTGATTTATGGACATTTTATAATATTTTGATGCGTTTATATGTTGTGCAACTGATGAATGCTCAAATATCTAATATCTTACACTATTTCAAGATGTTTATTAGAAACATGCAAAAATGATTTTATTCTAAAGTAACAACCAAAATTTATGAATTAAATTAAACGACGTTTTTACTAATTAATAATTTTTGTTTTTAATTTAAGAATAACCTTTGATGATAAAAAATACATTCGTAACGTAGAAATAGGTTTATTTTTTAGTATATAATTTGAAAATTAACCATTATTTCAATAAATCATGAAAATCTCAAATAGGTTTTTCAAAATTAATTAGTTCTTCTCTCTACGAAGCCAATTGATGTTAAGCAGGTCAAAAACGAAAAGTCAATTAACAAGCTTTTTTAACCTGCCCTAAAGTTACTTATTAATTGAACCTGTGGAGTAAAATTCAGGTTTACATATAAAGTTGGCTCGCTGTCAAATGTCCCAAGGTCTTTCCAAACAAGAGCCGCCGAATTAAGATTTTTTGCTTCGCATTTCATTTCGTCAGGCCTATCAATTAACCAGAACCCCGTTAGTTAATTTGGTCACAGAAGCTTTTCGCACACGCAAGTTCTCGGCGTGCACGTGTTCAATTAATCGCAACCGCCGTGCTCGACAGGTCCATCAATCCACCTGACGATAATGTGAAAAATGCGAATAAAAAAATCGCGCGGCGGCGCGGAGTGAGGATGAATAGAGAGAAGATGCTTTCACCTTTGGCGTGGTGGTTTGCTGGTCGTTTTGCGCCTCCGACGCTTGGATGATGACAAATAAAATGGTCATCAAGACGCAGCAGACTGGGTGGACCGCGTTGCTGAAAAGTGGCCGCCGCCTCCTGTGTGCTTTCTCGGGTCTCGCCATCACCGCTCACATCTGCAACACGCGAAATACGCTTTAGCAAAAATAATCGGGTCCTCACCTTTCGCGGAATAAATAATGCCATTTATTCCATCGGCACAAACAGTAATAATAATAATAATTGTTACTTTGCAAAACCCCCATGCAAAAAATGAAATATTGCTCAAGTGCATAAAACGTTGGGTGGGACTACAGTTGTTCATAACGAGAATTAGAAAGACTGCTGGTATTTTGCGCAATCGTCAATTATTTTCCTCCCGTTGAAATGAAATAGAAATTTACATCCTGCAGCTGAAATTTAAATAATGGGTAATGGTTATTGCGTCAAATAACTATTTCTTCCAATATTCACATAATTTTTTTTATCAATAATTAACTCTTGTTTTTATTTGTCCACATTGTTTGAAGAATACATTACATTCAATTGTTTAAAACAATTTATTTAAAAAAAAGGAATTGTAGGACGAACGGCACTACCACTAGCAGGAATTTTGATAACACTTTTGAGATCACAAAGACCCCATCCGCAGCACTTATATTTTAATATTATTATGTATATTTAATTTCGAAACATAAATATGGCTCATCTACATTATTTTTAATTTCCAACTTTCAACCTTTATTTTACACTAAATAGCATTTATAATTTAAATTTTAAATTTTAAATAATAATTTATAATAAGATTATTGTTACATATTTTTATACCATTTAGTTACTTGCTTTATTATTTATTTAATATAATTTAATATTTAGTTTTTAATAATTATTAAAATAAATTGATTTTAGGTAAAATTTACAAAAATAAATTTAAAATTATAACCAATTAAATTTTAATTTTCTATTTTACGCAATTTTTAAAATAAACATATCCAAAAACAGTCTTTGATTTAAGGACAATCAAATTATACAATTTTTCTCACCTACACCTCTAGCAGTTTTAATGTTAAAATGAAAAAGTTATATTGAAAATTATAAAATTTAACTATAAAAGACAAAAGAAATTATAACAAATACAACTCTCAATTTCTTTTTTAATTTAGATTTAAGCCTTCAACAGTTACACCAAGAAGAGCATTGATGAAATAGACTTGAGTGAAATTTTATGACTTTACGTGCACAACTTGTCAAAATCAGCATGAATGTGCGAGTGTTGCACGCGATAAATCAGCTCGAACGTCAGAGTCAAGTCAGCGCGTGTTTTGCGATTGGAAATTTATTGGCGCCGCGCGTGACGGGTCCATCACCGAACAATCGAGCTGGATCACCTCTGGCTGTATGGAAGGTGTATTTATGCACGCAGCATTACGTCAAAGATCATGCAGCAGGGGAGGAGACTCGAATTTTGTAAGAGGTGTCAAGTTTGATTTGACCTTAGAGGTCACTCGAGTGCGATTCAGCGCGCGATGCTCGGCGGCGTGCGCGGCCTGGGCGGAAGCCAAGTAGAGAAAGTTTTGCGCATTTCAGTCGCATGCAAACTTAGATGAAAAGATAAATATATTTGTATAAAATAAGTGCGTGGTAGGCAGGTGTGTTTTGGTGCGCCTAATTTTGGAGAATTAGGGCTAATTAAATTACAATTAATTTTCTGCTGAATAAGAAACTCGGATGTTTCCCGAGGCTTTTGCTAAATAGAAATTCCAAGCTTTGAACCAGATCCAGAAAATGAAATGCAGAGAACAATACAAACTTTTAAAAACTCATTTTTATTTGAATGCATAAATTAGGTCAATCGCTCAATTTTCCTTTTGCATTTCTCACTTTACGACCAAGTCGTAAACAATAGAAGTTTTATTATCAAATAAAGTTAAAATGAATTTTTTTATTGTACGCTGTGCCTAGATTTATATCACAATATGAAAATTATGAATGTCTCCATTACGAAGAACTTTTCGTAAACAAAAACCCACAACAGCGAGTGTAATTTTTTTAACGCATCAACAAAATTAATTGACAATATTTAAAACGTGTCCTTCACACGGAGAGTAATGACCTACTTGATTTCAACAAATAATACGTTGAAGGTTGGAACAAAACAATCTGAACGAATAATATCGAAAACAAATTAGCGTCGATTGGTGATTTGCGATTCAATAGAAAATGAAAATCTGAAAAATATTCGCCCAGTCATTATGACCTGAGTGATTTTAATCATTACGATGAACTTTGGCCACGTGATGTGTTTTCAAAAGGTGCGGTTTTTTCTTTCATTGATGCCACAAAAAACGAGAGGATTTAAATTGCTGTAAGTTGCGTTGGTTGAATACAATTGCTTCCCTAATTAAGCGTCGGACTTTTCAATCTGCGCTCCCACGACAGTGCCGCTGAAAAGAGCGGAGGATCCGCATCCTAGACGATATTCATGATTTATCGTCCGGCTCGGTTGCACTGGAGAGTCGTGGGCTATTGTTCTGCTCGGCATAAATTACCTGTAGAAAGTGAATGCACTGTGCAGTATCAGTAAATTATATGGGAGCCACGGCGAACAGGCCATTATGCAACGCAGGGTGGCTGCTGCTCGTTTTTGCAGCACAAGAAAACAAGAGCTAGGCAGAGTGTGATTTGCATAATTATGTATGCATGCAAGGTTATGTAATTGCTATGTGACCATCTCACTCTGCAAACAAGTAAATTATTTTCAAAGTTCTCAAAAATCCAATAAATCCATAAAATTGTATTTTTTTTATTTTTTCAATTCATATTTTTTTTTTTAATATTATCGAAATGCTGCAAATATATGTGCTGATTTTTTGCAATGATATTCTTTCATACCAAAATAAGCTTTGGAAATTTTCAATGCTCCGTCCAAAATGTTTTTTTTTTAGATGAAATGAGAAATTCTGCTCAAGAAATGAAAAAATTCGTTCCTTAATCAGAATAAATAATTAGGTAAATAATTTTACACCGAGTCTTACAATTTTTTAATTAAATTGAATTATGGAAACCTAAATGATTTTCTCACCTACAATTTTAGATTGGTTTCTTATGTTTTGACACCTTAATCGATCCATCAGTTTAATTTTTTTCTACTAACTTAAAAATTGCGTGAGTAGCTTTTCTCGTTAGCTACTGTAAGGCCGTCAATCATCAGCTTTTTGCTACCGAAGGTTCTCACAGGCATCTTCTCAGATGTGCGTGGCGAGCCTTGACTTTCTGATTAATTGTTGCCATTTGTTCGTCCGCGCTTTTGTTTATAAGCTCATATCGCGTCTTTTATTACAGCAATTACATGCTGTTAATTAATTCGCACGCAAATGAGAAATATTTCCCAAGAGGTATTATTAAATCGTGTTAGAAATGTAATAGAGCATAAAAAATGAGAGGCCTTTGTTGAAGAATAATTTTTACAACCACAGGTTTCCACTTTAACTGACAATAAAGGTCTTCAATGATAATAATGGGAATAATAACACGGCGTAATTGTTGTGTAAAAGAATAATCTCGCACTGGATTTCAAAGAAATTAAATTTAATTACCAAAACCAGTAGCTAAGTTTTTTAATTCTTTAGTTGTTTATTAAAGAAAGAGCTTCATTCACTCAACCTTAATTTTGCCTTAGTTTTAATTTATTGGAAAATACTTCTTTTGAAAGCTTATTTTTTTTACTATTTTTTACATAGAACTTGCTCAGATACTTATTCACTATTTTTGCTTTTTTTAACATTATAATTTTAAAAATAATAATTTAAATAAATAAATACATAAAAATCATGGATTTTTTTTTAGTCAACTAAAGCAAGTCCCTCACCAATCAAAAAGAGGCTCTTAGCGTAACAAGTTAAATCAGAGCCGCGGCCCTGAGGCAAGGTAAAGGGTCCACCGCTGTGGCGAATCTTTTGGATCTAAATGTGGGTTGGAAGTTGAAAATAATGCGGCAAAGGTTAAAAGATGAAGCAACACGCCACCCATCGCTTCGGTCTTCTTCCTCATAATCGCGCGCGCCGAGTCAAGTCGAGAAATAATAATACGATTAGAAGAGTTTTTCCTTGAGATTTTACTGCCGGCAACACAGGCGTGACGATGGATTCTTCGGATTTCTCTGCGTCACTTTAGAAAAAGGTTTAAATCTTTCCTCGGCAATAAACTTGAGGGTAATTTTTAAAATCGAATCATCGCAGTACAGAGTTTAGTCTGCACTTGCAGCATTTTATACATTAATTATGAAATTGAAGGTCGCTTTGTCTGCGAGTATTTTAAATCAGCAAGTCATCCCAAGTTTGTAAAAAGCTTCGACAAAATTACTCGTTTCATGATTCATGGGAAATTCTACGCGACGAGGTTCGAAGCACATTTTACTGCCTGAGAGGAACTAATTGGTTGGAGTTTGATCAGAATACTTAAATTAATTCCAAAGATTTTTGCACCGGCTGGCGGGAAATCCAATTTTTATAGAAAGGGCGATGACGAGACCATTTGAAATGTACAAAAAAGCGTGAATTTCAATTTGCATTGCTTTCACGGCGAAGTGGGCGAAACACCTGATATGCCACGCGAAACTGCGATGAGTTGCGGAATGTAATTAACTTGGGCGTTATCACTTTCGTTCGTGCATCAATAAAGAGGCGTTAAATTTCCAAATGTCGGCGGCGAGGGAGGAAGGCAATAAAATCGTTGCAGAAGCAATTTTTATTACTTTCATCCGCGCGCGATTTGCAAATTCGGCAATAAAATGCGCCTAATAGCCAGAAAAAGATCCGGTTCATGAAAAACTTTTTTGCAAGTAGTTATGCTCATCCATCGGTAATTATGTCCCAAATAAGAAACACAACAAAAGACAAATTTGGAAAAATAATATAAAGCAATAAGAAATAATCTTTAAGTTTTGTGAATATATCATAATAAATAATTGTGTAATTTCCATCAATTTCAATTCAACAATTAGATTCATCAATCAATTTTACTCAATGAATTAAAAATTTTGTATAAACGAGAGGTGACGTAAAACTGATTTTAATTTATACAAGTGTTTTTCATTTGATCTTTTGAAAGCAAACAGCTTTAAAATATTTTTATCCGTTAAAAATAATAATTTTCAATCAAGGAAAAGCCCAGTTCTTCAACGAGATGATCACCTCGAGGGGGAATTTCTTCAATTAAAGTATTTTTTACTTCAGAAAGAGAAATTTGCAGGTTAACAATAAACTTAATTAATTATACAGAATGCGCGAATCATGTTCAATCAAAAATGACAATTCAGAGAAATAGCTTTATTGCAATTAAGCCGTGGCTTATGGGATGAATAAACAAATCTGCACCGCGCGCGATTTAACGTAAGGCGTCTGCGAGACGCGCGGCGCGGCACCTTCGTTTTTGCTTGGCGCGTCCGACCTTGGCGCATAAATGATGACACCAGGTTCATTATGAGCAGCATCCTCCTCTGGAACTCCTACCTCTCCTAATACCAATACCAAAAACAGGATGAAATGTAGTTGGCTGCGTGTATGTTTAATTATTGTCTCTACTTTGGTCAGTTCAAGGCTTACTTCAAATCAAGTCGAAACCCAAGAGGGCCGGTTCTACATTTGTAATTTCTAAGACGATGATTAAATAAGTAGTGAGATAATTACCAAAATATTCCTAATTGCAAATTGTTTTAAATTGGAAATTTTCAACACAAGAAAGAAATTATTTTAATAACTTTGAGCTGCGATAAATAATTTAAGATTATCTTTAAATAAATTAATTTATAAATATGAAACTTGGGAATTTACTATATTATTTATTGGTTCTATCAAAAGAGAGAATCGATAAATTTTTATTTTTAATTATGATAAATTTTGAATAAATTACCGGCACATGAATTAAAATTATTTTAAAAGAATATAAACTTAAAAAATAGTAAATTATCTATAAATAATTGGATTTATAAGAACATAGTTAAATGATTTAAACTAATATAAGTAAAATTTATAAAAATAGTTATTTAAATAAATACAATAATAATAGCAAAATTTCATAATAAAGTGGATTAAAATTAGTCAGTATTTTTTTTTTTTTTAATAACATTTACAAATATAATATATTTTATTTATTTATTGGTGTTTAGATACAATTAAAATCAAATCAGCGAATATTGAAATTTGATTTGATTATTATTGGCTTCAAAAATAAATTGAAAAATTATAATTTTGATGTTGGGTGAAAAAAAAATATTTGATTTAATTTCCTCTCATTTATTAAATTATTCCATCCTTTGTTTGACTTTTTCTATCTATTTTTAATCTCGTTTAAGAAAATTATTTCATGGTGCAGAGACAATCTGGAAGGAATTTTTTATGTAGGAAAATGAATGGATTCCGGATTAAATCTGTGCAAGTAGAAGGAGCGTGCTGAGGCAATTTGAAAACTGGTCGCGCACATCAGCCATTGTTCGAGTATCTTCTTTTTTTCTTGCTCAAGGAAGTGGTTTGCATCGCGCGCGGGCCGAAAAATATAATAATACTAATAAATAAACAAGATAGCTCAGCATGCAGGTAACACACTCGGCTGCCTTTCGTAGTAATAATTCTTTTTATCTCTGAGGAATCCGCGCGTTTCTATCGGCTGCTTGCATCTCTGTTGCTGGACAACAGGCTTATATATACGCAATTAGCATTCTGCGCAGAGGAATTCTCTCGCGGTGTGTGAAAACCTATCTGATGATGTGATTTATTTTACAGCTTCTGCGTCTAATCCTTATACTTTGTTCTTTTTCTTGTTGATAAAGCTATCCTGATTGTTGCTTAGTGCAGCTCTCACTTTCATTTTACAAGAAATTTTTATTTTTCACTTTCCCTGCAAATAAAGTGCAGACGTAATTTGAATTAAAAATTATTTTTAAATTTAAGAGAATAAAAATTTAAAAATTGAAAATAGAAAGCTTGTATTAAGGCTAGGTTTCATTTAAAATTATATAACATTGAAAATCTTGAAAACCTTTCCTTTATAATAGGAAATATTCCCTCCTAATAGTCTTTATTTTATTTTAGGAAATATTCGACAAAATTGATAAATAAAAATAAATTAAGATCTCACTAAACTGCAGAATTTTTTATTATTATTTTTATCAAGCCGACAATAAAATGTAGCTTTTACCGGCGAAACTCCTATCGGGTGCTATAATATTGACCGTGTGAAAAAATAGTCGCTGTGAACATGGTCGAGCCAATTTAACGAAAGCCCGCGGCGAGTGCTTCGATATTCACACTTTTTCAGTCACCCAGAAAGAGCAGCCGGTTCGGGTCAAGTAACATTTAAAAGAGAAAAAAGGGATGCTGGACTTGAAAGATCTGTGTACGTACTTACTTGGCTTAAGAAGCGCGTCGATGAGACTTTCACTGCTCGCCTGTCGCTGAAGCACTGCCGCGGCAAAACTGCGTCTGCTGCTCCTGAGCCTCGCTGTGCTCCTCTTCAAGGACGTGCGCCGAGGAATGCTCTCCAGAAAAGGGTGCAAGAAGAGGTGGAATCACGAACGCACCAGACAGTGACACAGCATCCGCCACATTCCTGACTTTGAGTTAGAAATAGTTCATACTTGAAGCTAATTATTATTTGAAATTAATTAAAAGTCATAATTGACGTGGAAGGTTGATACTGTTGGTGGGCCCTTGATTTTTGGCATGATGGTAAAATCATTTAGAAAGTCCATTTCTAAATTTATTAATTTACTTCACGCAATGTAAAATTATTAATTATTGACAAATATTGATATTGAATGCAACATAAAAATACGCCAGTATAAAAGCAAATTATAATAATTATTATTAATGTGATTTGTGATAATTGTGATCTTATGCCAGAGTATTGTTTTGATGATTCTCTTAATGGGATAATGGGATAATCGAGAAAAAGTATTATGGTTTTGTAATTAATTATTGTAATGTAAATTTTTGTACCTTGATTTATTTTTGCTCTCGAATTTTTTTTACGTCAAATTTTTTAATTATGTTTTATGTATTGGGCTGATATTGCTCTTTGATATGCAAATAAAGTTATATTACATAATATCTTCAAACAAATTGATACGATAGTATGTATAAAAAAGGTCTATCAACAATCGAGTTAATAAAGAGGCCAGGTGCCGCCAAAGAATTTAGTCCGTAAATTTTTGGGTGCATTATAGATAAAGTTGTCATAGTTTAAGTTAATGTAAAGTAATAAGTACATAATATTAAATCACTTTTTTTAACATGGCGCCAATTTTTAAGTCGTATCTTTTATGTGTTATTTAACCAGTATTTTAGCGAACATGAGAATTGTATGCAACACGCAAGGCGTTAACGCGAAACAAGTTGCCTACTTACTGAAATTGATAATTTTGCAGAGAATAAAATCGTGCAAAGGCCGTGCAATAGGATAGGCATGAGATCTGCCTTCGTTCAGTTTTTTTTTATCATATTAACAAATAAAATAATATATCTGCAAAAAATTTAATTATTATTTTTTTCTCATTTAAAATTTAAATATTCATTTATTTAACTCCTCTTCTGTAAATGTAAGTGTAATAAAAAATAAAAAATATTGCTATTGGCAATTGGAGTCATTAAATTTTTTTTTAATTTCATGTTTTATCCAATTTAATTTATGAATATTAAACAATATTAAATATTATTTTTATTAACATGATAAGAAATTAATTGATCAAACGATTCACTTTTCTAATATATAACAACAAAATTTAATGAGGAGCTCAAAAATTAATAGAATTAAGTTATAATACAATGGCACTCTCTTGTAACCAGGAAACAATCAGAAATTTTCATAATTGGCGAAGGAGGTTGCCGGACTTAATGGCACTAAATTGTTCTCCAAAAGTACAATTGACGCGCTTCCAGCTCAAAAGTTAACTGAGCAATTCAATGATTTCGCTTGATATACGCACCTTCCTCGTAACTGTATTTTGGCTCTCATTATCAGAGTCCAAGACGCCGCATTGAATGACAATCAGCAGTGGCTGCTGATTATATTTAAATTCACCGGCAATATGTGTCTCACTTGCCGCCGCGTTCTCAATCCAATCACGTCGCGCTGACTCTTCGCTGCAAAATGTCATAGCTGCTGACACACTTTTTATGTAAAATATCTAGGAAAATAAAGTTGTGGCTCGCAAAATTTTGAATTAGAAATGTGTAACAAATCGAGAGCAGAAAAATATACTGGAGGCTTTTCAAAAACTATTGCTGGCGCGCTCATAAAATATCTTACATCGAACGCCTCATATAATAGAAATGACAAGTACGTAGATAATGAGACAGCAATGTTATATCTGAAGAGTATCTCATTAGATAAAAATATGGTGACGAAGTTTTCAATTATAACTGACTTTGTAATATAAAGAAAAAAGCCAAAACAAAATTTTTGCACAATTAACACTTCCAGAACAACTCAAATTAAGTTATAAATGTTCAGCTAATTTTGTAAGCAGAAAAATAATTAAAAATTTTTTTAAAAATTCACAAATTTTATTGCGACAATAATTATTAAATAAAAAATACAACATTTGCATTCTAAGTTTAATGTGTAAAAATGAAGCAGACAATTAATTTTTATTTGCCGTGTAAACTATCAAAGCAAAAACTATAACATAAGAATTCGGGAGAAACACTTGCTTGAATATTCAATTCAATATTTTGAAGGCACGGCGGAAATCATAATTATGCATGTGATTTCCATAATATTATTTATATGAGATTCTTGTTTGCAATGTTAAACAAAAAAACCGGATCAAAAGACAAAGAAAACCCTGCTATTTGTGCCAAACAATCATTGTTCTCGCACACACCTTTTCGAGTCCCCTCCTCTGGTTCCTCTTATGTCCCCAAGTGTCACCGTAGCTGATATACCACTTGATATCTAGCGCCGTAGTCGGCAGAACGTCTCCGTGTCTCCTCAACTACCAATGGTGTAAGTTTTTTGTATTGCAATTTAAATTTTTTAAATTTAATTAAATTTACTACAACAAAAAACTATTGAAATCTTATTCAAGATTTACATCTAAATTTTTTATCCTAATTTTTCTTTAGTATTTAAAAAAAATTTAAAAGATTATTTTGAAAATCACGTAAATTAATTTTTTAATATGTTGCAGAACTTGGCGAGCAATTTTCTTGCTGGCTGCTCTGGCTGCGGCCGCCGCCGCAGAACAAGAGCCAGCGCAGCACAGAGATTCCCGAGACTCGTATCTCGACGCTTACCAACACGTTCATCATGCGGGGACGCAGCAAAGTCCACAGAAGCAACAGCAGGAGCCCAGTTACCCTGTGTACAGCGCCCCTGCGCCGATCTACGGACCCTCTAAAGAGGAGAAAAAGGAGCCTTCGATGTACTACGGAGTGCCTCACTTTCATCACCACTACACCATGTCCGAACCTCCTCCGCCAGCAGAGCTTTCCGAGCCGGACAAAGGCCACGGCGGTTTCGAGCTGAGCACCGTGCTCAAATTCCTGGCCAAACTTTTCGTGCTGAAACTGCTGGTGAAGAAGATCTACTTGATGATGACACTTTTGTGGCTGCCGAAAGTCAAATTGCTCGAGTGGCTTTGGAACAAGAAGAAGGACAAGGTGAAACCGAGCAAACCTACGAAACCGACCGAAGTGTCCAGCGAGGAGAACAACGACGTGCTGGAAGACGACGACGATGACGAATTGAGTTTCTTCAGGAGCTCCAGATCGCTCGGCGAATTGGCGGAATGGGTGAACAGGGCAATCGAGAGGCAAGAGGAGAAGATGGAATAAATTTCGCAGAGGTCGGGACGAACTGTTGGAAAAGTGCCATTGCCTCACAAGATTGGAGCCTTATTCTTAATTTATTTTACTTGCATAGGTTATAATAATTTATTGATCTGGATAATTTTTGTCAAAATAAAACAAGAAAAGCGTTTGCTTGGATAATTTTATAATCTCCTTACTACAATTTTACAGCTGATTCACAAGCACTTAGACAATAAAAGTTAATCATTTATGTAATAACTGTGTGTTCTAGGATAAAAAACTTAAAAATTCTACATACGCTGAGAGCTTTCAAAAAAATATTTGAAGAGAAAGCTACAGTCTAGTATTTTTTTTAAAATCATGGTTCATGGTGCAGCAGCATAATTCTTTCATTTTTTTTTCATATATATTTCCTACAAGCTATTATGTGTGTAATTAATTATTCATTGATTCATAGTTCTTAAAAATACACGATGACCTCCACAAAAAAATCATCACATTCCAAATTACATTTGAGTGCTACCACAAGCAGACCATGATAGGCACACAAGAGGGGCTCTTACACAATAACTTAATAATCAAAAAAACAAGCGATAGAATAAAAAAAAAGTAATGGTGCTTTTTTCCCTTAATCGTTCATATCTGCATTCCAATTTATTACACGAACAGTATGTAAAAAATCTCTGGACACCGTGGTGTAAAAATATTTAGTAATCAATAAGCACGGTCAAGATGAGGGACCAAAGGTAAAACACTAGAAATGCAGCGGCATCCATGAGACGGGCCCTCAGATTAATATCACTTCGTCAAATAATATTGTTAAAAGCCATCAATCAGGCCAAACGAGGGCCATTCCTAGCAACAGGGTGGTGAGCTTACAAGCCACAAAAAGTGGTCAGCCATGCACCGTTCAATTTTGCAACATTTTGCAGCAGCACACCAGCAGCACCAGGTCAATGAATTTGTTCCACAGTGGCCTCGTACAGGAGAATTCAATTGTGCAGGCAGGGCCATTTAAGAGAAATGCACATGGTGCTGAACATAGAGCGAATTGCGGCGATCGGTGTAGTGCACCCCCGTGACACATAGCTGTGCATTGCATGTCATTGGTTGGTTGGTCGGACACAAGCAGCGGGACCATTTTGGCCCCCGCCCAACCAACTAGTTGCCCACAAATTTAATTCTTTTTGAGTTTCCGTCAATTTCATTGGGTAGTTGTAGCATATCATCTCCTTTTTAGGATAAATAATATTAAGTTTTGTAAATTTAAAATGACTGGACCGATCATAAATTTAAATTGTCAAAAATATACGCGTAACAAGTTAATTGTCAACTTTTGTTTTTTTTCCTCGGGGTAAACTATGAAAACTTCACACACACAATATGATTCAATAAATAATTTAGCGACCACAACAAGAATTTTGTCTGTTGATGAAAGGAAAGAGAATGTTCATGCACAGTGATGCTGACTGACGATGGTCAGAAACCAAATGCTGAATTTGAAATTGTATATTTACTCAGCCGACTTCTCGGCCTTCTTTTTCTGCTTCTTTTTGAGGAAGGATGGGGTGCGCAGGCCCTTCTTCTTCTTCTTGTCCTTCTTGGGCGATTCCTCTGACATGTCCTTGGTAGGAGAGCCCTGGGGAAAAAAAGCAAGTCAAAACCGTCGCCCCGAAAGCAAAAGTTGGAAAAAGCACCTCTGAGAATGTGGACTGGTTGGCGTCATCTCCGTTAACCGTGTTCTCTCCTAAAATATAAAATGATTCGATCAGTTTTTGCCCAAAATCGGTATCACCAAACACCAAAAGACGTGCAACATATAGTGCCAAACACAACCAAGACAAAAGCTGTGAGTGGGGACGACTGACATGGGTTAATCGATCATGCTGTGGGGCAGTGCGTGCTGTACCTTGAAGGGAAAATCGTGCAGACAAGGTTCTAGTAACACTTCTCATAGTCATGACGGGCATCGTCTGCCTCTTAGTGAGCACCAGGACGGCGCCAGCTGTGTCTCCTATGACACACATATACACACATGCAAAAATAGGGCATGCACTACCTAAGCCGGGTACTAACCATCACTCAACACCACCTCCGCCTTAGAAGCTCGCGGCACCTGCTTTGTCTCAATCCTCAGCACCTGGTGGCCTGTGTGTTGCCCAGAAAAAGGTTTAAAAATCGTGTTCCCAAAACCACGTGAGAGTAAATATATAATTTATATTGCAACGCTTGGAAACTCTTCAAACCCCTTCTCTCTTCAGTTAAACCAGAAAGAGAAAACATTGGCCAAAACTTACCGTCACGACTCTCTTCCTCTGTCTCCGAAGCAGGAGACAAAGGTGACGTTGGTGAACGGAATCGGCGGCCCTTTGAGTCCAGTGCAGACAAAGGCTCACTTTCGGAGGCATCCTCATCACCTGGACAATTGAAAGATAATTTTTTTCTTGAAGCTTGCCATTTTTGTGATCTTACAAGACTCTCCCCTCTGTTTCCTCTCCACGTCCTTCTTGTACTTCTCGATTTCCGCATCCGAAATCTGATCGAATGGATTCTTGGCGTATGGCGTTTTGTACACCATGGCATTGTGCTGGAAGCCTCGCTGAATGATGCCCTTGGAGGCTGCTCCCACGAGAATAACCTGGTCATTGGTCTGGGCGGCGGCATTGGCTTCCTGTAGCTTCTTAGCCTCTTCCCACGAGACACCCTCTAATATGTGCGATTGAGGTCCAGCGGAGATTTTGTCGGCTCTCCTGTTGTCTTTGATCTACAGAAATCAACACGATTTGTCATAAAACGGATATTCAGGTATTTTATTTACAAAAAAAAAAAAATTATTTGATTTTCATTGCAAAAGAATTCCGCATATTTTTAGCTTCCTTGTTTGGCTCATAACTTTACTAGGTCAAGACACGCTAAAAATATTGGCTGCATATTTGTCATAGCGTCACGTTTTTTTTAAACCGAGCTTGCCATACTGATAACCCACTCAGATGTTGAATGTAATTAGCATTCAAATAAAGTCGCTGGCACCATGCCAGTGGTAGACAGCCATATTATGCGTGACGTCACGCTCACTTATACATTGATTCTACTATCTCAATTAAGGCCACTCATTGCAAGTTTAGAATCAAGAGCTTTGGAAACGATAAATAAATTTTGACTTTTACTCAACCACTTGAAGATTAAAGATTGCAAACACTTTTCCAAACCAAAGTCGTTAAAAATTTTTAATTTGTATCAATTCTTTAATAATTAGACAAAAAAAACCTCCACCCATGTCAATTCTCACCTGTTGTTGAAGTTTCTTGAATTCCTTGGGATTAGTGTTCTTCGGCACGAATTGAAGTGCACCTTCGATTCTCACGGGCGTACTCGAGTGAGTCGGTGAGTTTTCAGCAACCCACTAGAATGACAAAACCAGCATTAGGTGAAGTTAGACCTTCGGGTAAACATAAATTTTCTGTGGCCGAGGAACACGCCTGTTGAGAAAAGTTTCGAAACGCGAAGGTCGGACAACACTTAACGCATAGGTTTTGTCTTAAACATTTATCAAACAGGCAGTGCTTTTCAGCTACAAAAAAGAATGGAAATAGAACACAGAAGATTTGAGCAAGAGGAGACATTTTAGTTAAAACAACAGAAAAGGTTGCCAAAAGAAGACACGCAAACAAATTTCCCGCCATTCCGAAGAGTTATTATATAAAAATTGTAAAAATGTCACGGTTTAATATTTAGGTCGCCAGGTTTACCTCATCATTGCTCACATCCACCCACTAAAAACAAAAAAGAAAACCAAATGTAAAACACGACACAAAACAAAAAGTAACACAAAATTAAAGGAAAAATTTAAATATTCAGGGCTAATGATACCAGGCAGCTGGGTTATGAAAAATCCAAAAATGTTCGGTATCGCTCAAATGCGTGGGTATGTCTTTTTATTATTTATTTTAATATAGTTGCAAGGAAAGGCAAAAAAGGTCCATCTAGCTCAATCATGGAGTGAAATAAATGCATCTTGTTAAATATGCTTCCTAAGCCCAGTATCTGACGGGCAGCTACTTCTGCTCAAACTTGATGACCTCTACCTTGGTGATTTTCTTGGGGTCAGGTGTGCCCGTCTCCAGAATTTCCACCTTTTGATACACGTTGGGCGAGTTCAGCCATCTCGTGCGGTCTGTGCCTTTGCCGGACCGGCGGTAGCTGATTTTGACAAATTTTCAATAAAAAATATTAAATAATCCAAAATATTTGCTCACCCTTGGCGATAGAGCTCTTCCTCCTCGAGTAGGAATCCAAGAGAGGATACTGCTGGTGGGACTTCAATGTCATTTCTAGGTCTGGGCGGCTCATTCTTAATCAGAGGTTGGCGGTACAGGTAGCCAGTTCGGAAGCCCTTTAAAAACAACAAATTAGTGGTCCAAATTGCGACTGTCAATATTATCTTACGGAATTATCAAGCATCCTCATTAGAGCCTCAAATTCAACATCGCCGACCTTCATTCGCCTCTCCTTCCTTCCAGCACCATCTTGTTGCTTGACATCAGCACCATGAGCAGCATCGTAGAGTTGTTTGCGAGTTTCCTCGCTCAAAATAGCCAAGTTTTCAATGCCGGCAGGCATTAGTTTCAGCTGAGAGGAAAATTAGCAAACATTGTTAACAGAAATAAAAAAATTTAGTACCTGGGTTTCACAAGCCAGCACCGTGTTGTAGACGTTGTAAAAGGCCTCCTCGATGGACTCGCCGCAGCAGACTGCACCGTGATTGGTCAGGAACATAACTTTGTTAATGGGGCCCAAGTTTCTGGCGATTTTGTCACGCTCCTCGGCTTCAAGAGAGCCTCCAGTGTATGGGTGTTGGCTGACCTCACCAATGACCACCGACTCCTGGCAGAGAGGCAACAGGCCGCACTTTAGGCACGAGACGGCCAGCACAGCAGGAGTGTGGACATGGACGACGCATTTTAGGTCGGGGCGAGCTGCATGAATAGCTGAGTGGAGCATGAAGCTGGACACATTCACGCCAAAATTTGTGGTTCCTGAAATTACAAAAATTTAATATTTAATATACAAGATTTTATTTCGTCTGAATTACGATTTACAAAATTGTACACTTTTCTCACCTGCCTCGATGATGACGCCTTGCATGTCAACCTTAACAAGGCTCGAAGCAGTGACTTCATGGAAAAGCAGACCGTGAGCGTTCACTAGGAAAAGCTCCTGGTCCTGGTTGAGTCTGGCCGTGATGTGTCCACTGATGCCCTGCGTCCAGCCGTACAGGTCGAGCAACCGGTAAATAGCAGCCACCTTGCAGCGGAGCAGTTTTTCGCCCTTGGCGTAGGCCATGCTCTCAACGCCGCGGATGTCATTGATGGGCAGCACGCAGTGGCGCGGCCCTGCGCCCATGCCCCTGGAACTGGAGGCACCGATGATGTCCGAGATCTGTTGCATGAGGCCGCCGGTGCCGCCTCCGCCGTCGCGCATCTGCACCTCGATGATGCGCTCCAGCTCTTCGCGGAACAGCCGCGAGTTCATGATCGCCTCCACGCGTTTGCGACGCTCCATTTCTTTCACGTCCTAAACAAAACCAAAATAATGACACACATTTAATCATAAGAATTGGAATTAATTGGCTAGAAATTTATGTTAAATAATGATTTAATAATACTTATACTTTGAAACTTAAAGAATAAATTTTAATTCCTAAACATTTTCTTTCTTTAAATTTATTTTTGATGGAGCAAAATTCTTTAGATTGAGAAAGGATTGTTTTATTAAGCCCTTCACCTACTTGCGACGACGCGCATGTCATCGCTTTGAATTTTCAATGCGTCAACAAAATTCTTTAAACGCTAGCATTGGAAACTATTAAGACTTCCTCAATAGCATCAATAGCGTCAAGACTTTTGCAAATTTTGCAAAGCGAAAACGACTTACAGCGTCAATGTCTGCTGGCCTCATCTTGGCCTTGTCCTCTTCTTCTTCGATGCCATTGGTGTGCTCCGTGACCACGGTGGTGGTGACCAATTCGGACTGGCTTGTGTCCGCCATCTCTCAGCTTGACTGCTGAAATCACAAAACGAAGCGACTTGAAACGGAGAAGACGGATTATTGATTAATTGGTGGCGGCCGAGTGACCGACCGGAGCAGCGACACTTCGCTTGCATCACGATAAATTGGCAGGCCGGCGCTCACTTCCGATTTGCTGCTATCGAGCCCTGACAATATATTTAATAGAAATAATCATGCATATTATTTATGTCTCGCTTTCTAGGCTTTCTTCAAGGGTTTCAGTTCATACCCCAAGTTCAACTGAAATCAGATTCGAAGCGAATTCAGATTCGCAAGGGCAGTCCAATAAAATGTTCCTTGCTTTACAAAGTTAATTTTACTTGGGTACCAAGATAAATAAAATAAATAATTAAATCACATTGAAAATAACACATGAAAATAATAATAAAAAATGAGTGAAGATGGAAGTGTTTCCTAATCTTTAGTTTCAAAAAGCCAAATATTTTCTATTATAATATTTGTTACTTTTTTTTCAATTTTATTGACATTAAATAACACAATTTATTTTCAATGAAAGGTCTAAGAAAAGAATTAACAGATTAATTAATATTTTAAGCTTCTGCAAGCGTGATAAAATAATATGTCATAATTATTTGAAATCGTGCAGATTGACTTCATTTAGGCCGGTCATTTACATGTCTGCAGCCTGTAACCAACGGTTTTTTCCTTGATGAATATAAATAAGCTAAAATCAACACGCAGGATCTCTGTGAAAATGATCTGCGGAGACCGCAAAGTTTTCCTCAATAAAAGTGGCGATTGAATATAAGTCGGGAGTTCATTCACGGACGCGAACTCAAATTACGTTTATGACAAGTCGGAGCGATACTAGGTAGGTCGGCGCTGCGCCGGTGAGGAGCAACTTGAGCAACCTGCCCTGCCGGAGCCGGAGGTGGCTACAATATAATTGTGGTGCAACGGAAAGAGAAACGGTTCGCCTTTAGGGACACTGACGCTTTTTTTTCTCACTTCGTCTCGCCCGTGCGCCTTGGCAATGGGACAAAAATAGGCCCAGGAATGAGAAAAATGCTGACCCCTGATGGGTGAATTGAAAATGAAAGCTTCAAAGTTCTTGGCCCCGGTTTTACTTTTGCTCCACCGCGACCGAATCAAAGAAAGAACTTTCGCTTCTTCTGAGTTTTCTTCCTGCCCAATTGATCCGAGTTATTATATTCTTGCTTGTATAATGGAGAGGAGCGAATTTATCGTCACAAGCCACTCGGCGAGTTTCATTTCATTCAACCCATGGCTATAAATAATCTGCGGTGCACTCAAGCGCTAAAGCAAATTTGGCACCAATAACTATGGAAAAACCCTCTACGCTTTCTTTGTTTATCAATTTGGGCGGGTGTTTCGATTTTTGTCTGTAAATATTGGATTCCTATATGTAAGATCATGTTTTCTAAAAATCTTAAAGTTATAGCCTATATTTGGCCCATTTTGTGGAACTAAAATGGGTTGTAAAGTATGATATAATAAAAATTTACTACTGAAGTTTGATAAAACTCAAATTACTAATATTTAAACAAGCCTTAAATTTTATAAAGCATCATAAAATAGAGGAGCATTATTGATAAAGGTCTGATAAAAATTTAAAAATTCATTCGAAATCATTTCGACCAAAGTATCATGAAAAATAATTTTGTCATCGAATTGATTTTAGATTTAAAATGAAATTCATCTCCAGAGAGAAAAGCTCCCTGTGTGCCAAGATGAATCCTCCAAAGTCCCGCAAGTAAATAAAAGCCATATTTATTTTCGACTTATTATTGTTATCACTCGGGGTTGGTATCAAAGAGCGGAATGATTCATGTTTTATGGCTATAAGCGTATCGGCATTTCGTTTGCTGATAGGACTAATATTTGTCTAGGACTGTGAGCGAGTACAAGCGCGAGGCGTTGGCCAATCACGTTTTATCTCAGCAGCCAGGCAGAAACAGAAACCGCACAAGTTAATTGCCTGCTGCGGCGGCCAACTAACGAAGATCATTGTTTTTATGTGCGTTTGCACTCAAAGCAGGCTCGAGGCCGCCACGACCAAATCGTCAGTTGGGAAGAATAAAAAAAATCTGTCCAAACAGAGAGGAAATTTGGGAGTGCCTCGCGTAAACGTTTTGAAACTGACCGAGGTGCATTATGCCGGCAGCTTTTAAAAAAGGCAAGATGGATATGTTCACCATCTTGTATGTACTAATGTGGCGAAAACACGTTTCAAGATGCTCATTTGCTATTCATCGTCAGAGAAGCAACCTTCGGTTCTCGACCCTGCTGCTCACTTAACCATTATTTTGAAATTCGATGCACCTTTGTAAGCAAAATAACAGAGGAATATATAACTTTGTTTCAAAGCGAATGTAAATTATCCACGAGCGTCAGAATTGGTTACGTGGAATGCAATAAAATAGAACGGCGAGTCCGACATTGAAAGTCATTATTACGGGAACAGTTCTTGATATCATGAGCAATCAATTATAAACTAGGAAATTATTACTGCACCCAGAGTTTGATACGCCAAGGGCGACAATTAAAGATTTGTAAGGAAGTGAAACGAAATAGATGATATAAAATTTACCAATGAACTGATCATTGGTTTAATTGTACGTTAATTATTACTCTAATTATGTGAAAAATATTCCAAAATAGTGAAAAATTGCTTTTGAATTTAAAAAAAAAAAACATCCCTTCAGCAAAAAGGGCCAGCCTTTTTAAAAAAAATTTTGAAATTGAATTGGTAGTATTTAAATTTAACACGATTTAATTTCGAATAAGATAGATTATCAGGACCAAGAAAAATTAAAATAAGTTTGAAAACTCAACTGATTTCATACCATATTTAAGTATAAACACTTCTTTAGATGGAAATGAGGAGATCGGGCATTTGCCTCGTTCCAGAAATTGTTTTTTATTCAAAAACAAATGGCTTTATACCAGTTTCGGTCACGGTCCGCGACCCTATTTCATGTGCAAGATAAATAAAAAAAATCAGCCAAATTGAAAACACAAAAAACACCACATTTTATCATAAAAATTAAAATCTTTAAATGGCAAATCAATTTAATTCTTACGTTAAAATGTGTTTTTTCTTTCAATTTTGCTACTTTTTTTTATATATCTTGCTCATGAAATAGGGTTGGAGACCGTGACCGAAACTGGTAGAGCCATTTGTTTTTTAGTAAAAAACAATTTTTGCAACGAGGAAACAGCCTGATCTCTTCATTTCCATGATCATCTCCCCGAGTGTATAACAATTTCTTCGGTTATTTAAAATCTTTGCAAAAATCCCTTTTTTTTTAGAAAATCTGTTCATATTATAATATTAATTAAAAATTTACTTAAATCATGATTAAATATCATTCAACATTAAAGTAATAATTACATTTTCCAAGAAATTCGATTCGTTACCGACACTTATTTCGTTTTTCGGGTCAAATATGACATTTCCCTCATCGACAAGCAATAATTCCGTCAATTGCAAAAAAAGGTGGGATCCGCGTTCGCCGGCGCGGTCATGTTGTCGGGTCACGCTGGCGCCTGGCCTACTTTTCCGGCAAATATCTGTTGATTTTCCAGCCTGTGCAGCCTCCCGCCCGCACCGGCTGCGTCACTATTGATTATTCGCGAGCCAGACGGACCGAGGAGGAAAAGGAAGGCTGGTTCGAGGGCCCCCCTCGCCCGCCCGCTGGCTCACCTCGCTCGCTGCACTCACTTTGCGTGGCAACCGCATCGATCAGCGGCAGTTGCGCACTCCGTGAGACACAAAAACCAACCAACCCTTGCTCGCGTGTACTCTATTTTCCTGCCTGCACCTAGACTTCTAATTCCGTCCGCCTCGTGCCGTAGACCATTGAATCATGCACGCCGATTCTCAGAAGGAAAGAAAGTTTTTCAATCGGTGCGACAAGTTGCCGAGTGACCTTTTCCTCTGAAATCCAAAGAAAATGCTTAGGTGCTTTTTTTATTCATAAAAAAAAGATCGATGCGGGCGTGACTAAAACCTTCTTTTTTTTGCTCATCACGGAACGCACAATGAGACCACTCAAACGGCTAAGTTGCCTCCTTCCAGACTCAAAAGAAGCTTCTTCTTTTTTCGCAATTTCAACCGAACCGGGATTTTCAAGTTTTTAATTAATCGTTTTGCTCCTTGGCCGCGCGAAGCACAACAACGGCCGCATTGAGTCGGACGAAATGGAGCGAGACTTGAGAAATTTATAGACACTTTTTGATTTGAAATGTAAATGCTTCTTCTTCTCACACGAGTGACGTCATGTCCGAAAATAAATATATTAATAACTGCAGACCGAGTGACTCCGCGCTCTCTCTCCAGCGGAGGAATTCGCGTAATAACAATTTTTTTTATCTCTTTATACCTGTGCCAATATTTAAACAGATTTTATCAGGAGAATTATTATTTGTTTTCTTGCTGATCCAATTAGTGTGTACTAAAGCGTGGCTCGCAGTTTAAGAGGCAAGAAATGAGAGTGAAAGCTCGGAATCTTTTGTGCAGCTCGCTTCGTATTCCCGTCCGGCGCTTTGTTCTGTCACGCCAGTTGAGCCTCAATCTCAATTTGATCATTCATCTGAATTACAACGGCCACTGATATCATCTACGAACTACAAACGCAAGCTACAGAGGCGTCATCAGAGCCTGAATAGAATTATTTCCCAGGCTTCCGACAAATTTAAAATAATTTTAATCTTTCAAATACGTAAACTTTTATCAAATTTAAAATCAAAAGGATTCCTTCAGGATTATCATTTAATTGAAATATAACAAGTGTCTTGAACTAAATTTTTTTTTCAAGGCGTTGTTAACATTTTTTAACAGGACAAAGTTCAATCCACCCCCACGACAACCTGCTGAGTTGTCAGTGAACATAAATATATTCTAAGATTTACTGACTGACCACACGATTGTGTTTGGCTTCTCTGTTTGCCCGAAATAATCCGCGATAATGACATCCAAATCGTGCTTCTTGCCGAGCACCCGACGTGACCGTTCACCACGCCCAGTTTGAAAATTCGGACGCTCGCCTTGTGCGTTACTGACCAGTTTCGGTCCCTCGGTGCCGATTTTTCAAAATTTATATCAAAATCGTTTTAATTCAACAACAGCACGATAGGCTATTAAATTTATTTTGAGTGATGAGTCACTTTGGAGGGCACTTAAGGGCCTTCAAGCAGGCCCCGCCCCGACTGCAAAGTGGGCCGCGAACGGCCCCTTTCAAAGATCGGACACTCGCCGGACAGGGCTTAGGGCGTTTCCCCAGCTTGAACTCTGACCTTTCGGCCGCAGCCGCGACCCAAAGCTGCTGAAATGATGTTGGGATGCGACAGACACACCCCTTTTAAATGCCGGGACTGTCAAGAGACTTTTGCTCGGCCCACGGAGAAACGCGGGCCGACGAGCGTCCTCAGATCGTTCGCGATGCGTGCCCGGAAAATTCGCGCGGCCTGCGGTGGGCGAATCTACTCACCAGTGTGAAAAATGCGAACAAAACTCCTTCCGAAAGTTACATCAACTGTCAATGCTAATAGCACACACACGCTAGGAGACTCTGCACTAATGGCGGCAGCCGATCGCATAGACCACCTCCCCTCCCTTGACGGAAGTTGAGAGTCGAAGGTGTCGATTTTGAAATTGATCGGAGTCGATTTTGGAAACTGAGAAAAAATCTTTTGTGATTTTTAAGCACTTTATTGCGTAGTTTTTTTGCGAATTAATGGCCAGAGCTGGAAATTGAGTCTTCAAAAAGTGTACTGAATGTAAAACGTCACATCCGGTTAGCAAGCGATTTGCGACCTTATGGCATTATGGGTTCTTCATAATACTGGTTGCATGCAACAGTACAATAAAATTAATTAATTAAAATTTTCATATGATACGTAACAAAGAGATAAATGAAAACTCAAAATAAAGTTAAAAACGTGAAATTGTTTATTTAAACCTATTTTTGATCATTATACAAAGAGAAGTTTTGAACAATGTATAAAAAGCATATTTTTTTGTTTTATTGGGACCACAAGAAAATTTTTAGGCTGAATATTATGTAAATTTTTTGCTCAAATCAGTCTTTGACCTTCAGCTAGCATTGCAAAATTAATAAATTTTATCTTTTAGCACTATCTTGGCAATTGAAATAAATTATTTGAAAAATATAGAATAAAATAAATAATAGATGACGTGAAAATTGTGAGCTATATTAATAAATGTATGGCTGCAAATGAGTTACCCTGAAAATAATGGCAAAAATAGCAACAAGTGTACAAAAGCATGCTTCCTGCATGCTTTCTTAAATAAGCAATAAATTATCCAAAACCTTAAAAAATTTGTACCACAATATTCATGAGCAATTTTAATCATTAACAAAAATTATGAGCACTGCAGTTGATTATATCTGAGGCACATGCCGAGATTATCTTCAGGATTTTCTTCTCTTATCCCGGGACCAAAATGAACGGCAATGTTGAAAGGAAGAGTGCTACCTGAAAATGAATTTTACTTTATTATATTTCATTTAAAAAAGGAAACTTGCTTTCGATTCGACATGCCGAGGTTCCAGGAATGCCGTCCTCTAGTGAGCAAAATGAGTTTCCACAGTGAAGCAGGTCGCATATTCCAGGGCCCCTTGGGTTATCAGGTATCAAATCCTCCGAGTCGCAAGGCATCACTATCCGATCATCACAGTCTTGCGGGCGCAGCTGCCTGTTTTCGCGCATTGAGCGGAAAAACGGGAATATGTCAAAGCCGCCGCCGCCTGACCCCTCTTCAGCAGCAGGATCATCTGCACTATCTGCAGCTTGAATGGGGTCATCCGCAGCTGCGTTAAAATTATTATTTTATAATAATTAAATAAATAATTCATAATAATTAATTTTGCTATATCAAATTAATTTCAATTGTTTTAGTTTTTAAGTTCAAATTAATTTTCACAACAAGAAGAGAATTGGAAAAAATTAATAAAAATACAGAGAAAAAGGAACGAACCCTCAACAGGTTGAGCGAGAGCGCTTGGTCCACCTGCGCCGCCTGGAAACCCTCCCGCGCCTCCTGGGAATCCACCTGCGCCGCCAGGAAATCCACCAGCGCCTCCAGGAAAGCCTCCTCCTGGGAAACCTCCGGCGCCTCCAGGAAAGCCACCAGTGCCCCCAGGGAAACCTCCACCACCATTAGAGGGGGTGAGTCGTGGGCCAATTTTGAAAGAATTTTGATCGCACGGCTCGTACATTATCGAGCACATACCTGAAAAATTACTCATTTACAAATTTAATTTGTCAAAAATAAAAGAATTATTATAGTTACTATCGCTTTGCTTGATGCAGATATTGTAATCTTGATCAGCCAAATGTCGACCGTTGTCAGCGAAATTCATTGTTTGCAAAACACCTAAAAAGTTAAAATAATTAAAATGTAATGATATAAATAAAAAAGTAAAAAATCAAACCTGAAGTTTCAGTGAAATATTGAAGACAACCTGCTGGCGCCCTATCTTGAAACTCAATTTGCGTTATCTAGGAATTAAAATAATAATTTCTGCGTTACAACAGTTGTTATTGATTAAACTAGGAGAATATTTATACCCTGATATCCCAAAATCGATTGATGTGATCCCTTGCCAGTTTGATTGTCAGATCAACATTATCATCTTCGACGTCAAAGTAAACTAGGTAAAAATTAGTAAAAATAATTTATTAATTAAATATAAAAAAGATTGCGCTTTCTATTTACAATGTTGTCCTGTATTTTGCCCGCACAATTTCAATTGGCGGGAGTTGGTGTTCCCTTTCAGTAAGAATTGATCTTGTTCGCAAACTCCCGTCCGTCTGTTGGGCTGACCCTAATATATAAAAAGCGCATTGAAAAATTATAATATTAAAAAAAAAATACAAACCAAAGTAAAATGGACCATATCCAGCCTGATTTGACTTATGTCAGAGGACGCTTTAGAAATTTTTAATCTGCAGTCTTCGTTTGACTCTCGCGAGCCTGGCAGTAAGGGCGAAGGATAGCCAGGGTTGACAAAGTAACCCATCCGCCCCGCAATTGTTCCACCGCAAGAAGTTTCATCTGTTTTAAATTTGATCAAAATACTTTAAAAATACCGAAAAATATTGTAAAATAAAATGTGCAAACGCTACTTAAATTTCATATCTTAAAAAATTGTTTAATTTTCTTTATATACTGCAAAATAAATATATAATTGAAACATAATAAAAAACACTTCATATCCTCGTGGTTTTAATTTTTATTTAAATAAATTTTTATTAAATTTTGATCATTTATATTAAAATTAAAATACTTACATATGCAGCATACTCCAAAACCGAATGCACATTCTCCCTTTGCTGTACCTTCCAATAGACGACATTCGTAGGGATTTTGGCATATACCTTTCCGTCTGCCATCATCCGCCGAGCATTCGAGAGTCCCAGAAAATGGGAGGAAATTCAGAACTGAAATTATGTATAATGACAATTTTAAATGCTTAAAATGCTTGTAGAAAATGTAATCAAATACATTTAAAATTGAAAATCTTTATTCTCATTTTCCAGAAAAAGAACAATTATAAATAAAATTTACCGTTTTCGTGAAAAAATAATTCAAAAATTCTAAAAGATTTTAACGAAAAGTATTATTTCGCCAGTTGAATTGGAATTTTAAACGGAGAGTGGGTTATAATTTTATAATTTAATCACGTGAAGCACAAAGAGGAAAGTAATAAGTAAACTCATAAAGAACAGTAAATTTTTCAGCGGGATAACATTAAATTTTTTTTTTTAAATTAATTTACTTTAAAGCTTACCTTTTCCTTGCCGCGTATCATTCTGGTTTTGAACAGGAAATCGGATAAGTGGAGTGGCTGCTGCCGCTGTGATTATTAGCAGCAAGCGCATCAAAACGCTGCTACCTGCACAGATGCCCATGATGTTCTGTGCGCAGATTGAATTGGCTCGGCAAATTTACTGTTACTTGACACAGAGCTATCGACGCCGGTTGGTTGCGTCATTTAGTCCGATATTTAAGATGCTCAGGTTGGTCGATTATAAGAACAAAATTAGCCAAACCTCGTGTATTTTTTTAATATGTTGACCTATTTTTTGTTTTTGTCAAAATATAACTCAAGATTCATTTTAAAAATAATTTTATTTACGCGCGTATATCAACGCAGCAAAGAGGACACATTTTTAATCATTACACACTTTGTTCTTTTCACTATAGACTATATTTAAAATAAATAAATGAGATTTTTAATCAGTTTTACATCAATTAGGATTTTGGGATGCATTGAAGTATCAAAACCTACTGTCAATCAAGTATTATGATATCATCTGACAGCTTCCTCTTGGGCTGCTCCTTAGGTGTGGGTGGTTTTGGGGGTGGAAGTTGCTTTGGGGGCTGGATTGGGGCGGGCGTAACAGAAATGGAACTGGGAAGATTGAACTGCTGGTGTTGCTTGGTGTGCTGAATAACCGAGTGAGACACTGAAATGTCACTGGGGAAGTGGAAGTCTTTGACGGACGCAGCTAGTGCGCTCGGCATCCTGCTCGCCATGTGCGCCGGCTGTGGTTTCGGATGGGATTGAGAACTTGTCGAGGGTCTCGGCGCGAACGGAGCACTGGTGTGATGAGCAGACCCCATAGGTCTCTGCAAATGCTGCTTTTTGGGAGGCAGGTTTCGCTGCATTTGCTTTGGCAAGCCGCCCGACGGCCACCCTTGAGGAACTTGAGGTCTCGGAGAATAACCTTTCGGAGTCGGCATTTTCCTTATGAGCTCGACTGGTGAGGATTGGCGTGGTTTGACAAGAGAAATGGGAGAATTGCGCCCACCAGATGGCAACTTGGTAAGGGTGACTGGGGTGTCTGGACCCATAAGAGGCTTCTTTGACATTGAAGGACCAGGAGCAGCACTTCTCACCGGCCCACTGCTTTGCTTAGGGATTGCCGAGGCGACGATGCCTGGTGGCAAATGTGGCAGGGGGGATTGTTTACGAGGAGACTGCTGCATCCTACTTGCCGTTTCCAGCATTTTCCTTGACTGTTCCAGCAGCCTCTTGACAGTCTTTTGAGTGTTGTGTTTGGGGAGAGATTTTGGCTTCTCGAGGCCAACTGGAGTAACGGAGAGATTTGGCCGACTTTTGGCTATTTTCTGCATTGGGGAGTTGTTTGCAAGTCCCTGCTGCGCCGAGGTTCCTGCCATAGAACTCATAGAAGACATAGCAGCATTTGCAGCCATCGACTGCATGGACTGCATTGCTGGAACTTGAGAAACCGCCGATGTTAACGCGGCCGTGTAGCCCTGCATCATTTGGCGCATCAGTTCATTCTGCAAGTAGCCCAAAGATGCTGTATCCAGCTGTCCAAATGGATTAGGGAAGTAATTTGAGTAGGGAGAAGATTTTGCCCTTCCGCGACCACTTGTTGTCCCAGGTGGCCGGCTGAGTGGGGGACGACCACGTCGAGAGGTTCCTGGCATAGCTGGTGGTTTGCGTATCGGCTGGAAAATAAAGTTAATTGAAGTCCCTGCAGACACACAAGTTTAAAATTTACCATTGGCATCACAGGAGTGGCCATTGACGGCACATTTGAATCTGATACGGATGCACTGGAGTTTGAGGCGATGGAAGTAATTTCAGCTGCCTTTGCAGCCATCTTTGCCCGAGCCAGCTCTTGTTGGGCAAATTTCATGGCAGCATCAATGGTCGTCGCCTTTGGATCAATCTATATTTAATGGCACTGATGAATATTTATTGATTTTTAATTAAAAACAAACCTTTCCAAGAAGATGGAGCGAGTAAGAATCACAAAGAAGTTTCCCGAGAGCTTGAGGCTCCTTGTTTTGTTGCACTCGTTGAACTTTCTGCATCATTTTGTAAATTTCCACAATCAAAGAAACCAATTCCTCTGGCTTAGAATCTTTCAGGACTTGTCGGATTACTTGGACTGCCAAAAGTAGAGCTTGCTCGCTGAGGTCTTTCCTCTCATTATCTCGCAGATATTTCCTAGTAAAAAAATTATCAAGATACTTTTTAGAATTCAATCATGACATTACTTGTCTGGATCTGGGGTCCTCTTTAGCTGTAGACATAGATCAACTAACATGCGATAATCCTTAGTTTCCTTCACAAGCTCCATCAACAGAACCATGGAGCGGTACATGTGCGAGGCAAAGCACCCTGGCCTGTCAATTTCATTCACTGGAATGCGCCAAACACCCTAAAATAGAATAAAGTAATTATTACCGATTGCACTGTTGCAATTTTAATGAGCATCTTACATTAAAAAAGTTGCTTGGTTTCCGATCTTGGAAAAGTCCATGCAACTTAGTGTTGGGATGAGGTCCAAGCAAAAAGTTTTTGCACTTATTTACATCCTTCCGAAGCTTTGATTTGAAATGATATTGAGCCAAGCGATACAGCGATTTGTAATGTTCAGGGAATCGAATGGCACAATCCTCAAGAGCTGCCAAGCACAAGTCCACAAGCTCTCCATGATCTACAAGGAAATTTTATAAACTCATTAGGTTTTGCATGAAAATAAATATTAGTATGTTACCTTTCAGCGGATCAAATTGCTCCTCAACTTTAGGCACTGTCTCCGCTTGCTTCTCATTCTCACTACTAGAGCTGCTGCTGTCGTCGCTTGATGATGAGGAGCTGGAGGTCGAGTGTGAAGTGCTTGTTGTGATGGTGGTGCTGCTCTCTTGCGAAACCCTTCTGGCTGGCTCATCTTGATTTTCTTCAGGTTGAGCAGTTCCCAGTAGACCTTCATCCTGTTTAGGCTTCTTGCTTACATCTCCAGGTTCCAACTCAGCTTTTCGTTTACGAGAATCATCTTTATTATCGGCACCAAAAGGACCTTGTTGTTGTCCCAAAAGTATTTTTTTCAACTAAAAAAAAAAAGATTCACAGATAATATTTTTTCATTGATTAGATCAAAATAAAACAAAACCTTCTGTGCATTTGGTAAAGTCTTTCCTTCGTGGAATTCCAAATGCTTGAGGATACACGTATGGATACGATAGTGAACTTCCAGAGCTTCAATGCTCAGCTCAGTTGGGTTGGTGTAGCTGACTTTGACGGGGTAAGCCGATTTGTGTTCACTGAGCAATTTTGCTGATTCAAGGTACTGCTCAAGGGCCTGCCACGGGTCTTGGTGCCTCTTCTCACTTGCTTTGCCGAGCATGTAGTGGTGCAGCCAGCGCTCGTCTTGGTCTTCTTCGGACCCCTGTGTCCAGGCATTCATTGCTTTTTTGAAACAGGATTCGGCTGTGTCTAGAGCCGAGCTTTTCTTGTTTTCCAAAATTTCAAACTGTTCAATGCTCAGCGTATCGGTGGCTTGTTTCAGAAGACGGGCACAATATGAGTGAATCATGTACACAAACGACCCATACTCGATGCAGATTACCGTGTGCCTGCCCTCTGACAATTTCATGACTTGTTCATAGCACTTTTCTGCTTTCTCAGCCCTAAAAAAATTATTGTTAATTAATAATAATAACAATAATAATTTTGTTTAAGATTGTATTTTTTACCTTTTGATAAAATCTGTTTCATTTATGGCACTACAGGAGTTTAGTTGTGTTTCTAGCTGACTACCTCTTGCTAGCGCCATTCCAGCCCAGGCGTCTAGACGGCTAGGGTTGTGGCACAAGTCCAGCATGTAATATCTGACAGCCTTTGGAAGCTCGTTGTTCTTAAAGTAATAGTCAGCTAGCAGATAGTTTATGTCCTTCAAGCCTTCAGGCAAAAGTTTGTGCTCAGTCGGTGGAAACTTTTCGAGTTTTCCTTCAATCCAAAGTCGAAGGTTTTCCAGTGTTTTCTGCGGGTTGCATTCTTGAGGTGCTAGAGTTATAATCTTTTTGATCAAATTCTCAGCATCTACACTTATCGAGCCAACTCGGTACGAGTCAAACTCTGGAAGTTCATCAGGACGATAAAACTCTAGCAATAGCTGTGCTCTTTCAAAGGTTAATTCTATGTGAGGCACCGAATGTTCCTGAAGAGCGGACCGGCCTTTGGGTTTCTTCGTTGTGGGATATTCATAAAGACAGAAGAACATTTGCTCAATGTGCGGAGAGAGTTTGCTTCGGAATGATGCAAACTCTTCGCTCTTCAGTTTGGGAACAATCTGGTCGAGAGCAAAAAGCAGCAAAGAACCATCGTCAGCACAACACCAAGAACGACGACCTGAATATAAAAGTTTCTTTGACTAACGCTCATTATTAGTAGTTTGCATCAACTTACCAAGATGTTCGTGTGCTACAAACAAGACTGATATCGATGCTGGAATTTCGTCAGGTTCATCACCCTCATTTACTGCCTGAAGCTCAAATGTTGTTCTGTTTTGTTCCTCGTGAGCCAGAATTTGCTGTAGGAGAATCCAAGGGTCGACACTTTCAATGGGCATCACCATCTCTGTTGTTTCCAACTGGGCGCACACAATTTGGCAGAGATCTTGAAAGAGTCTAGATAAGCGGCCACTAGGTAAGCTGCCAATGGTCGACTCCATTCCATATTCATCAAGGCAATAAACCAGACAAGCTAAAATCTTCTCAATGCACGATGCCCATTCAGGTTGCTGGTTGTTGAGATAGTGCGCAACAGACTCATGGAGAGACGCTTCAGCCCAGAGGAAACTTCGTAGCGGATCCTCTAGTCGTACAAGTGCATCAGCAAACATTTCAAGTTGGATATGTCGAAATTCAAATTGGCTCTGAACCTAATCACAATTATTTTAGACAAATAATTCCATATTAAAAATTATTTTACCTGAAAACTGCCTTCCAAAAGATCGGCAAGTTGTTTCCACATTCCTTGACGCCAAAATTGTTCAGCGCCCGCCAGACTTTGGCTACACTCTAACGACGAGAGTAGATGCTCAGTTTCATCTTTATTTATTGTGCCCTTGCAGTTGACTAAGGTAATTCCATCTGGGAACATTTCCAGTTGTTCAATTACAGCTCGCAGGGAGCTGCACGCCCAGTCAGTATTTTTCTGCAGGAGAGCAACGTGGGCGCGAAGCCAGTTGACTGTCACTGCTTCCTCGGCTGTCCAACAGGTCATCAGTTGCAGTTGGGCCAAGTCGTCAAGCAGCACCATAGGTGGAGACCTGCCTTTCTGCCGCTTGAGCCTATCAGAGAGCAGCTCTGCATGCAGGAATGAAAGCCGGGCGTCTTCTTCCAATTCACAGTCGTCAATCTCTTTTGATAATGGGGCAGCGTGGACAAGAGACTTTCTCATGATCTAAACAACGATATTCATTTTAATGGAGAATGAAACAAAAATGGAATTAATACCTGATAACAGTCAATCCAAGCAGACACAAGTTTATGGGGCCATGTTAGTTTGCACTTAGACACTACAATTTTCACATAATCGATTATCAGATTATAAACGCCCCAGTTTTCCTTGTGTTCCTCAATGAATGCCGTCACCTCTTGCTTTTCAATTTCAGTGCCGAAATATTCTTCTTTTGCTATGTTCTCAGCTATACTTGCCACAGTATTAGCAGATGGTCTCCTAGAGGACACTCGCAGTGGATTTTGGTTCTTCTCCTCGAAGATTTTGAACATGTCCATTGTGTCCATGGAATTGTCATCTAACATCAGTCTTTGACCTCCGTCTTTCAAACAATCAGGCAGAAGTGACATGGGTATTAGCCTTTTCAGAGAATCGGCTAGAGACGTGTCTTCGTCTTTCCGAGTGGTTGTCCGAACGCGGGCAGAGCGTCGCTGGCCACCAAGCACCCAATTTTCCAGGAACAACCTCTTTCTGTGCTTCCGGCTTCCATTTGAGTTTGCTTCTTCATTCTCATCTTTAAGATCATACAAGATAATTATATACCTAAATATGAATAAATTATGTAAAAACCTTGTTTTTCAGATCTATCATCAACATCCATTTCTTCATCATTATCGTTGAATGTAAACTCAGCAACAATTTCTTCGATCCTCTCAAAATCTACCTTTTGGCTGGAAGTCTGAAATTAAAATTTTTGCTTAATAAAATTCTTGTAAAAAGAAATTCAACTAACCGCATCAATTCCTTCCGTGCTAACATATTTGAACAATCTCAAAAGCTCTTCTGCCAGACAGAGCCATGTAAGTGAGCCTAGAGGCCTTGTCAGCCCTATAGGCCCCCGCTCTTTGATCTTTCCTGATGCACTCCAATTCTTTCTCATTTCCAACGCTTCCTTCAAAATTTCCAAAGTAGCCGTCTCCTCTGCTGTTCCTTCCATTGAAAGTGGTCTGCAAAAAATTCTACTTTAACAAATATCAAACGTGAAAATAAAGGCACTGACAAATTTGGGAAATATTCCTTGTAGTGCTGAGCCAATGATGGCGATTCCTTGAGCATAGCATCCCTCAAGACCAAGCATTTTGTATACTCAGGATCTCTACCTAGTCCCTTTGCAACAAAACTGAGACAAGTCAAGTAGCCATTAGTAGCGTAAAGCACTGTGATAAGCCTGTCCAAACAAAGCCAATGATTCGGGCTGCACTGGAGTCCCTTTTAATAAAAATTTAAGTTTAAAATTTTAATTCTGAACAATTTTAAATAAAGTGAACCTCATGAAAGGAAACTGCGGCCAAGTCAAATCTATTGAGCTGTTCGGCAAGACATCCCACTTTGTATAAAAGGGAAACATCAGTGTCATCCAAGCGTACAGCTTGAAGAAAGAAATCCAGAGCATCCTCTTTGTTTCCTGCCTTTAATTCTAGGTTCGCCAAATTTTTCAAGCAAGAGTACTTCAAGGCCAGGAGGGGCTGATACTGCCTGATAGATGATTTCTCGACCTGCGCCAAATAAATCAGTATTTTATTAACAAATTTGTTTGCTTCATTTCAAAACTGTACATACCTCTTGTATCAAACTGCTTGCAAGCAATTCTCTAAGAATAGCTGCGGACTTTTCTGTTTCCCCATGTCGTTGCAGTTCAAGAGCTTCTTTGTACTGCACAACAGCTTGGTCCTCCTTTTATGTAATTTTTGTTTAATATATCAAAGATTGTTTTATGTGGGGAAAATAATAATGAAATCCGTCTTTATATTTTGCAGTCCGCGTACCTGAGCCTCTCTTGTAATCAAATGGACGTCTTCCTCGTCACTTTCTTCGAGGGACTCTTCATTCAAAGCCACAATCTTTATCATTTTTGATTTATTGATTCTGTTTTTGGATCACCTGAACAAAAGATCAAATCATTCTGTACCTCAGAAAATAAAAAAATAATTGTAATACATACCTCAAAATCCAATAATTCCTTAATCACTTTCATGAGCAATGCATATTATTCTGCAAGCCACAAAAAGTAACAGAAAATGCAGAATTATGTAAATTTGGGTTGTATTAGTGGGTCGCAGCTTGGAACAACAATTCAAATTAAAAATTCAGTGTACATAATTGGATTAAAATTATTCTTCTTTCTCAAATCACTGAAGTTTTTGTTTACAAAAACACCGGTGAAGCCGTCAGCGCCATCGAGCGTGAAGTCGAATCAACCTTTGGAAACGAGGAGGGAAAATTGCGTGCTTACAATATTTCTAGAGTGTTTCATTATAAAAATCTAAATTATGCACATAAAATAAAGTATAAGAAATTATTGCATTTTTACAATATAGTTTATTCGACAACTTCCACAACTATTTACATCAAAGCCAAACACGTGACAAATTGTGTTTATATATAATTGTAACCTATTATCCTACGAAAGCTTTCCATTTGAACGAGTAATTAATAATATATAATTATATATGGCTAAAAAAAATTGAATTGTATTATTGACGCTCCAAGCCCGTGGCTTCCAAATCAATTTATCCAATTAATGCTTGAAATTAAAAATACTATGAGACTTATTAACGTTTTAGTCTTTGCAAGTTGCAAGGATCATCAGATTTGACAGATTTGAATGAAATTTGGAATGATGGTAGCCTAAATATAGTGCTGGTGGACAACAACCTTTTTTTATAACACTCGATATTTCACAGAGGGTTAAAGAAGCCATGATTTTTGTAATGCTGTTGTTTAAAAAGAGCTCATAATAACTATAGCATTCAATTTTAATCAAATTGTTCCAATTCATATTCCATGTTAAGTATATTATAAAATCATTTCACATTAGAGGTCTTTTGAAGACTAGACTCGGGGAAAACACATAAATTTGTAGTTGTGCTCTTAAAATCACAAAACCTATCAAAGTAACATTTTTTTAACTTAAATGAATGCCCAAACTGTCAGTCATTCTAAATTAAACAGGAGAATGGAGGTGATACTTAACAAACGTGATGGCTGACAATTCTTTGCAGAACTCTTCTAGGACAACTATACTTTCCAGGAGACTCTCTTGTTCATTCCTAGAAAAGAAATATTAAAATTCATAAAATCAAGCTTATTGAATTTCCTACGTAAGACTTTGCTGCGTGGTCGGGGTATCTTCACTTAAGCTCGGGTCTCCCAAGAGCCTGTTTCTCGTAGATTTCAGTCTTTTTTGTAAGTTTGGTATGGATGGAGCCTCTTTAGCCACTCGAAGAGCCAGTCGTCTCAAGGAAACTACAAGTCCAGCACCCATTGTAAGCTGATCTGGGCTTACGTTGCTGGGAGAGACTTGATTCGGCGAAAGGAGAAGCTCGTGAAGGCCAGCGTGTGGTAACATGGCCAAGCGGGACAGAAGAGCTGTCAGCTGCAGGTTGAACTCGTACTCTTGCTCGGGGAATTGTTCAATTCGATGAAATAGGATTTTTAGAATTGGTGCCACTCCGTCAGTGTGCTCGTCTTCGGGACGTGAATCACTGCTGTTGCCGTCGTCTTCTGCCACAACTTCCAGTGGCCAGCCCAAGGTAAAGCACTTTTTCCACAACGCCTGATATTGCCTCTGGGCGTCCTAAAACAACCATATTTATTTTGTAGAACAATTTCATAGTGATTCGATTCATCATGTTGGAATTTAAATCTGGCTTTTCCTCGACGTGTTTTTTTTTTTTAGTCGTTTATTGTTTTATGGAGGGAAATTTTTTTACTAAACAATAGACGAAACCAGACGAAACTATGAAAAACTTATCAAGGAACAACCGAATTTAAATTTAAACAGCATGAATCATATTTATGTATTTTTTTCTTCTTTTGTCCACTTTTTGAATTTGTTTTATCTACCTGAAGATAACTCTCATAGCCTGCCTCAGTTTCTCCAGTCCTCAAGAAAGGTGGCAGCAATTGCAAGAATCCCTCTAAAGTGGCCTGTACATTGTTTGGCGCAAACGTTAAGCTAGATTGTAATTTTCCTTCCAGACTAGTTTCTGAAATTTTAAATTTTCAAAAACCAATTAAAGATACCAAAGTGTTCACAAAATTACGAACCAGTTTCACTAGAAATTTGTGCGGTGACTTTGTGAGGCAGCAAGTGAGAAAAGACGAGAGTGTTTAAAGCTGTGTCGTAAGTTTCGTCCACCAAGACCTCCACCAGTCTCATCGTCTCCACAGCCAAATCACCGTGAGCAACTTCCAGCAGCTTCAGAATCGAATCTCTGACTGAAGTGTCCAACACAGACTGGGTCGTGACTCCAGTGAGCCAGTGGCTGAGCCCAATTCTCAGCAGTGGCGCTTTGCACTCTCGCAACAATTTACCAATGTGGACTAATGTGATGATGGAATCTTGCACTAAAAGGATTTTTAATTCATTATAAAGCTATACAGTTGAATTTTAAATTTTACGTTGCTTGGGATCTTCTTCAGCTGGGTTTGAAGCAAGCTCGGCTCCTGCACAAATTCTTGTTTGCAGCTGACGGACGAGAAAATGATCTTGAATGCTACACACTAATGACTGGCCTATTTCTGGCTGAGAATCTCCCACCATCTAGCGTTAAAAGCGTTGATTTTTTAATAAGCAATGATATCATAAAAATAGGTCTTTACCTTGTCGCAAAAGTTCCACCAAGACAAATATGCTGCCAATTGTCTGCAGCCTGGGAATGGCTCTTTTACATCTAAAGGATTGTCCATGCTAAGAGAATATGAAAATTTCAAGTGATAAGTCCCAAAATTTAAAAAATTAATTTTACCCCCAAGATGAGTGCATTTCCTCTAACTCCCCAGGTTCAATGGTTGATGGCACCTCGCAGTGGAGCATGGCCAGTCGGAGGGCAATGCTCTCGGCCAGAGAGGATTCGTGAGCTATCGACATGGCAGTGCTGGGTAGATTTGTCAAGACAAGCAGAGATTCACTAATTTTAACCCTCAGTCGGCCGTCCTGTTGATATTTAAAGTTGATTGAACCATTATAAAAATTTAAGAAAATCCTACAGCACTGTCGATGAATTTCAAAAGCGCCTCGACGATGATATTTCCTTTTCTCGAGGCTCTTTCGTGGGAATGACTGGGTGTGGATTCCTGGGAGGATGTGTTTGAGGATTCAGGGGAATCGGCTGATGCTTCCGAAGATTTGCTAAATAGATTCGCTAAGTCCGGTTTTTGTCCAATAACCGCAGCCAGCACACAGAGCAATCGGACCTCTTGTGCTTCTGTAGGAGAAGCAGCGGTTTGGCCGCACATTTTCACTATTTTCTGAAATAAAACACTGCCTTAGAAAATACTTAATTTAATTTTCTTCTCTTTTAAATACTTGGACTGGCTCGTAAAGGGCGGGCTGACTTTGAAGCTGTGTGTAGGTCAACGATGTGAGCCGAGAGAAAAACACAAGACCAAGGTGCCGCATTCCTGTTAGTAAAAAGTTAACATTCCTATTAGTTTGAAATACATTTTCAATTCATAGCTATACAAACCTGATGGTGTATCTGCCACTGTTAAAGAAGCTAACAGATCAGGGACTCGATGCTGAATTAAATATTCCAAACACGGGCCAGAGTGAACGTCCGAATCTTCCTTGTACCTCCTAGATTCATCCTGCTCCTCTTGAAGGGCCTAATATATTTCAGGTTTTAAATAAATTTTGCAATTATAAAATTAATTCTGAAATATACTGTAAGCATTTGTTCCAGGTGAATTGGTAAGTGCGTCGTTTCAATCGGAACATTCAGCTCTTCGTCCGAATTGTCGTAAAATCGCATCACTTGTTTCCAGTGGTAGATGAAATCTTGCTGCAAGGGCACGGGTGGTGCTACCTGCAGATGATTTAGGAATCAATCACAAATGAAATCTGACTTATGTATTAACACTCGAAAGAAAAGGGCTTGTTGACGTGTGTTATTTTTCACTTACCGTGTCAACTGCAGTCTGAAGAGCTGCGGAAATTCGACTCAGCATCGTTGGCTCGCAAAATAAAAAACTTTCCGAGGTTAAATAATTAACTTGGAATCGAAAATGTTAAAACTGAGACTCTGTAAGGGCGTTAGTTTGGATAATTTTGATCTTTTCTGACTCTTTCTGACGACGTCGATCTTCTTGTTTATATTTCCAGCTGATAAAGTTTCAGTCGAAGAAACGCTTTACCATTGGTTAGTTCTAGTCACGTGGTACATAATTTGCCAATTTCCCCGCGACGTACCACGAGCTTATGCGCGCTCGACTGGGCAGACTGGGCTTTGCTAACGCAACGCGTAACTTTTTTGTTGCTTGCAAATTTTGCATATTCGAAGGTTAATTTATAAAATATCTTAAATTCTAAAATTTTTACAATATCTTTGATTTTATTTATTTCTCTTAATATTTGCGATAAAATCTTACAACTTATTGTTTATTTTGTACATAAACTTTCAATATACCTTGTGTACGATATAATATCAGATATCAACGCAGCACAAACGAATCTAAAAAAATTTAGATAACATTTATATATCGAATAACTTAAATAGGTTGCTTTAGATGCTTTACAATTAAAAAAAAATTTGTTTATAATAAATCTTTTATAAAAATTCTATATATCTGCATATTTAAACAAACCTCACTATTAACTTTTTTGGACCAAAAATAACGAAGCTTTATATTTTTCGATATCTTGGGTGTAATTTAATATTATTATATTAGGCGAGTTACCAAAATTCACTATATTAAGAACAACCTCTTTCGAGTGAGTTTTTTTTTTATTAAAAAACTGCTGCGTGTTTGACAATCTGCTCAAAAACGGCACATATTGCTTTATTTTCAACAAAACCATGGCACAATCGAACGGATAACATATATATCTCAGAATCTATAACAACATACTGAGTCAATGAAGAAAAATTCCATTTCTAACATGTGCGTCAAGCAAGGCGCAAAAATGCCAGCATTTCGAGAGAAGATTTCAATGAAAAGCGCCTACACATGGACAAGTAGTGTGAGAGAGGTAGTTGGAGCTAACAACTACCGGAGCTATTTTGCGTATAGATTAAAGAAGGGGGACTTAAAGAATATAAATTTAATTTAAGTCATATCTAAAAGTTTTAGTGACAGACAACTGATTATAATGTATTTTCCAGCTGCTTTACTGATAGTACTGATACATAACTATGAAAATATTCTACAAAATTCAATTCGTTTCAATTATTATAACAATAAGTCATTTTTTTATTTGATTATGTTTTTCCCTTTGACTATTCTCAAATTGCGGCGCTACTTTTTCCAACAGCCGCAACGTGAGACGACTACTGAGTTCGAAACAAAATTTTGCTTAAAAATTTCCAACAGAACGGCCTGAATGTAAACCGAAAAAATGATTTTGGCAACAACAGTTTCAAAACCCCTGGCATTTCAATAGATAAAGTAAAAGACGTAGAATGCGAATATGGCAAGGATAAAAAAGCCGAGGGTGTAGGAGACCATAATGCGCGCGATCTGCTTCTGCTCGAGCCTGTTGTACTCGGGGTTCTTCTTCCTCTTCCTCCTGTTGGCGGTGGGCCTGCCGCGCACCAGGGGGACCTCGGCGGCCTCTACGTCTTCGGAATGAGGGGCCCTACGGTGGTCACCCCTCTCTCTGGGGGTGGGTGGGCTGCTCCTCTTGTAACCCCGGATGGAGCCGGTCCGGCGCAGGCACGGCGACATCCGAGGCGTTAGGGCGAGGGGATTGAGGATCAGCGGGTTCAGTGGCACGGGACGGTTCCAAGAGAGATATTGGTCGCTAAATACTACATGACGAGGGTCGAGAGAGGGGTGAGGCGCAAGTCAGTTGTGGTTGTATCCGAGCTCTTCCTCAAGCTGAGTCATTTGGTTCAACACCTTTTGAGGCAAATTATTTTATTAGTCGGTACAAAAATATTACTATGTTTGATTTGGTTTACCTCGAGGATAGTTGCCATGCTCCAAGCCTGGATGCGACAACTGTCCGAGCAGTATCTTCCATCTTTATTGGTCAATTCAGGTAGTCCTCGCCAGGGTGACTGTGTTACCTCTGTGAAGTGACGAGAAAGATAAGCCTTAGTGGCAGACATTGTGCGGCGTAGCTCAGCTTCGCCTCCGACGATTCGGGAGAAGTGTAGGCGGGCACGCAAGAAGAAGCCAACTGGCCAAACCCATTCCTGCAAGGGTTCATTTTTATTTTTAGAAAAATTTAATTTTAAAAGGAAAGTTGTAGTTACAGGTCCTTGGTGATAGTTGAATCCTTGTGCTGTTTTGGAGTCATTTCCATCATCACAGTTGTTGTAGTCGCCACAGTAAGCCCAGTCACTTGGGTCAAGGGTCTTCATGCCGAGAGGACCAAGCAGAATCTTTTCAACTTCTCCCAGCGCAGACCAGGCGTGGTGTGGGTCGAACATGTCGGGTGCAGCAACCATAGCAACGGTGAAGTTGGGACGAAGCTGATAGTCGGCCCAAGCTTGGCTAGCATTGTGGGAATCCTTGTAGATTCCACGGCGGTTAATCAGCTCAGGTTGAGGCTCATTCTCAGGAATGGGAGTCCAGTTGATCCAGAACTTGCGCTCAAAGTGGTGAACAATTTTATCTTCCCATTCCTGGAAGGTCCAAGTTGTGTAACTTCCTGCAAAGGTTCAAAACACAAATAGATATTCAGTGTCATAAAACTGCTAGTTTACCATCATTGTTTCTACGCTCTACAGAGTTGTGAGGATATCTGCCCAAAGAGTATAAGTGGTTCAAGAACTTGAGAGCAGACTTGCATAGACCAACCAGCTCCACAGCACTGCCATCTCGAGGAGTTGCAGGACGGCCCTTGGTGCCAGCCTTTTCGCTGGAGCCCATTTTGTCCATCCAAGTGCCGCAGTTTTGCCCATTGCCTCCGTAAACAAAGCCTGTGGAAAGAATTCCAATTAATTGACAGTAGAAATGTAATTCTCCCTCTGGAAATCATTACCAGTTTCGCAGTCAACGCCAACCTCATTGTTGAAGCCTTGGTCAACCATGTGAGCGTCAATTTTAGAGCCAGCGTTTCGCTCTCGGAATTTGAGTCCCTGGAAGTGCACTCTCAGCGCCTCTTGAATTATATCTTGCAGAGGTTGATCCTAAAATATCACTTCATGAAAATGCACACCGATTGAAATTTTTATTTACATGTGCACCGGGTTCAAGTGCAGGCGAATCGTCTCTAGGGAAGAGTCGGGACACAGGGTCCTGGAAAATGCGCCAGCCATCTGGCACCTCCTGAACGTAGCTCTGGATCGAGTAAAGCCACCACCAAACTGCATCTCTGCAATTGAACCGAGCATTTTTGCCTCCGTCCAAGAGATTTGGTATCAAGCCGTGGCGGAGACAAGCAGCATAGGCCAGGATGTGGTATCTGCAACATATAATTGTATCAAACGTTTAATTTAAAATCGCTAAAATCCTAACCTGGCCTCCTGGTATCGTCCAGTGAGAATGAACAGTCCCCTGAGGGATATGAAAGTGTCCCGTCCCCAGTTACGCATGTAACCGGTCGAGAAGTGAGGAAGGCCTAGAAAATCATTCTTGCAATCAAATGGCTATAAAGCCTCAAAAATTTATTTACCAGCAGATAGGGTAAGGAATATCTGCTCCGTCAAACCATTTTGTCCGAGTCTTGTTGGTGGTAATGGAGGCGGAAGTGCTGGTGAGAGCCTTGGCAGCTGGGCTGATTTCACAATGCCACCGCATTGCACAGAGCCAAGTGCAAGGTTCTTAACAAAGTGCGAGCCTAGCTGGACGAAGCTGTCAAACGGAGTTGGTAAGTTTTCAAATAGTTGACGAGCGCCTGAAAATAAAATACCTGGACATGCAGTTCCAAACACGCTGAAGGAGTGCCTGGTAGACACCTTGCAGAGTAGCATCAAAATAGCTTGGAATCAGGTAGCGAGGCAGTTCCTTGAGGTGCCGAAGGTTATCTTCGAACCACCTGCCTAGCTCCTCAGTTCCTGGGTCAAGCTTCAATCGTTGGCTGATATAATCTAGAGGTAAATAATTAAAAACCTAACCAAACTATTTTCATAATTTCATTACCAATCATCCAATTGCCAGCCCTCAAGTTGCCACATAGAGGATGACCCAAGTCGTTCTTCTGCCGTATTTCACTAAGCAGTGAAATAAATCCTACGAAGTACATTTTCATTGTTTTAAATTCTTACAATTGAAAGTAAATCCATTACCTTGAAGACCGCAGTAAACTGTAGATCCAAAGCCTGGAATATTATAGGCACCAAAGCCATGACCTTCATCCCTCTCTTCCTCTTCACAATGGAAGAGAGCGCGGTTTAAGTCAGCCAAATCAAGTTTGGAGACAATTCTGTCAAAGTCGTGGTCGACTGAAGACATGTCATTGACAGATCTCAAACTGAAGCGTTCAACAAGTCGTCCAAGATGTGCAATGGCCGGAGCCATGTTAAAATGCAGAGAAACCCTATTTGGGAATAAAATTTAGTTCGAGAAGACAAAAGGAGCTAATGGTACTAACTTGAATGCGATGACGCTGCCAGGCTGGAAATCCTCGGTGAAGTCGATCTGCGTGACCTGAGGATCACCCGATTCTCCCTTTCTTACAGACTCAGCCTGCGAAAGTGGGAAATGCTCCCTCAGCTTGAGCTTGTAATCGCTGAGGCCATTGATGAAGCGACCGTCTCTGCGGAAGTTGGTTGGCGGAGGCACAAACCAAGCACCACCAGATCTTGAAGAAAATTTTTAATATTTATGCATAAATTTAAAATTTTTAGGTTTACTTGGAATCTCTGTGGCACAGACTGGCCTCCATGATGATCTCATCGACAACGCCTTCCACGCGCAAAGGCCTGGTGTGATTGCGCTTGTAGAAGGGCTCTGGCTGCTTGAAGGCAGTGCAAGCAACAAGTACAACTGATTGATGGGTAGTAGGGCAGTGACGAGTCACAGCCACTACATCAGAATCCACTTGATCGACGAAAACCTGTCATAAAATTTTAGGGAGAATTCATAATTCTGCATTTTATTATTTTACCTGACTGAATCCTGATATTCCCAGCTCAAAGTGGAGCTTGTTGAGAGCTCTTTTGGCTGCGATGATACCACTGTGCATGCCCACAGTGTGATTTCCATTGGCATTTACATTTTCGGCCCACTCGGTGTAATGACGAGTCTCGTCCACAACATGTATCTGCAGAAAATATTTATTAAGCCCAAATTTTAAAAAGTTGAGATAATTTTTTACGTCATGAGGAACAAGCTCGTCGTAACCCCTATTGCTGCCGCTGGCGCAGCACGCCATGTTCACCAAGGCAGAGCTGGGTAGCAGGTCGTAAACGCTCCTGGTTTGCACAGGGCTGGGGTTGTCGTGGGTCACGTCAAGGAAAAGTGCGTGGGCAATGCTGGGAACCAGTGGCCTTATGTGTGGCTGCATGAAGGCTCCAACTGGTTCTCCGCCATATCGGTACACCAAACGGCCCTCCTCGTGAGAGTCCCATGCTGACATAGCCTCTGCACGACAAAATAAGAATTTTTTGGCTTTACTGTTTATATTTTATTACCTCTGATGAGTGATGTGATGCCAAGACGGTTGATGAAAATATTGTCTTTCTCATCAGAGTTGGTGAAAAGTTCAGCAACAACGTAAAGGTCTGGACGAATGCGTCTCGCTGCATCCAAAAGGTACTATTTTTTTCCATCGTTTGTCAATTATTTATAAAATATTTTATTGCAAAAACAAACCTCTGCGACGGGTATTGGTGTGGAGTGGCAGTTGTCCAATCGAATTCCGTGGAAAGTCCTGGCAGTCTGCTCCACATATTCCCGCATGTGCTGCCACAGGAATGGGCAGTCTTCTGGCTTTTCGCCATACCTCAACTTGACGCTGTCACCCCAGGCGATGAGCTCGCGGCGCAGATAGACGTTCGAATCTGCGTCGGCAAAGTTCCTCAGGGGGTCGGCGTTCATCACCCAACCATTGTGGGCCATGATGTAGCGGCCACCATTTCCATACATGATGCGCTCGACGTTTTCGAGGTGAGCATCATGATTTCCGGTGAAAGTGAAATACCTAATAATTATTAATTAATAAACGTTCATACAAGGTTCATTAATCAATCTTGCCTGGGGATCAGGGGATCCTTGGGGGTGATGTCCTTGAGGCGCGGTCCGTCAGTCTGGACGCGGAAGTAGCGAATTCCCGCGAGGCAATTGTCGACGGCAGCAACCAAGTGGCTCTGCAGAGTGTCAGTGACCTGGCGATTCAGCGTTTCAAGATATTCGCGCAGGTCGTCTGTGCAGCGCTGGACGCGATGTGCTTCGTCATAGCAGTCCTTCCTGCTAATTGATGAAAAATTAAATCTCCGTAAATTAAGCATAATTATCCCTCCGACCTCTGGATGTTGAAGAGGCTCAACGCCTGCTCCATGTCCACCTTAGAATGGTTTCGGCGGAACTGAGGGTCCTGCTGGATGGTCAACTCGCCGTGGCCCTGCTTCAATGGACCCCTTTCCCTGGCCAAACGAGCGAAATGGGACAGCGTGGACTCAACGTCCACCGTGTACATTTCCCACAACTTTGCCTGGGGCAACAGTTGTCCCAAGAGAATTCCTCTCATGGCCTGCAAATGGTCTTCAATGCAGATCAATTTCGGAACACCAGAGTGCTGCCATTTGCCCTGCGAGATCTCGAAAGCAAAGCGAGCCAGGATGGCGTCCAGCAGGAAGGCCGGACGCAGGTGTGGTGAATTGTCCATGTTGTAAGTGCACTCAGGGTGGTCTTTCAGCCAGGCACTCTCGTTTGCGGTGTGATTGAGGACAACGTCACAAAGACTTAAAACCTGCATGCGAATATTCAAAATTTGAATTATATTTTAATATCTCTGTCAAAAATTGCACCTTCCACTCTGTTGCCATTTTGTGGGTCAGCTTTTCAATATGATCCATGGTGATGTGGTCCCCGTGCTCGCTGAACATTGGGTTCAGTCGCAGCTGGTCTTTCAGGCTATAGGACGAGTTGGATATTCCTAAAGACTGCAAATTTACGCTTGTATAATGAAAAACGCAACCGTTTTATTTCAATATTTTTTAACCTGAACTGGGGTGAAGTGGATCATATTATAGCCACTCTCCCTAGTGACTGCAAGTTTCTTCTCCCAAGAATGGAAAGGGCCCAGGCATTTGGCAAGGACGGTTTGGCATTGGACGCAGTCCAGAGGCAAAATGTCGCCTCTGCCGTAAAACAAATCAGGCTCGACCAGGAAGAATCCTGATCCGTCCGGTCTTTTGTTCTTGCCAGTGTAGCCCTCTGAGTAGTAGCCCTCGGTGTAATAACCATCATTCATGGCAAAATCGTACGAACTGAAGCGGGTTTCAATTTATTGCACATTAAAATTTATAGAATTATTTACTTGTTCTCGTCGCAGGTGAAGTAAAAGTGGAAGGAACCCGCCCTGACAATATTGATTTCGGTGTAGAATGAAGTGTCATCGGCAGGTCCTCCGTCCCTGCGCCAAGCTAGGCCGCGGTAGCGACGACGGTCAAAAATTTCTCCCTCCGGTGTTTCCGGGTGGTTGCAGAAAATTTTGACATCTTTTCCCAACAAGGACGGGCCCAAACGGAACTGCAGGGTCCATCCTACGAGGCAAAGCAAGTATTTTTTTTTACAAATATATTTCTTTTGAATTTTAAAAAATTACAAAATAAATTTCTACAAACCCTGTAATTATATTTAAAGAAAAGTTTAAAAATATCTTGAACTGACCTTTCTTGAGGCGGAAAAGCGCAGAGTCAAGGTGTTCTCCATAGTTCAGGGTGAGTACCCTGACCTGGCCTCCGTACTGTTGGACGACGCTACTTCGCTGAGTGCCCAGGGTCATCGCGAGGATTCCTTGCAGCTCTTGGGGGTGGCTCGGTTCAGACCTCCTGTTCGAACAAACCAGAGCGACCTGTGTTGAGTGCATGAGTGCGAAATTCCCTAGCGGCGATAATTAACAATGTTGGATATGAACAAAAAGCTTGTCAGAGGAACTAGCAATAAGTAGTGTGGAGCGCGGGATTATTAATGAGACGTGTTGCGTGATGAATATAAAAATCGATTTTTGCCACACAATAAGTAAGAAAGAGAGAAAGAAAATCAAAGCAACGCTTGATCAGAAATAGAATATGAGGGCAAATAATTTCCTGCGGGTTATCGATGGACAAGCGGGACTGAACGTAGTTAAAAAAAATAAAAAAATCAAATTAAATGAAAAAATGTTTACAAAAAATAGATAAAAGAATTATTAAATTTCAATAAAAAATTAATATAAATTTAAAATCGAATAATTTTTCTACAGTTAAATAGGAAAATGAAATAAATTAGAAAAAGTGCGGCAAATAATTGGTGAAAATTGCTGAATGTGTTTTGCGTGTGAGTGAAGAATAAGTGAGAGAATTACCACTTTCTCTGCGAGTAATAATGCCTGCGTATCTTGTGCATTTTACAAAAACTTAGCGAGCTAAAATGTCTTTTTTAAGTGTGAATATGTAAGTAGATGAGAGAAGAGGAGCTATTAGAGGACTCACCGCTCTGGTCCAGAGTCGAGAGACGAGTGACAATCCTCGTGGCTAGATTTGCCATTAAGATGCTGATGAGCAGCACCCCCCGCCGCACCCCCACCCCCGAGTGCGAAATTAAATACTTGGGTGAGCAAGTGCACGAGCGCCAGCATCACTCCACTCGCGACCAGTTTGAATAAAAGAATCAGAGTCGCGTCCACCAAACCAACAATGACTAGCAGCGCAGTGGGCATGGCGCGGAAAATCTGCTTTTCGGGCCGCCGAGTCTCTTTCTAAATGGCGAGATTACTCAGGTTTCGCCCGAGATCGCATTTCCCTTTGATGCGCGCGAGAAAGAGCAGATTTCATTCCCACCAGCAAATGCATACGCGTAATCGTTTTTCTCAACCAGTATAATTATAATTATGTGCTCTTTCGACACGAATTGATTTTTTTAAAGATTAAATCGAGTCAACAAATTTGAACATTAGAATTAATTAATTCCTCTTTTTAAAAGCCAGAAAACCACCAGAAAGGGTGTGCGCGCTTCCAAAAAACCAACCAACACCCACCATTGTTTCTCTTAAAATTAAAAAAAAAAGGTTTAAGGAAATGGTTTTGTCATAGAAATACAAATCTTGGGTGTATCTCCACAGCCATTTCTCAACGTTATATGTCTTTTGCTCGCGCACTCTCGAGGTCGTCAAAGGTTAAACCAACAAAACAAAATCCCATGCAGATTGAATGTGATTTCGATTAGACTTATTTGCTTGTTTATTTTTTCTTTGTAAATTATTATAATTTTAAATCGATCCTAATAATACAAAATTCAAACCAAAAGTGATAAAAAATTTACGTAATTAAGCACTGCTTTTGGTTTGCGAGAAAAAAAATATACTTAGGACACTTCTAGACGCCTAGCCTTAAAAAAATAATAACCTGTTAAACTTCTAATTTTACTACTTTTAAAGTCTCAAGTGTATTTGCGTCAGCGCCCACCTTAAATTTGATATCCTAGTTGTAAAGGTTAGTGAGCACGCTTTATTTTTTTGGGAAGTTGCGGGCAGGGTTTTTTTTATCCTCTTTTACATATTTTTATGCTTAAAAGTTGCAGTTTTTCTAAAAACAAAACACTAGGCACATTATTAGAAATCAATTTTTATGAACAAAAATTTTCTACTGAGATTTAAATTTAGTGGTAGAATTTCACGATCGAGGGTTGATTCAGGGTGATTTGAATTTAAAGTCCGATTTTCCGCGATGGGTTTTGTTTTTTCTCAAACAATAAACAACGCACAAAATCCATCAAGGAAAAGGCGACTTTAAATTCAAATCACCGTGTTCACTTTTTTCAATGAAACCTTGGATATGAAATTTATTACGTTGAATATTGTCTTTATTGAAGTATCTGCAGAAATAAATCATTAATATATTCATAAATACAAGATTATTTGCTCAAGATTTTTAAATCTCGATTGTTTTTTAACGTCGTCATATAATGGGTATAAAAAGAACAAGTTTATAAGGAGTAATAAATCTGAATTGCAAAAAAAGATCAATGTGAATGCAATAGAAACCAAGTTTGGAAAGGAAAAAGTTTTAATTTAGATTAAATCAATCGCGATAGCCAGACCAAAATTCACAAAACCGATAAATGTCAAGAACCCTCTGTAATATTTAGTGTAAAATTTTATTTTTAGTTTGAATCAATAATTTATTGAATATTTGGATCTCGTTATAGGCAGAGATTGCCTTGAAAAAAAATCATCATTAAATTCACAACTATAATAAATTATTTTCTTAAAATAGTCACAAAAATTACACTTTATCAAAGAGGAAGTAATTAATTATAATTAAAAGAGTTTAAATGTACGTCACTGAGAAATAAACTTAATTGGGGCTTGCGCGGGTCTTCAGATGTTGTTATTGGTGCAATAAACATGACAACAACCCTAGTCGTAGTCAATTGTAGTAAAAATACGTCTAAAAATACACCTGTCAAACGTTCTTCGCGCGTGCCAACAAGTTACTTTTTAAAAGCAGGCACAAACTTTCTAATGCATCTCATCTCTTATATTCATATTAATCAATTATTAAAAAAAAAATATTAATTATAAATTTTCAGAGAAGGAATATTAAAAACTGGGGTGTACTTGATAATTTTAAACGAAGATATGAAAAAAAAATAAAAAAGCAAAATATTTGAAGAATAACAATTATTTTAATTATTATGTCATTTAAAAAATTTAGCAAATAAAAAATGCGTAATAAATTAGCAAGGCAGAACAACGAGTGAAATATGAATGGAGCGGCAGCGTAAGCAAGACTATTGGTTGACATAAGAAATTATGAGCATAATCGCATCTAAAGCAATAAAATTTATAATTATGAACGCGATACAAGATTATACTCGTGACGAGATCGAACGAAGTAAAAAAATAATGATAACTCACCCTTCCAGCTCTGACATGGTGACCTCTCGTTCAATGTGCTTGCGGTCGAGGTGTCGTCTTCTTGCAGACAGGCAGACCCGACGAGGGAGCTGCGAACGGCGCGGTCGCCCAAGGTCAAATGTAGGTCAACGATTCGCCGACCAAAACAAAAGCCCTTCCAGGAGCGGCGCGCCAGCCACTTGCTTGCCCAACCCACGCAACGCGATATTCGCGCCCCTCACTCTTCTTTCGACTGACCAACCTGGGCTCGTCGGCGGCTAATCACGCTCGGCCGCGTCCTCCGTGCCAAAAGAGGCGGCCGAAATCCATCGTCGTGCACTGCAGGGGCCGCCGGCGGCCTCTTTCGCGCACCCTCCCTGCCTGTTCTCCGCATGAATGGTGCAAAATGCGCCGATCGACGCTCATTTGTTTCCGGTGCTTGATGTTTACATTTTTTTTTCGTTCTTCAATCACAACAACATTATCAGCTGCACCGGCCGAATCTGTCAATTCTACACGTCGGCATGCCGAATGCGACGCTCCTGCAGCTCGCAGCGACCCGCATTTTTTAAATTATTTGTCAGGATTTGCTCAAGACAATGAATTTCCTGGCCAATTTCCACTTAACGGGAAAACCGTAGGAATCTGGTAATTTGAACAAAAATAATTATGCAAAATATGATAAAATACAAAACGAGCAATTTTTTATCAATTCCTTCCTCTTATGAATCAAAACTTTTTAATTGATTCGTTAAAAAATTTCTGATGTTAATTTTAATGCATTCCGTTGAAATTTTGTTATTGCCCAGCAATGGAATATTTTACATGCATAAAATATTTACAAGTGAATAATGATGGTGATTTCTTTGTTAAAAAGCAAAGTCAGTTTTTTTTTTAATTTTGAATCTAATGAAATAAATATTTATTTAATGTGATGAGTGATGATTTGATACAAAGGCCAGAAACCATAGTAAAAAGATTAAAAAATAAAACAAAAAAATATTTAATTATAAATTTTACTTACCGTTAAGAGGCTAATTTTCTAATAGCAGAAAATTCTTTATAAGAATCTTTGAAAATATTTCTTGCAGTTTTTTTTATTTTTTGTAAATAATTAAAATTATTAATTTTCTATTAATGTATTACAATGTATTATTGCAGGTGAATCTGATTGATCGTCTAACATGATCGGCGCCTTGCAAGTTTTATTTTCCAAACTGAAAGGACTGGTCTTATGGATTTTGGCCATCTTCAGACGGGCGTGTTGTTGCTTCCGCAGGCGACGTCGACTTTCTGAATCTCAGCCTCTCACTGATATTGGAATCATCCCTAATAATCCTCAAGATGTAATAACCATTTTAAGAGGAATTTTTTACACTTATTTAAGTTTTTTCCGTGAAATTCGCCTTTTTTCAGTCAGGACGTCAAAATAGAGAATATCTTAATAATTATTCTCACTGTTCTATAAAATTAAAATAGTAATTTTAGTCTGGCAGAATCATCAGAGCACGTGCAATCTTCTCCTTGAAAATGCCCCAACTTAGAATTACATTTTCTCGTCTTAATTTGAAAGCGTTGTTATAGAGGGAGAGACACGGTTTTGGGTTTCTCCTCCAAGAAGTGAATAAATGAAGCAGGCGTTGAATTTCACTGTGAAAGAGAGTGGCCCCATTGTCACGATTGTCGCCCATTGTTTCTTGAAATATGAAACAAAAGTGATCCAAGGATGAAAGATATGCTGTTAAACAAACAGAGGGAGCATAAATTTCTTTTAATTTTACCTGCAGACAGAGAGATGCCTGAACTCATTAAGTGAAAATTTCATGCAATTTGATTAAAACTGTTTATTTATTTCCCCCAGAACGTGGAAGGAGGATGGGATTCGTGGGGAAAGGAGGAGGACAAAATCACCCAGCAGATTCGGGAATACAGAAATTCCCTGGCAATGGCGAGACAAAATCAAGACCAACCCGAAGAACCTGAAGAGAGAGTTGACTATTTCCAGGTGTGTTTCTCGTTATGGAAATCAAATATTGTTATTAATTTTTTCCATTAAGGATATGGTGCCAAGAGTTACGAAAGCGCCGAGAGTAGCTCTGAGCACCCATGAGGAACAAGTTAATGTCAGCAACACGTCCGAGTTATTTGCAGCACAACCATTGCCAATAGCGGTAAGAGGAATTTTAATTTTATTTAGTTCTAGTTAGAATTTTCCATGTAATTTTACTTTTAAAATTTCTATGCAAAAACTTTTCATTTGAAAAATTTTAGGGTGGGGATCTTGGAAGTTGGGCTGAAGACGAAGGCTGGGTTGCGGAGGAGGGCAATTGGGAGGAGGACGTCCGTGAGCAAAAACGAATGCAGCGAGAACGACGAGCGTACGAACTGCAAATGAAAAGAGCTGAGCACCGCAGTTTGGGCGCCAGATTGAGCTGACAACCTTATTTGGACATTTAATTAAATGAGAAAATGTCTTAGTCATAAGTGTTTTGTTTGTTAAAATTTTTTGTTCATTGTTCTTAATAATCAAGTGCAAAATGTTTTATACTTCACTTTCTTTACCTTTTTAACATTGAAATTGTGTAGCTGTTGAAAAATAAAATTGAAGAGGTTGAAATGACGACTACACTTTTTATTTTGGCTACTTCGAGAGAACAGGCCTGTACTTTTCGTAGGTTGGAGTGCGCTCGATTCTCCTGCCTCTCCTAGTCACAGCATAACAAAGCATTGACGGCTTTCTCACGTGAATCCCTAAGCCCATTGGAGTGTAAAACTCAAGCTCAGCCACTCTTTCCTTTGGTATCGTTATACTCGCCCACCCTGAAATTTTTTTTTTTAAATAATTTTTAAAATAAAATAATCAATTTTTAGACTTACCAGCTGAAGAGAAAAGTACATCGGCAACACTCTCCATCCTTCCAATACCAGTAAACGTTGATCGCAATCCCTGTTTTAGCCCTGGCCAAATTGACAGTCTTTCTTCTGTGCCAAACGGAACTTGCAAAACCTCAGATCCAAGATAGGTCTTGTAAATTTGGTCAGCACTCCTTGTATTGCAAATTGTAACGGGCAAATGAGGTGACGAAAAGATTGTCAAACTGGAAAAATTCAAAAAGTAATTATTTTAAATAAATCTTGAGGGTTCACAGCAGCATCACATTATTTGATCAGAGTTTCCTTCCAAGTAGTCGACTCGTCCTAGTCCAGCTAAAAATAAAGTTTGGCCAGCCATAAGGGAGAATGACCTGGGTGAGATGATGGATTTGGGAATCACTTTTTCCAACTCCTCTGTTGTTAAAATATTTATGACCTGATGTTTTTTTTTATTTTTTATTAAAATTTAAGATCATAGCTTAGAATAATTACTTGTTCAGGAAAAACAACGCCTGGAGTGTCATAGCACCACCGACTACAGGCATACGCATCTTCGTTGGGGTCGATGCCGGCCTCAGGGGCAAAACCAGCAGGTCTTCTGGTTGGCAACTTGAAAGGATCATCTAATTCCAGTGTGTTCAATTCATAAGTTTTTCCAACTTTGCCTATAAGATAAAAACGCTTGAATCGTATATATTTATTTGCAACTCTGAAAGTAATATACCTCTCAGTGTTGCATGTTCGAGGTCTCTAGTTTCTCTCAGCATCTCTTTTTGATTATGAGTTTCTAGATTTTCTTCAATCCTTTCATTAATTATTCTTATTGTCCTTTCGTAAAGCATTTTGTGGTTCGGCCGCATAATCGGAAACTACAAAAATGAAAACATTAGTGTCAACTATTTTCAAATAATTGGGCTTCACCTTTAATAAGTTCAGCGTTGTCCCTGGAAAGTTTGATATGGTTGCCCTCTGCACTTTGTCGGACGCTTGAACTTTGCAGTAGTCGGAGTCAAGAAGTGCGTTGAATAAGGAAGACTTTCCCACATTAGTACAACCAACTACATAGACATCACCTATGAAGGGAAAATTTCCATTTTTGCTTTTGTACCAAAGTTATCAAATTTTCTTAAATATACCTTGAACTTTCCAATTTCTATGTAGTTTATTGATTAATTGTTCAATTCCAAATCCGGTTTTGGCACTAACAAGGGCAACATGACGGATGCAGTTTTTGCGGATCTCGGTGGCTTTGAAAACCTCGTGGACCAGACTGTCTTTGATTCTATCCAAAAAAAACTTTCCGTCGTTTGGTAGAAGGTCAACTTTGTTGCCAACTAAACAAATTGGACGGTCCTTTCCTGCAAAATTTAAGAAAAAAAAATTGTTTATCAGGTCAACTCTGAGGTTAAAAATTAATACCAATGATTTCGCTCAGGTGTGGCCAAATACTGCAGGGGAAGTCAAGCAAGTCCACGACCAGCATTACCAAGGCACGCTTGTCTTTAATTTGCTTCAGTATTTCAGGATAGTCCTCAGGAGAGACGTCCACGTGAAGAGCCTTTTTGTAATTCTTCAGGTTGTAGCACCGTTGGCAAATCTGTCCTCGGAGATAATGAACGGAAACGCCGCGAAAGCATTCTGCAGGAATGAAGCCAGGGTAGTTGGGGTCTTGGCAGTGAAGAGGAGCTCCACACCCTCCACAGGGCACATTGCTGGCAGGTACGTTAGGGTTGCTGCTGCTCGAGTTCATGAAATCAAGGTAAGATGCTTCCAGGTTGGTTTCGAGGGTCTTGAAATATTCGAGCTTTTGCTGTCGCAGGAATTTTATTTCTTCAACGAGCCGACTCGTGTCGTCCAACGCAATTTGTTCACTTTGAATAGAATGTTCTCCTAACAAGTTGGCTCTGCATTCTGGAGAAATGAAAGCTTGACTGACACCAGTGGAAAATTTGTCTGCTGTTTTTTTAGTCGATTCCGCTTTGATCATCTTATCAATTTTCTTCTGTCTCTGACGAAATTTGTGGCCTCCAATTATTGAATTGAAAAATATTTCATCTTCAAGGTTGTCCGTTTCTCCTTCAATGCTGGTGACCAATCTTGTTTGTAGACGAAGCAAATAATCAACCTGCTTTAGCTGTGTGGGTTGCCTGAAGAAGCCGGTTCGACAGACAAGTCTCGATGTGAGCAGCATATTTTTTTAGTCTAAAATAAAAGAGATTTGTATTAATTAATAAAATCAACTTTCAGAGCAAATATTTATTTTTCATCAGAGGCTTAATGAGAAAGGTTCGTAATAAATTTGTCTGACAAAATTATATAATTTTAATTGTGAACCAAAACATATGTAAAAATTATTAAATTTAATTTGCAGCCATACTATACCTGATGGAAAGATGTACGAAGTTAACTGTAAAGTATTTCAACTTCTAGGACGTTGTTACGTTAATATTTTTGTTATTTTAGGGCAGAATTTGTTTTCAGTAAAGCCCGTGTTTTTGTTTTGCTTCGCATGCTGCCATGCAAATTGCAGATTGCAGGCCAGTAAGGGGCGAGGCTGAGGAAAGGGGAGTGGGGAGAGTGGCGGGCAATTTTTTACACTCTCTGCAGCGGCACCGGTTCCTCATTGTAATTTTTGCACTTTGAACCCTGATTTGGGTTTTGGGTTGAATTATTTTTAATATAAAAATTCACATAATATAGCACAACAGAAACAATTTTAAACCATGAATAGGGCCGCGATCAATTTGATACGTACTTAAGATAAAGAATAATCATGATAAAATACAAAATATTAAAAAAAATCTGCGGAAAAAAAGAGAAAAAGAGCCAAAGAAAAAAAAACTCAGCTTGCGCGGCGTTAAATCATGTGTTGAGGCGGCTGCTTCACTTCATTTTAAAGCTTATTTTCTAGATTTTAAAGCGCTTCGAGCTTTGCTCTGTATGAATCCTCAATTTAAATAAAATCAAAAATCTGCGGAAAAAAAATTGAAAAAGTGCAAAACAAAAATATTAAACTCAGCTTGCGCGGCGTTAAATCATGTGTTGAGGCGGCTGCTTCACTTCATTTTAAAGCTTATTTTCTAGATTTTAAAGCGCTTCGAGCTTTGCTCTGCATGAATCTTAAATTTAAATAAAATCAAAAATCTGCGGATAAAAATAGAAAGTGCAAAAAAAAATTAAACTCAGCTTGCGCGGCGTTAAATCATGTGTTGAGGTGGCTGCTTCACATCATTTTAAAGCTTATTTTCTAGATTTTAAAGCGCTTCGAGCTTTGCTCTGTATGAATCCTCAATTTAAATAAAATAAAAAATCTGCGGAAAAAAATAGAAAAAGTGCAAAAAAAAAAAATTAAACTCAGCTTGCGCGGCGTTAAATCATGTGTTGAGGCGGCTGCTTCACTTCTTTTTAAAGCTTATTTTCTAGATTTTAAAGCGCTTCGAGCTTTGCTCTGCATGAATCTTAAATTTAAATAAAATCAAAAATCTGCGGATAAAAATAGAAAAAGTGCAAAACAAAATTATTAAACTCAGCTTGCGCGGCGTTAAATCATGTGTTGAGGCGGCTGCTTCACTTCATTTTAAAGCTTATTTTCTAGATTTTAAAGCGCTTCGAGCTTTGCTCTGTATGAATCCTCAATTTAAATAAAATAAAAAATCTGCGGAAAAAAATAGAAAAAGTGCAAAAAAAAAAAATTAAACTCAGCTTGCGCGGCGTTAAATCATGTGTTGAGGCGGCTGCTTCACTTCATTTTAAAGCTTATTTTCTAGATTTTAAAGCGCTTCGAGCTTTGCTCTGTATGAATCCTCAATTTAAAAAAAATCAAAAATCTGCGGATAAAAATAGAAAAAGTGCAAAAAAAAATTAAACTCAGCTTGCGCGGCGTTAAATCATGTGTTGAGGCGGCTGCTTCACTTCATTTTAAAGCTTATTTTCTAGATTTTAAAGCGCTTCGAGCTTTGCTCTGCATGAATCCTCAATTTATAGTAAAATCAAAAATATGCGGAAAAAAAATAGAAAAAGTGCAAAAAAAAAATTAAACTCAGCTTGCGCGGCGTTAAATCATGTGTTGAGGCGGCTGCTTCACTTCATTTTAAAGCTTATTTTCTAGATTTTATAGCGCTTCGAGCTTTGCTCTGTATGAATCCTCAATTTAAATAAAATCAAAAATCTGCGGAAAAAAATAGAAAAAGTGCAAAAAAAAAATTAAACTCAGCTTGCGCGGCGTCAAATCATGTGTTGAGGCGGCTGCTTCACTTCATTTTAAAGCTTATTTTCTAGATTTTAAAGCGCTTCGAGCTTTGCTCTGCATGAATCTTAAATTTAAATAAAATAAAAAATCTGCGGATAAAAATAGAAAAAGTGCAAAAAAAAAAATTAAACTCAGCTTGCGCGGCGTTAAATCATGTGTTGAGGCGGCTGCTTCACTTCATTTTAAAGCTTATTTTCTAGATTTTAAAGCGCTTCGAGCTTTGCTCTGCATGAATCTTAAATTTAAATAAAATCAAAAATCTGCGGATAAAAATAGAAAGTGCAAAAAAAAAATTAAACTCAGCTTGCGCGGCGTTAAATCATGTGTTGAGGCGGCTGCTTCACATCATTTTAAAGCTTATTTTCTAGATTTTAAAGCGCTTCGAGCTTTGCTCTGCATGAATCTTAAATTTAAATAAAATAAAAAATCTGCGGATAAAAATAGAAAAAGTGCAAAAAAAAAAATTAAACTCAGCTTGCGCGGCGTTAAATCATGTGTTGAGGCGGCTGCTTTACTTCATTTTAGAGCTTATTTTCTAGATTTTAAAGCGCTTTGAGCTTTGCTCTGCATGAATCTTAAATTTAAATAAAATAAAAAATCTGCGGATAAAAATAGAAAAAGTGCAAAACAAAATTATTAAACTCAGCTTGCGCGGCGTTAAATCATGTGTTGAGGTGGCTGCTTCACTTCATTTTAAAGCTTATTTTCTAGATTTTAAAGCGCTTCGAGCTTTGCTCTGTATGAATCCTCAATTTAAATAAAATCAAAAATCTGCGGATAAAAATAGAAAAAGTGCAAAAAAAAATTAAACTCAGCTTGCGCGGCGTTAAATCATGTGTTGAGGCGGCTGCTTCACTTCATTTTAAAGCTTATTTTCTAGATTTTAAAGCGCTTCGAGCTTTGCTCTGTATGAATCCTCAATTTAAATAAAATCAAAAATCTGCGGATAAAAATAGAAAAAGTGCAAAAAAAAATTAAACTCAGCTTGCGCGGCGTTAAATCATGTGTTGAGGTGGCTGCTTCACTTCATTTTAAAGCTTATTTTCTAGATTTTAAAGCGCTTCAAGCTTTGCTCTGCATGAATCCTCAATTTATAGTAAAATCAAAAATATGCGGAAAAAAAATAGAAAAAGTGCAAAAAAAAAATTAAACTCAGCTTGCGCGGCGTTAAATCATGTGTTGAGGCGGCTGCTTCACTTCATTTTAAAGCTTATTTTCTAGATTTTAAAGCGCTTCGAGCTTTGCTCTGTATGAATCCTCAATTTAAATAAAATCATAAATCTGCGGAAAAAAATAGAAAAAGTGCAAATAAAAAATTAAACTCAGCTTGCGCGGCGTTAAATCATGTGTTGAGGCGGCTGCTTCACTTCATTTTAAAGCTAATTTTCTAGATTTTATAGCGCTTCGAGCTTTGCTCTGTATGAATCCTCAATTTAAATAAAATCAAAAATCTGCGGAAAAAAATAGAAAAAGTGCAAAAAAAAAATTAAACTCAGCTAGCGCGGCGTTAAATCATGTGTTGAGGCGGCTGCTTCACTTCATTTTAAAGCTTATTTTCTAGATTTTAAAGCGCTTTGAGCTTTGCTCTGCATGAATCCTCAATTTATAGTAAAATCAAAAATATGCGGAAAAAAAATAGAAAAAGTGCAAAAAAAAAATTAAACTCAGCTTGCGCGGCGTTAAATCATGTGTTGAGGCGGCTGCTTCACTTCATTTTAAAGCTTATTTTCTAGATTTTAAAGCGCTTCGAGCTTTGCTCTGTATGAATCCTCAATTTAAATAAAATCAAAAATCTGCGGATAAAAATAGAAAAAGTGCAAAAAAAAATTAAACTCAGCTTGCGCGGCGTTAAATCATGTGTTGAGGCGGCTGCTTCACTTCATTTTAAAGCTTATTTTCTAGATTTTAAAGCGCTTCGAGCTTTGCTCTGCATGAATCCTCAATTTAAATAAAATCAAAAATCTGCGGATAAAAATAGAAAAAGTGCAAAAAAAAAATTAAACTCAGCTTGCGCGGCGTTAAATCATGTGTTGAGGCGGCTGATTCACTTCATTTTAAAGCTTATTTTCTAGATTTTATAGCGCTTCGAGCTTTGCTCTGTATGAATCCTCAAATTAAATAAAATCAAAAATCTGCGGAAAAAAATAGAAAAAGTGCAAAAAAAAAATTAAACTCAGCTTGCGCGGCGTCAAATCATGTGTTGAGGCGGCTGCTTCACTTCATTTTAAAGCTTATTTTCTAGATTTTATAGCGCTTCGAGCTTTGCTCTGTATGAATCCTCAATTTAAATAAAATAAAAAATCTGCGGAAAAAAATAGAAAAAGTGCAAAAAAAAAATTAAACTCAGCTTGCGCGGCGTTAAATCATGTGTTGAGGCGGCTGATTCACTTCATTTTAAAGCTTATTTTCTAGATTTTATAGCGCTTCGAGCTTTGCTCTGTATGAATCCTCAAATTAAATAAAATCAAAAATCTGCGGAAAAAAATAGAAAAAGTGCAAAAAAAAAATTAAACTCAGCTTGCGCGGCGTTAAATCATGTGTTGAGGCGGCTGCTTCACTTCATTTTAAAGCTTATTTTCTAGATTTTAAAGCGCTTTGAGCTTTGATCTGCATGAATCCTCAATTTATAGTAAAATCAAAAATATGCGGAAAAAAAATAGAAAAAGTGCAAAAAAAAATTAAACTCAGCTTGCGCGGCGTTAAATCATGTGTTGAGGCGGCTGCTTCACTTCTTTTTAAAGCTTATTTTCTAGATTTTAAAGCGCTTCGAGCTTTGCTCTGCATGAATCTTAAATTTAAATAAATTCAAAAATCTGCGGATAAAAATAGAAAAAGTGCAAAAAAAAAATTAAACTCAGCTTGCGCGGCGTTAAATCATGTGTTGAGGCGGCTGCTTCACTTCATTTTAAAGCTTATTTTCTAGATTTTAAAGCGCTTTGAGCTTTGCTCTGCATGAATCCTCAATTTATAGTAAAATCAAAAATATGCGGGAAAAAAATAGAAAAAGTGCAAAAAAAAAATTAAACTCAGCTTGCGCGGCGTTAAATCATGTGTTGAGGCGGCTGCTTCACTTCATTTTAAAGCTTATTTTCTAGATTTTAAAGCGCTTCGAGCTTTGCTCTGCATGAATCTTAAATTTAAATAAAATCAAAAATCTGCGGAAAAAAATATAAAAAGTGCAAAAAAAAATTAAACTCAGCTTGCGCGGCGTTAAATCATGTGTTGAGGCGGCTGCTTCACTTCATTTTAAAGCATATTTTCTAGATTTTAAAGCGCTTCGAGC